GGGGTCCTCAAGAAACATGTAGTTATTCACTGGTCTGATGAAATATATTTAGTTTTGTTTTATTTAAAAAAAAATTCAATTCTGTGTTAGGATTACACTTATCCATTGCTTCCCAAGAAAAAAAGCAACTTCATCAGAACTTACAGCCATTCAATCTGCAAATAGGTGACATGTGTCACTGCAGCCTTTGGCAGTAAGCTGAATAACTTTCACCAGAGCTAAGGTAAATGAATCTTGGTCTACAGTGCTAATAATTGTCTACATTCCACTGGTCAAATCTCAGTAGACAGTAGAAGTTTTTAGTATTATGAAAGATGGTGTTTGTGAGTATAGCAGGTATTGTTTGTGAGTATAGGTAGGTATTTTTAGAGGGATGGTGTTCGTGAGTATAGCAGGTATTATTAGAGGGATGGTGTTCGTGAGTGTAGCAGGTATTATTAGAGGGATGGTGTTCGTGAGTATAGCAGGTATTAGAGGGATGGTGTTCGTGAGTATAGCAGGTATTATTAGAGGTGAGGTGAGGTGAAATTGAGTTTAACGTTGTGTTTGAGAATATTTCGCTCATATGACGACGTGCATGCTTGTGTATGTGTATGTGTATGTGCGGCTGCTTGTACTATCCCAGACTTAAGTTGGTTTTATAGTGCTAGCCCACTGAGATACGGTATTATTAGAGGGATGGTGTTTGTGAGTATAGCGGAGATGCCATCCTCAATGATTTTATTTTAGTCGCTACCATTGCCAATACCATTGCACTATGCCAATACCATTTGCACTATAAATTCTACAAGATTTGAGAGAAAATTCATTAAAATTTGGATATATATACTCCTCACAAAAAGTTAAGCAACACACATTTTTAGTCTCATTACCAGCTTTCGAAATACCTGCCTGCCCGACTGCCCGGGATGGGTTATTTTCAACACAAACTGCAAGATTCTCAATTCACCTGCCTCACGGTTGGGTTAAAATGTAAACATGTTTATTAGTATATTTTTGGGGGGAGGGGGGGTTGGTGGCAGGTAAGTTTTGGTCAGGGCTAGCAAGTTTTACATCTAACCAGCCCTGTGGTCTGGCTGAAAGTTTTGTGAGTTTCATACCCTGTCATTACATTTTCATTTATTGAAATTTCAAATCATGGAATGATGCAATAGAAATGGGGGAAATGTATGTACACATGATTAACAAAATGAAATGAAATGGTATTGAGCAATAATAGACTTACAAATCATCAAAAGCATGTGCCCGCGAAACAGTCGTGCAAAATGTGCTGCACTGATGGAGCAAAATGTTAACAGTAAAGTTCAAGTCAGTTTTGGACAGTGAAACAGTGTTCAGTATGACCACCATGAGCACGAATGCAAGCTTGTACATGTCTTTGCATTGACCAAATGAGCCTTTAAGTTGCTGTTGTGGAACGTGCCATTCTCTCTGTAATGCCTGCTCAAGTTGATCCAGAGTCTGGGGCGAACATGGAGACCGTAAACACGACTTCCAATAATGTCCCAAGCATGTGGAATGGGATTAAGATCAGGTGACCTTGCAGGCCAGTCCGTATGTGTGATGTTGTTGATCTAAACAACATCATTAACAACTCTTTCTCGGGATTGTCATCCATGGACGCGCATAATTATCCATGAAAATGAAGTTAGGACCCGCTTGTTGTACCAGAGGAATGATTACAGGTGATTTACTGGTAGGTTTTAACCGATCAAAGCGCATGGGTGAAGTGTGGAACACATGCATTCCACAGGTTTTGCATGTTGTTTCTGAGGGTGGTTGTGTTCAGGTAATGTAGTCAATGTTATCAGGTAAGTCAATTTGACAGTCACTAAAGGTTCTGTATTCTTCGAATATTAACCTTTCAGTAACATGTCGGCGAAAAACGCTATCGAGATTGATAAAGATATTACACTGAACATACTTGTTGCTTAATTTTTTGTGAGGAGTATAGACAAAAACATATATTTTCGTCGATTAAATACATTTTCCGGACTTTTTTATTATATTATAGGATATTTATATAGCGCACATATCCACGCAACTAGTGCATGCTCAAGGCGCAAGTATTTTTTTTTTTCCCTCAGTCATTGGATGTAAATCTCTACGGCACATCGCATTATCAATCTCAACTCCCTGGGGAGTATACAACTCTTGCAGACACTAGGCGCACCGAGTTATTGTGGCTTTCACTTACCTTCCATTCATCAAATTTTATGACATATTTGAACTGGAATCATAGCAAGTAACAAACGTAATTTTAGCGAAATTCTCTATCAGAAATCTGAAGCTGAATTCAATGCCTTTCCGATTTGACCCAGTTATAGTGTACCGGCGGAAATTAAGATCCTATGGGAATGATTTAACCATGTGACTGTTCCTTTCATTCGATGATACAAAACCGGTTTACGTGTTTCATTGGCCATTAAGCTTGTAGTAATAAAATGAATTCAGTTTTGTTTGCCTTGTGCAGACGATACAGTATCGCGAAACTGTCAAAATGGCCTGCTGCTTGAACGCTTCAATTAAGTATAAGTCATGAGTGGACCAAGCGCACCCAATAAGAGTGAGATTAAATACGCAATGTTTTCTGGAGAGTTATCCCAAACATTCAGAAGGTACTGTTGAGGTCACATGATGTTTAGTGTAATAGACAGCTTTTTATATACTGATTAGCCCACTAATGAAGCTGTATCAGGCTTTTACTGATGTTTCTTTGGAGGACCACAGACATCAGATGGGTTATCCTGTTGTTTTAGCCAGCATTTTATATTGAGTGAGTTTAGTTTTACACAGCATTCAGCAATATTCCAGTTATATGGATTATATAAATAATCGAGTCTGGACCAGACAATCCAGTGATCAACAGCATGAGCATTGATCTATGTACTTGGGATACGATGACATGTGTCAACCAAGTCAGCTCGCTGACTACCCGATCCCGTTAGTCGCCTCGTTGGAGGTGTATTGGGTGCTTTGGGAACAAGCTGATTTTTTTTAGTTTCAACTTTTAGTATTATTATTATTATTATTATTTTCAACTTCAAATTTGTAATGAACGAAACTAACATATTTTCTCAAATAATGACACTTAGCTTCAAATCAGAGCTAAATGTAGCGATAGCTGTCAGTATAGATCATATGTGTATCATTATTAACTAACTTGATCAATTATCGAGAAGTAACTTTGAGCAAAAATGATGATAAAAAGTATTCAACATATTTCACTTTGCTTGTGAGTGGTGACATATTTCTGTGTGGATTACTAACAAAAATGTGACCTGAACATAATTTAAATGAGGTGAACAAAGATGTTGTGTATTGTGTGAGTGAATTATAATTATTTTCATCAAAATAGTCTTTATCTACAATATTATCGACGCATACATTCTCAGGTCGATAATCGTTACCAATTTTTCCAATGTTGATATTTCCTATTCTCGATCTGTTTAGCAAGCTCTATATAATACTAGCTAAAGGGGTTCAGTACCACAAACTTGCTGTTGAAGCCAGCTACAGAGGATCAGGTCATCACTGTGTGTGAACAATGGGTATTGTCATGTTGTTCCAGCCTGGATGTTGCTGGAATATTGAACACTGTGACATGCACTCACTCACTCACTCACTTAACTTGCATGATGTTTTACGATATAATGTTACTAGACTGTTTGAAACCAAGAGCTTGTGTGTTTACCAGTGTTTCACTGACTTGTTTCTTACAATACATGTTTTGCCTCACTTCAGTTGATGAAAGGTTTAGTTTTTTTTATGATAAACATACTTTACCAGTGAGATATAAACCCACAAAGCCCTTTCCAAAACCTACCATCCTCAGCAAAAGTGACACTCACATACCTGAACTAAGTCCTTACGTTAAATCTAATGGTGAATATACCAATGGAATGGGATGTGCTTTAGTCTCTCTAGCACTTTGTACATTAACACACATATTAACGTGTTTGTGTAATTTGATGGCTTTTTTTAGTAATAAAAAAGTTGTTGGAAATTAAAGTTGTCTTTGGTAGGACTTTATATGGATAATGTTTTGGTTTGTGGTTCATAATCATGCATTGGTTTGACCTGTAGCAATAGATATATGCCCCAGGACAAGCATTTCTTAGCTGTATGAAAGATTTCTGACAAAACAGTTTAGTTTCAAATTCATTAGGGATACATTCTAGGAATTCATTTTCTTTCAGCAGCCTCCATACTAGAGTAATTAACAGAAGTGGTGAACTCCCAACATCTGCTGTATACAGACAAACTGTGATAAAACTTAATGTAGTTCAAAGCTGCACACTCACTCATCGGCACAATAGTATGATCTGGGCCCCATTCCTCAAAGCAATCGTAGCGCTACGACTGTCGTAAGTCTATGTTAAAGTATGGGAGTTACGATCATCTTAGCGCTACGATCGCTTTGAGGAATGGGGCCCTGGGAAGGTCTAAGTGCATTTGACATGTTTTAAATGCTAACAACAATAATAATAATATATAAGTAATCATCTTGCCTACTGGTCAGTGTGCCATGTTTAGGATTGATGTAGCAGCGCCTTCCATGCATCATATTATCTTCAGTCACAATATGCCAGCCTAGAATATCAACTCACATCACAATATTTGTCACAAGTCAATACATTTTGTGATTTACATCACTTGGGACTGAGCTTCACTTGCCTGGGAAATTGTCAGCTCGGGTTTTTGCCCAAAAAATTATATTTTGAAAATCATTACAGCCTTGTTCATGTTAAAACGGCAATTGATACATGTGATACAAGAGTGGATGTATTGTGTATCGTCAGTTAGACTTGTGATGTGTAGAGGAATGGTCACAGCAGTATTGCCGTTGTTCACTGTCATGGTTGGTTGTTGCTATTCCCCAGAGTAGTATTGTGGCAATGATTGGTGTAAGCAGCATACAGCTTTTGGAACTTTGTGTAACAGTGTTGGTATCAGGTGACTATAACATGTTATTCCCACACTGCATGTTGATGTTGCAGAGAAAGTCAAGAAGAAGATCCGCTTCCTGGCATCAACCCTCACTAAGATTACTGAGGGTGATGAGACTGAAGCCAGTAAGAAGTCCCTCAGGCGGGCACCTCAGGTGGGCAACAGAGGTGAACAGCAACGAAAACGGGCACCTGCTACCAGGTCAGACAAACTCAGGCCACCTCCACAAGGGGGTACTCAGAGTAAGGGAAAACAACTCACAGCCTCTAAGAAATCTGTTCGTGAGAATGCCAAACAGAAATTAGTAAAAAGAAAACAATACAATGCTGAAGCCAACAGCACTAAAACTTCTAATTCTACCAGAACTCCAGAACCAAAGCAAGAAACCAGTAATAGTGGAGACAAAAAGAACATTGCAAAGATGAGATTGCCAGACCACAAGACGACTGCTCAGTCAACAGTGCAGAAATATGAAAGGGAAAGTCCTACTAGTAGTAGTGTTGTCAAGAAGACCCCTGTGTCCCCAAACAAGGTGTCTGATAAGGATAGGAATACTGCTGGGTTGGCTAAATGGCAGAAAATGACAAAACTTCCACAAATTCCCCCTTTTCGGAAGAGATCACTTGGGGATATGCGCCCTCCAAGTCCTGATGAAGATGCTCTGGCGCTGCCATTTGGAGGAGCCAGGAAGATTTCAGACAGTAGTTTGTTAACTGCTCGCAACGCTACCAATGTCATCTACACTATTAACCAGGCAAGAAAGAAGCGACTGAAGGAAGCCATCAATGCACAGATAGCTGCTGTCCATGATAGAGTCAGAAGGGTAGGTACACATGACAGTTAAAAAGGTTGTCAGAACATGTGGAGGTGGATAGGTAGACAGAACATGTAGAAGTAGACAGGTAGACAGAACATGTAGAGGTAGACAGGTAGTCTGAACATGTAGAGGTAGACAGGTAGTCAGAACATGTAGAAGTAGACAGGTAGACAGAACATGTGGAGGTAGATTGGTAGACAGAACATGTAGAGGTAGACAGGTAGTCAGAACATGTAGAAGTAGACAGGTAGTTAAAACATGTAGAGGTAGATAGGTAGACAGAACATGTAGAGGTAGACAGGTAGTCAGAACATGTGGAGGTAGACAGGTAGTCAGAACATGTGGAGGTAGTCAGAACATGTAGAGGTAGTTAGGTAGTCAGAACATGTGGAGGTTGGACAGGTAGTCAGAACATGTGGAGGTAGTTAGGTAGTCAGAACATGTGGAGGTAGACAGGTAGACAGAACATGTGGAGGTAGACAGGTAGTCAGAACATGTGGAGGTAGACAGGTAGTCAGAACATGTGGAGGTAGACAGGTAGTCAGAACATGTGGAGGTAGACAGAACATGTAGAGGTAGACAGGTAGTCAGAACATGTGGAGGTAGACAGGTAGTCAGAACATGTGGAGGTAGTTAGGTAGTCAGAACATGTGGAGGTAGACAGGTAGTCAGAACATGTGGAGGTAGACAGGTAGACAGAGACATGTGGACAGGTAGGTAGACAGGTAGTCAGAACATGTGGAGGTAGACAGGTAGTCAGAACATGTGGAGGTAGACAGGTAGTCAGAACATGTGGAGGTAGAACAGGTAGTCAGAACATGTGGAGGTAGACAGGTAGTCAGAACATGTGGAGGTAGAAAGGTAGTCAGAACATGTGGAGGTAGACAGGTAGTCAGAACATGTGGAGGTAGACAGGTAGTCAGAACATGTGGAGGTAGACAGGTAGTCAGAACATGTAGGAGGTAGAACAGACAGGTGAACATGTGGAGGTAGACAGGTAGTCAGAACATGTGGAGGTAGACAGGTAGTCAGAACATGTGGAGGTAGACAGGTAGTCAGAACATGTGGAGGTAGACAGGTAGACAGAACATGTGGAGGTAGACAGGTAGACAGAACATGTGGAGGTAGACAGGTAGTCAGAACATGTGGAGGTAGACAGAACATGTGGAGGGTAGACAGGTAGTCAGAACATGTGGAGGTAGACAGGTAGTCAGAACATGTGGAGGTAGACAGGTAGACAGAACATGTGGAGGTAGACAGGTAGACAGAACATGTGGAGGTAGACAGGTAGACAGAACATGTGGAGGTAGACAGGTAGACAGAACATGTGGAGGTAGACAGAACATGTAGACAGAACATGTGGAGGTAGAGGTAGACAGAACATGGTAGACAGAGAGAACATGTGGAGAGAGAACATGTGGAGTAGTCAGAACATGTAGTCAGAACATGTGGAACATGTGGAGGTAGACAGGTAGTCAGAACATGTGGAGGTAGACAGGTAGACAGAACATGTGGAGGTAGACAGGTAGACAGAACATGTGAGGTAGACAGGTAGTCAGAACATGTGGAGGTAGACAGGTAGTCAGAACATGTGGAGGTAGACAGGTAGACAGAAACATGTGGAGACAGGTAGACAGAGTAGACAGAACATGTGGAGGTAGACAGGTAGTCAGAACATGTGGAGGTAGACAGGTAGTCAGAACATGTGGAGGTAGACAGGTACAGAACATGTGGAGGTAGACAGGTAGACAGAACATGTGAGAAGTAGACAGGTAGTCAGAACATGTGGAGGTAGACAGGTAGTCAGAACATGTGGAGGTAGACAGGTAGTCAGAACATGTGGAAGTAGACAGGTAGTCAGAACATGTGGAGGTAGACAGGTAGTCAGAACATGTGGAGGTAGACAGGTAGTCAGAACATGTGGAGGTAGACAGGTAGTCAGAACATGTGGAAGGTAGACAGGTAGTCAGAACATGTGGAGTAGACAGGTAGTCAGAACATGTGGAGGTAGGACAGAACATGTAGACAGGTAGTCAGAACATGTGGAGGTAGACAGGTAGTCAGAACATGTGGAGGTAGACAGGTAGTCAGAACATGTGGAGGTTAGACAGGTAGTCAGAACATGTGGAACATGTGGAGGTCAGAACATGTAGTCAGAACATGGTAGACAGGTAGTCAGAACATGTGGAGGTAGACATGTGGAGGTAGTCAGAACATGTGGAGGTAGACAGGTAGTCAGAACATGTGGAGGTAGTCAGACAGGTAGTCAGAACATGTGGAGGTAGACAGACAGTAGTCAGAACAGTGGAGGTGACAGGTGAGTCAGAACATGTGTGGAGGTAGACAGGTGAGTCAGAACATGTGACAACATGGTAGACAGGTGAGTCAGAACATCAGAACATGTGGTAGTCAGGTAGACAGGTAGTCAGAACATGTAGAGGTAGACTGGTAGACAGAACATGTGGAGATAGACAGGTTGTTAGAACATTTGGAGGTGGACAGAACATGTGGAGGTAGACAGTTAGTTAGAACATGGAGAGTTAGACATGTAGTCAGTATATGTATGAGGTCCTATAGCTAATCCTTGCCTCAGGATAGGTGTTGTGTAAGTACCTCATTGTGTTGACTGGTTCATATATGTGTAAACCAAATAATTATTTCAGTACTTGGGTGAAAATATATGTAGAGAAACACCACTGGATTGTGTTGACAAGGATGCGCTCACCAGATACAGATTGTTGTGTTTACCAGGCCTTGGAGTATGCTGACATCTACGAGGAGGATCCCGACACCAAGGACCAAGAGGTAGATACACATAGCAAGTGTTGCACACCAAATACACGGATGCATACTGACTGACTGACTGAGTTTAGTTTTACGCCGCTTTTAGCAATATTCCAGCAATATCACGGCGGGGGACACCAGAAATGGGCTTAACACATTGTGCCCATGTGGGGAATCGAACCCGGGTCTTCGGCGTGACGGGCCAACGCTTTAACCACTAGGCTACCCCACCGCCGCACTGCCACTACTGAGTTTTCAATGTAGAACTAGGTTGAAATGACCTGCATATTTAACCGTGTTGACAACTTCAAAACTGAATTTGGACTCAATCACACAAACCCTAAAAAACATTATGTGTGTCTTTATTTGACCTTGAAAACAGTATTGGCTCATTATTTTCACTGGGTTGCTGATATACTTCAAAATGTGCATACAGTACACAAATACGTGGAATGGAGTCAGAAAAGGCGTATCAAAAGGTATTCATTGTTCCAAATTAAATTATATTTGTGACGTCATTCCATTGTCTGCTGATATGTACCAGTTTCAAATTTAAGACTTCATTTTGTCATTTTGACATTTAATTTTGATAACAGAAATATTACCAATACTTTGAATGTAATTTAAGTAGGTTAATATCCTCGTAACTCTCCGGCCATTCCTTAACAACAATGGGCCTCGGCTCCATTATTTTTAAGGAATGAAGAGTTATGAGGACATTACCCTCTACTTCTTGACAAGAAATAAATGTGTTCTATAATAAATGTAATTATCAAATTCTACAATACAAATACTACATCATTTAGTTACTTCACAGGACCCTCATATTTCCCGGTAAGACTGGAAGTACATTATTGGGACACCTCCGACCCCTAGCTTTGTAGGTCAAGGTCAAAACCTGGAATTTTCAATAACATTCAAACATTGGTTTTCAGATTTTGTGAATACAAACAGTGTTATTGAAATCAGGGACATCAAAATGACGATGTAATCAATTAAATGGTCATGGTTGCTCGCGAAACTGCACCAAATTTGAATTCTGTGGCTGGTATGAGTCAATACAGGTAACATTTTCCTAACAATAGATATTTTCATCTTTGCCCTGATTTGATGAATTTCAAATGGCTGAAATGCTTAAAAGATAAATATCAAAGAGGAAATAATGTTTATGGGTCATTTTCAAAATTGGTAGTATTTTCTGTCCGTTCCAAATAAAAAAAAACTCTGTTAACTTAAAACGATTTTTTTTGTGCTAGAAAACATATTTAGATGTTTACTAGTCATTAAATGTGGTATATCATTAGTCTTGTCATTTTGAAATTTATATTTAGCCCAATTTTAGGGTCAAAATTGGCTGATTTGCTCTGTCCGGAGGTGACAGTCCTAATATCAATGTTCACAAATAATGTAAATATAAATGCAAATAAACAAACTAATTCATATTATGCCAATTAGGATTGAACAGACATACTCAAACTGCATTTAATTATTTTATAACTTAAAAAAGTTTTTTTCTACAAATTGTAACATGCTTGTCCTGTGATTTTGTGTCCTGACCGTTACAAGTGTATGAAATTCCTACAATAATTTCCCCCTGGAGCTGGATTGTAATTCTACTTCCTGTGTCTGCTTGAACTAGCCCCACACTCCGGCACAGCGATGACTAACATAACATCACTGCCACAGGCTAATTTGCATATCACGTGACCGGACTTTTCTCTTGTTTGTAATCAAACGCGCATATTCATAATAAGAAGAGACTGGACTCACGAAAGCTTTTCGGTGCTCTCTTCATAATGTTTTACATTGTTACATATATATTCTTCCATAACAGCGACAGTAAGGTCTATGACAGTACATATTTAGATATCAAACTGGCTGCATCGTTTGCTCTCTATCAGCTTCGATGACAGCACGTGGAGCCGTACAGCCTATGTAAACAAAGGATCGATACGCAAATCAAAATAGTGTTACATGTTTTTGGATATTTTCTCAGTGAAACTAAACCATTCTATTAAAGATGTTTAGTTAGATGTGTAGACTCGTCAAAAATAAAAGAGTTAAAGAAGTCTGTACATTATATTGAATGGACATTGCAAGTTGTGACGAATCGTCACATTTTTCTGGCCTGTGGCAGAGGCACTATGCTGGCTTGCCGCATGGAACTCTGGGTAGGAGAGTGAGCTAGCCTCTGTGCATGTGACAGCAGATGAAATAAAGAGATTCAACACATTTTGCAGACAATTGACACCATGAAATAAGTATAAATGTTAAGTGTCAACCTTAATTGTCCAGACCGTTACCAATGTATTTTGAGTCAAATATATCTCTCTTTTTTTTAAATTTCAATGGATATGTTGCCCAGAAATGGAAGAGGTGGAAATCATGTCCTTTGAAATCTTTTAAGGATCATTCATTTTTTTTTTTTATTATTTACTTACAATTGTCTTGACCGCTACTGTCCACACCATTACCATTCTTCAAAGTAACGGTCTGGACATTTCCTTGTAAAGGTCAGGACAAAATGATTTGTATTTCAAAAAGTTGTTCATTGATATTTGAAATATAACAAACTTATAATTACTTTAAGAGTTAAGATAGTTTAAGCATGGAATTTTACTGTTCAAAGGAGTTTTGATGTAGTAGCATAAAAAACACAGTCTCTAGTAAAGGTTTGGGCTATTAATAGTAACGGTCTGGGCAATAATAGATTTCAATTTTGAAGAATATGTTCTATGGTGTGATAATAAATTTCTATTTACTTATCTATCTGCATTAAATAATAACAACCAAAACGAATTTATCACGTTAAGTTTCTATTTTGTATAAGATCTATAGTCTTTATGAATTAAAGGTAACGGTTAGGACATCTATGGTAACAGTTTGGACAAAATGTAGTAACGGTAAACAACTTAATTGTATTCCAACCTTTAAAGATCTTTTGGGTGTAAACTGTTTTAACTTTAACTGTGAGATATGTAAGGCTGCCATTTACTTTGAATATTGCTAGGTGCTAATATGTTGGCCAAACCTTTGTATTTGATAAATATGTGTTACCATCTCAGTATTAACAAAAACTAAAGGTATCCGTGTGAATGAAAGAAGTATATTTTGTGGAGACTAATATTGCACCATAATATCAACAGCAAAAGGATATCTATGCAGTGGCCTGTGTAGCATGACCATGTGTACAGTATCATAGTTGTTGCAGTACCTTTCAGAATCTTTTGCAGCTTTTTAGAGGGATAACATTTGTTTGTTACACTGATGTCCTGACCGTTACCAATAATGTCACAACCGTTACTGTTCATTCAGTTTTCGTTCCCCAATTGCACTCTTCTTTAGATTATAAGTGATTTTCAACCAAGACAGGTGTCTTTTTCTATTCTTTAGAAGCTACAGCTTGTTTCTATTCAAAAGCCTAAATTCATTCAAAAGTTTCATATTGATATAACAAATGTCCAAACTGTTACCACAGCATGGAAGATTACATGTCATATTTGTTACAAGTTACAATTTCTAATACACATTTCACTGTCTGTCCAAAATAGGGTTAGCATTTGAAGTAAATGATATCATTTTTTCCTTTTATGTTACCTGTTTCTATGTTGAATTAAATTGTTTAATGTGTATGTCCAGCCCGTTACCATTCCTGTCCTAACCGTTACTGGTGTTAATTGTCTGCTCTAATTAATTCATGATAATACATGAAACACTCCTCTTTATGCTGGTGTCATCAAAAGATGTTCTGGGCTTAGTAGCTGATGTTTATTTTAGACAATTTTACCTGTTGAAAGCTATATACATGATAATGTTTTAGAAAAATGCTATTATTTTGTGGTAAATAAATGAAAGATACAAAATAACACTTTCAAGATTCATGATAATAGTTTTTTACCTTCAAGTTTAATTAAGTCGGTGTAAAAAGCAGTGTCTGCCATCTTCAAAATATTTTTATGAATTATATTTCAAAATCCTTATTCTGATTAAGAAGTGGTAACGGTCAGGACTTTCCCTCACCCTATTAATTACTTATGTATCAATTAAAAGGCCAATTAGTAAATTTGAGCCTGCATGTTTGTAGTTTTGAATAATTAAGTGTTTGAGATTTCATTTGAATAAAAATTAAATCAATTTTCAGGAGTTTGATTTTACTGTAATAAAGAATTGAAAATCCTACCAATTTTGAAAATAACCCATATATGATCTTTTTTTTATTGAAGAATGTATTTAGCAATTTGATTGCAGCCAGAGGAGATGTATGATGCTCGCTCCAAGAGAGAAACTGTGAGTCTGCTGGTCTCTGTACCTTGCCTCATTCCAAGTATGTAGAGTCGTTCGTCAGTTTGACCTTCTCAGTGTACCAGGACAAAACACGTCCTGGACACACAATGCACCTGGCCAGACTTGAATGAGAATCAGTTCACCGTTCCTCAAAGTGATCTTAGCGCTACCACAGTCGTCATATGTCTATGTTAAATTATGGAGTCTGGATCATCTTAGCGCTACCACAGTCGTAAGTCTGTGTTAAAGTATGGAGTCTGGATCATCTTTGCGCTACCACAGTCGTAAGTCTGTGTTAAAGTATGGAGTCTGGATCATCTTTGCGCTACCACAGTCGTAAGTCTGTGTTGAAGTATGGAGTCTGGATCATCTTTGCGCTACCACAGTCGTAAGTCTATGTTAAAGTATGGAGTCTGGATCATCTTTACGCTACCACAGTCGTAAGTCTGTGTTGAAGTATGGAGTCTTGATCATCTTTAGCTACCACAGTCGTAAGTCTATGTTAAAGTATGGAGTCTGGATCATCTTTAGCTACCACAGTCGTGGTGTCTATGTTAAAGTATGGAGTCTGGATCATCTTTAGCTACCACAGTCGTAAGTCTATGTTAAAGTATGGAGTCTGGATCATCTTTGGAGCTACCACAGTCGTAAGTCTGTGTTAAAGTATGGAGTCTGGATCATCTTTAGCTACCACAGTCGTAAAGTCTATGTTAAAGTATGGAGTCTGGATCATCTTTCTTAGCTACCACAGTCGTAAGTCTATGTTAAAGTATGGAGTCTGGATCATCTTAGCGCTACCACAGTCGTAAGTCTATGTTAAAGTATGGAGTCTGGATCATCTTAGCGCTACCACAGTCGTAAGTCTATGTTAAAGTATGGAGTCTGGATCATCTTTACGCTACCACAGTCGTAAGTCTATGTTAAAGTATGGAGTCTGGATCATCTTTACGCTACCACAGTCGTAAGTCTGTGTTAAGGTATGGAGTTTGGATCATCTTAGCACTATGATCGCTTTGTGAAATGGGGCCCTGGTGGCCAGGCTGACCAGATGTCTGTGTACAGGGCACTGTTCATTCTGTCAGTTCAATGTAAGCCTGGATTGTGGATTATAAACAGGCATCCATGATGTCGCTGGAAAATTACTGGATTGCCTTCATTCCCCTGGCAGTTTCTACTACATGTAGTATTGAGTTATGATGACAAGACCTTTCTCCAGGTCCAGTTTTTAACTTAAACATTTTTGACAAACTCCAAGGTCTATAGAGCTGAAACTTTGTATGAAATGTTGTGACTAAGGTGTCTTGAAAAAGGGCAACACAATTCCTCTCTGCCACGGTGGCCATATTGAATAGGTCATTTTGCATACTCAGCTATTTCTTCATGTATTATTATGAAAGGATAGGTTGGCTTAGTTTGTGTTTTTTAATGCCACACTCTGCAATATTCCAGCTATATGGCGGCAGTCTGTGAATAATTGAGTCTGGACCAGACAATCCAGTGATCTACAGCATGGGCATCGATCTATGCACATGGGATGCGATGACATGTGTCAACCAAGTTAGCATGCCTGACCACCCGAACCCGTTAGTCACCTGTTACGACAAGCATGGGTTACTGAAGACCAATTCTAACCCACATCTTCATTATGAAAGGACCTGTGAAGATCTGGGTTAGAATTGATCTTCAGTTGAGAAAAAGGTGGACAACTTGGTAAACACTATCCTACCACCATGTTTCATCAAATTTTCTGCATAAAATGGAGAGCAACGGCAAGCACCTCAAATGTGGCTAAAATTAGTGTCCAAATGAGGTTGAAATCTGACGTGCATTTTTTGTGTGACTTTCCTGAGAAATGCGCATTGTTGATATGTTTAGATGAAACATCGCAATGAGTTGATGTTCAAGCTGCGAGAGCATATCGAGGAGTGTCACCAGCGCATGGTGCTCATCTCCGACGTCAACAACTGGATCCAGACACAGCAGAAGGAACTGGTGAGACTCCTGCACACTGCAACACAAGCAGTCAACTCCTCTCATATTTCAACACACTCAATGTAACTGTTCTTAAAAGATTTCTAACACTGAACTATTATAAACCATGCACCTATATGGAATGCAGCACAGCTAAGTATACAGAGGCCCAGATAAACTGCGTATCCGGGTAAAATGCGCATATAAAATTTCCAATTACGCATTGACAAATAATTGTTACGTACCAATTACGCATTTAAAATGTTAGATATGCAAAAAGTTTAAAACAAATGCGTACGGAATATAGTTATAAAAATCACTTGCATAATGAAAAAGACATTGATTGCTATCAAGTTGTACTGTTAGTATAGGACAAGTGTTGTACTGTCAGTATAGGATGAGTGATTTTTTATGAAATCATTTCCATTATATTCAAGTTGGTTTTGATTAGGTATGACATAAGGCAGAACATACTTGTTTAGTAAACTTACTTAATGACATAATACTTAGGTGAGAAAAATGACTGAAATACACACATATTTGAAAGTAGTGGGTAACGGAAAATGAAATACCCACTCAACATTCATAATACCCACTCCCAAAAATACTGTGGGTACAGTACCCACATGAGCTAAATCTTATGTGGAGCTCTGAGTATAGATGTGTGTGTGTGTGTATTCAGGGCAGTGAGCTGATCAGTGAGGAGGACATGGACGAGACCTCAGTGGATTTGGACATCACCCACAGGAAGATCATGTAGGTTTCTCCTGCAGAAATTAGCCTTCAATGAGGGAGTCTCTATGTGTGGAATTTACATTTTAAATGTGAACAACAGGACTTTGTAAGCTGTGTGCAGGACAAAATACTATTTATAAGTAAAATAAGTTATGTTATGAATGAAGGTAACAATTATTGCAAGTAAATTTAGTCAATTTTCATGACTTATGGTGCACTCTGCACAAGGGAACAGCTTAAAAATACGGGGAGGATATTACATTTGATTTTCGATTTGTATCGTAGATGTGGTGCATGTGTTGTGTGGAGTTGATGTACAGTGTTGTGGTGCCTGTATTGTGTGGAGTTGATGTACAGTGTTGTGGTGCCTGTGTTGTGTGGCATAGATGTACAGTGTTGTGGTGCCTGTGTTGTGTAGAGTTGATGTACAGTGTTGTGGTGCCTGTGTTGTGTGGAGTAGATGTACAGTGTTGTGGTGCCTGTGTTGTGTGGAGTAGATGTACAGTGTTGTGGTGCCTGTATTGTGTGGAGTAGATGTACAGTGTTGTGGTGCCTGTGTTGTGTAGAGTTGATGTACAGTGTTGTGGTGCCTGTGTTGTGTGGAGTAGATGTACAGTGTTGTGGTGCCTGTGTTGTGTGGAGTAGATGTACAGTGTTGTGCCTGTATTGTGTGGAGTAGATGTACAGTGTTGTGGTGCCTGTGTTGTGTAGAGTTGATGTACAGTGTTGTGGTGCCTGTGTTGTGTGGAGTAGATATACAGTGTTGTGGTGCCTGTATTGTGTGGAGTAGATGTACAGTGTTGTGGTGCCTGTGTTGTGTGGAGTTGATGTACAGTGTTGTGGTGCCTGTGTTGTGTAGAGTTGATGTACAGTGTAGTGGTGCCTGTGTTGTGTGGAGTTGATGTACAGTGTTGTGGTGCCTGTGTTGTGTGGAGTAGATGTACAGTGTTGTGCCTGTGTTGTGTGGTGTAGATGTACAGTGTTGTGGTGCCTGTGTTGTGTAGAGTTGATGTACAGTGTTGTGGTGCCTGTATTGTGTGGAGTAGATGTACAGTGTTGTGGTGCCTGTGTTGTAGATATTCTTTGGAGTCTTTCACCAACTGCACCAACAAGATCACTTCTGTGGGACAGAAACTCATCGAGATTATAGGAAAGATGTTACATGCGTATGTATTATTTATGTATTTCACTGAAATGTATACATGTCCACTGTATTATGTGATGTCACATTTCAAATTTATCTCTTTATATTGAGCAGTCTGATTTGGTTTTAAGATCACAATATTTCATTATCATCCAGTGTCCAGTGTGTGAGAATCCTCAGTATTTACTACTTGTATGAAATAAGCATTGGTATTGCTTTGGCAGACCAAACACTGATAGTTTGACAAGCAGGGATTTGAACCCTAAGACATCTTGAGTAGTGAAGCAGCTTGAGTGTAGCAAAAGGAATACATTTCTTGTCAGGGACAAAACTAAGTTTGGAAAGTAGTTTTTATTTTCTGAAATCCAAAAAAATCTAAGTTTGGCATTCAGTAGAGTGGGTTATCTTTTTTCAGGATTTTCCTCCTTTATCAGAGACACATGTAAGTCAGCTGTGCACAATCAGAACTGAAATGAATATTTAAACTGGTTAGAATATATTACTAGCATTTACCACAGCCTTGAGAGAAGTTGTCTGTGATTACTTTCCTGTGTTTTCAAGACCATGTAAAGCAAGAGTGGAGAAGATCCATGTGATTGATGGTGAGTTCTCTAGCAGCTTCTTGTTTTTTGTGAGTATTTACCACTTTTCTGAACTACAGCATTCATTCATGTCAGCACATTTATAAATGGATTATCAGACAGGTGCACATATGTGATCTAGGCTCAAGTTGTGGCTGAGTAGGTTTGGACCAAGTAGTACTACAATTTGTACTTTCTTGAGGAAGTGTATTTAAATCCTATATGTTACATCGGTTGTATACTACTATGACTGGATGGCCAGGTTTGTGCTGTGTGGAAGAGTATGATGGTTGTGTGTTCTTACAGAGAAGACCATGCTGTCCAACAAAGGGAAGTGGGATCAGGCCGTGGCCACCATACTCAACCTCTTTGACGATGCCGCACGCTGGGTAAAGGGGGTTCCATTCAAAGCTGGTGAGTCACACAGAAGCCTCCTGCTGCCTCGGATAAATCCTCACTGAAACATTCTGGGTTACAGCTTGTCCCTGCAACCAGTGCTGGTCACAAGAAGTGACCATATGGATTGGGTGGTCAAGCTCCATGACTTGCTTCATGGTATTTTACCTCTATTGGGTGGGTCACCATCTCAGTCACTGGATTGTCTGGATCAGGGAAAACATGCAACAATAATGAATACAGCATAAATGCCAAATGTTATGGGAAATACAATTAAAGCCTCTAGATCGCAAGTGGTCCTGCATTTGAACTAAGTTTCTCTCTTCAGGTTGATCTCTACAATCGCTTGTTTTTTTAGTTGTATCGTATCAATAAGAACCCCCTGTTAGGTTTTTATTAATATCTAGTGACGTGTTTCAATTCAAACTCACAGTTCATAAAATCAAGATTTCAGAAAGGGTCTGTGGAAGGGAAGGGAGGTAACTCCCTTTTGTTGTTGTATTCCATATATTTCATAGCATCGTGAAACAATCCGTAGTGGTTCAAGGTGAAATCATAAGACAAGTGCAAAACCTTGTTGCTAATGAGTTGGATATAATTTTGTTTTCTCAAGTGGGCTTTGCATCTTTTTGTGTTTAAACCCATTGGCATGATCTCAAGTTATGGGGGAAGGGGGTTGGGTGGTAAGATTTTCTTTAGACTATCATATTTTGCCACATTTGTCAGTTCAAACTGACATGTCATGCATTCACAGTGGAAGCTCGTTATTGCCAGTAGTTTTCATGTATATCTTGTGTTGTCATGTCAGCTCTCCGTAATGGAAAGAAGCAGTACCAAGTCCTCATCTCTGCTGTTGACAAGCGTCTGGCTGAGCTCAATCAGATGTCACGACTGACAGAGGACCTACAGAACGTAAGCAAATCTGCTACATTAAAATAATAATAATAACAGTCCATTTATCATGTGCATTGCTCCATGCACAATGCAAGCGCCCAAACAATCTGATTATTAATACCCCAGATAACCCAAGCTGCCTGTTGGGCACTAGAGGGTTATAGTCACATGACTTTATCCCACCAGGTATCCATTTTCTGCTGGGTGAACAGAGGCAATTGGTGAGAGCACATGTATCACAAGTCCAAGAAACTCTCAGGAATCAAGCATGTTTCTACTAGAGGAATATCAGTCATGCTTCTCTTGTATATGACATCAAATGCAACCACTTTTCTTCATTTCATGTAAAACAACATTGGGATAAAGGATTCATTATGAAGTTTAGTTTCGTTTAGTATTTCTTAGAACATATTTTATTTGATAAAGTTTTAGCAGGATGGCTTAAAAATGTATTCTCAGAATGTTACCAATGCAGAAAGATCTCCAGTGTTTTTGGTACCTGAAAAGCACACAAATTAGGGCACTCAACGGGTTTTCAATATGGCTAAGAGACTCAGAACAAACTCATTAACTGCACTTTCACTGTACATATTATATGGTTGGACCTTCAAGGTATCTTTGTCCTTAGTCTTGTCCTGGTAGCTGGGTAAGATGGTTGAGTGGGGCGGGTACTTCAGCCTCGGAAGGTACCTTTGGAACCATGCTGTCTAGAAAAGGACATAGATTAACAGCCAGTGATCACACTCCGACGTCAAGATAATGATGTCATCACTAGAAAGAATGATGTGAACATCAAGGGCTGAAAGGTCATTGTGGACCAGGGCTAGGGGGTTCGTAAGGCAAAAAAAGTGGTAAACTCCCATTAAACTATGTCCCTGGGTTTATTCTGAATTTGGATCTTTTTCGATAAATTTGGAAATGATGTTTACCTTGTACTGGTCAAAACAACAAAACAATGTAAAATATGTCCGAAGCATATGTCCTAAACTATTAGTGATATCTTAACTAAACTTGGTACACATATCAACCATTATCCCTAGATGTGCCTTTTGGGGGTTAAACCCAGATGGGAATTTTATATTTTGCGGCTGCCATGGAAACATGACTTAGGCTGTGACTATGAGGATGTCATCTTGTCCGGAGCAGATCTCCCAAACTATACATGCCAGCTTCATCAGACTTGGTACACATATCAAGCATGATCCCTAGATGTGCCTTTTGGGGGTTAGACCCAGATACGAACTGTATTTTTTGTGGTTTCCATGGAAACATGACTTAGGCTGTGACTATGAGGATGTCATCTTGTTGCATTTTCCATGGCAACAAGTTAGGCTTCAACTGAATTTGGTGGTAGTGCTCCTTTCTGGAGCAGATCTTAAAACCTTTCAATACTCTCCTTCCACTTTTCTGTATACACACCAAAACATTGACATAATTAGTAGACATATTCATAAAGAGTATTTTGCCGTTGCGGGGGATATTGATGACTTTGTCTTCTTGTTGTTGTCAGAACCCACCAATCCCATAAATAAGTTCTAACCGAGTTTGAAGAATTCTCAAACCATTATCTTACCTCTGTCATTTTCATGATAGATTTATTAGGAAGTCATCAAAATGTCAGACAGATTCTACACCTTTCATACTCAGGGATTTTTCTAGGATTGTAAACATGTGTTGTTTTTTAATATTTTAACTTTGAAATTTAACTTTGCAATCAATGCAATAATGTTAACCGAGGCATCAACACATCTATCTCTATGTTAGTCCTGTTTTCACTGAAATTCAATAAGAATAATGATTTTATTGTCTGACTAATACATTTCATCTGATTGATTGAACTGACACTTACCGTATATGATTTAACACAACATTGTGGTAACCTTACATCAGTTAATATTACAATGTGCAATCGGCTAAAAATAGAATGGTTAACCCATAACCTAAACTTCTGACCCCATGTGTCTGTTGCAACAAGGCTGCCATCACTATGTCATAGTCGCTTCCCTTTCCTAACAATGGCAGACGAGAAAGTTGATAGATCTCAGCAAACTATAGTAGTTTATCAAACTATTACATTGTATCTAGTTTTGTGTCATATAATAAAGCAGTTACTGACTTCACTTTTAGATGATCTGATCATCTATCGACCTTGGACAAGTCATATTCACCTTCACCTTGGTAGATATAACACTTGTCCAAGGTCAATAAATCACTGGAATCGCATCAGTGATCATCACTTGCTGCATTATCATTGCAATACTCCAGTTGAGATGTACTCAAAGTTTGAATGAGAGATACAGCTATGCAAGGGTTATGTATATAAGGTCAATATTTCTGATATTTTGTTGTATGTCAGTATGCTGATGTTATTGATGATATCATTGAAGCTTAAAGCAGAGTTCTGTATAGCCACATGATTGTGTATATTGTCCTCTTGACATTGTCGCCAAGTTTAAATGGTGGTAACAATAACTTGCTCAGGTTCAAGCCAAAGCGTTAAGGAATGTATGCATGCATGCCCCCACAGCACTTCATCCATGCAAACATCTCAACTAGTCACTCAGTATTCTATTATTATAGTAAGAACTAACCAGGACTGGGCGGTGGTAATGTGGACCATGGCTAGTTGTGTGTCATTATGCCTTGTTCTTAACCTATGACCTCCATGACCTAGATGATCACATGCTGTACAGTGAACAAGACCCACCATTAAGCAATGCAAGTTTGGTTAATGGCTTTAATGTTCAGTCACCAGGAAAATTTCCAATGATCTCTTGCAAACACTAATTTTCTTGCCTGTTTTTTGTCAGCAATCTCATTTAAGGGAAATAGTCCAGTGTCCAGTGCATTTCATAAGTAAAAGCTTAATTGAAAGGTTGAAATGAGTACCTTTTGTCTAGCAGTATGCTGTATGATTTGTTTAGAAACTTCTGATGTCCAAGGAAATGATTGGCAAGTACTCTAAGGATGCAGATGACTACAAGCGCATGGTGGACAGACTGTCCAGTGAGCTGGAGGAGGTCCAGGCACAGCTGGTGAGTCTGGGAGTAGTGCTAACCTGCAGAGACCAGGGCCCCGTTCCACAAGGCAATAGTAGAGCTACGACAGTCGTAAGTCTATGTTAAAGTATGGGAGCTGCAATCATCTTAGCACTACGAATGCTTTGTGGAACGGGGCCCAGGAGACTAACAGATCTGCAGAGGCCAGGAGACTAACAGACCTGCACAGGCAAGGAGACTACTGCATAGAGCAGGAGACTAACAGACCTGCACAGGCCAGGAGACTAACAGACCTGCACAGGCAAGGAGGCTACTGCATAGAGCAAGAGACTAACAGACTTGCACAGGCCAGGAGACTAACAGACCTGCACAGGCAAGGAGACTAACAGACCTGCACAAACCAGGAGACTGACAGACCTGCACAAACCAGGAGACTAACAGACCTGCACACACCAGGAGACTACTGCATAGACCTGTGGCCGTATGCATATGTCGGGCGTAAATTCTAGTCCGGGCGTAAGTAAAATGTGCGCCCGGACGTAATGTTAAACCGGTATGCACATAGTAGACGTAGTTAAAGTTACACCAGTCGTAGCGCTCTATATTTACGCCACCTATCCAGCAGGCGTAGCCTTGTAATGGCGGCACTGGATGCCGAGTTTTTTATCAGGCGCACATTTTCAAAACTGTTTAAAAGTGAACGTTGTGCGAGAATTGCGCTCGCGTGGTCCTGGATCTGCGTACGGCTATAAAATTAAACAGAAATGTAGAATATTTAATTTCCTATCTGTTGGTATAAATATAAGTGCGACTACCTCGGTGGTTTTAGAAATAGACACTGCTAAATGTTGTCCAAAATTTTGTTACGCGTTAAAAAACTGTCAATTTCTCCGCTTTTTGTCGTGCACCGATAAAAGCACTCTGCTACGAATTTTTTAATTTGGCATCTTTACAGAAAGTGTGGCGCGAAGAAAATGCAGCCTGATATCTGAGCGACATAAGTGTATATAAAATGGGTTTATGTGCTAATGCTTAACGTTACAAACTCAACATTAAAAATGACCCGCGATAGGTGCGAAAAATGGATTTTCTTCTATGACGTCAACCGACGACAGAGAGGTCATACACGTATAAAGATAACGGGGCATAACTCCGCTATGCTTAACACTAGGTCAATGTAACTCAGATCACTTGGAGAAAAGTTGTTGTGGATACGGACGCTATATTTTCGTTATGCTGTGTTCACGGTAAACCAAACTATTCCAATTCAAAGTTCAACAATGTGAGCGGATACGTTTTGGTAGTTTCACAATTTATAAGAAAAGATGGCAATGTACTACTTGAGAAAGCAGGTAATAGCGTTTTGGATTACCCTATCCGATATGTAAGTTAGTTCTTAGATTCCCATGTTCTCCTGTTTGTGTAGATGTGTTTTGACTAATTTTGCATCATTATTAACGGAGTACTAGCCATATCTTCAAATGTAATGAAATTACTGATAATAATACAACGTTTTAGTTGACGTCATTGCTTGTTTTATGCATTTTGTGACGTCGGAAAAAGACGACATTGATTAGTATATATCTTACCTAATTTCCATTAATTGTATAAAAGGTCTCGGCTTCTATGTCAGAATTTAATACTCTTTAGAGAAAACATAACATGAATGATTTTACCAATTAAATAGTGTCCCGAATATATCAACAATTGGACGGTTTATTGTGAGCAGCACGCGCACCTGTTTGGCATCAATTTAACGTAAATGAAAAATAATATTTCACAACACCCAAATATTTTGCAGTTATGGCTACGTGTGATCTTCTAATACTTGTGTAAAGGTTTAAAATATGGTATACTACACTAAATGTGTCAATTTCTTATGTAAATATTATTCAAACAATCAAAAACTTTCAAAGAATAAAAAAAACTGCCTACCCTATATCCACGTATAATATGGTATTGAACAAGGCTAAATATATATACAGAAATTAGTTTGATGAAAAAATAACTGAACGATACGCAAAACATACATCATAATACTGAAAGTGTAATCGGAAGGATAGGGCGATTGTGTTTACTCTTGTTCAAGCAACCTTCACCTCAAAGAAAATGCCTAACATGTACAACAATGTTGACGTATGACATCACTACCGATGACCGATATCTTACAAAATGGCGGCCTCGCTGACAAGGGTACACAGGATTTTGCGAGGACCCTTCCCTTGATTCAGGGATCGTTCGTTTATAAAATATGAGATGTAAGTAATCAGAATGATTCTGACTATCTGTGTATTGTTATATGTTTTATCGTTTTCATTGTAAGTAAGAGAAGAAGCCAGAAATGCTGATAATTACCTTTGTCATTCTTCGTGAATTTGCGTCATTAGTGATTTCATGAAAACTTGATATCAGTGATCAGTAATATGCTATTTTTGAAATTCAATACTTCTGAGTAGTAATTATCCGATTTGAACATTTGAAAACATACCCAAATAACGCTGTGAATCGTGATTTGGTAATGTTTAAAAAATGGCGACATTTATGGTGAAGCCCATTTTGAAAGTCCATGTTATTTCTCCATCAGGATCCATCTGTAAAGTTGGGTTTTCTTGGTTTTCTTTGGCTTTCCATGATTACGGCTGAAAGGGATGTACCGCGAAGTTGTTTCACGCCTTTTACCGGTGGTTTAAAAACGTTCGAAAAAATCTAAAAATAGCTCACTGCTCTTCGACGTAAATCCGTTAAGCCGGGCGTAGCAACGCCAAGGCTTAACCGACGTTGTGCATGACGTGTAAGAGGAGGGCGCTGCTAAGCCCGAAGTAGTGTGTTACGCCTGACGTTAGCTACGCCCAACATGTGCATACGGCCACAGACAAGGAAACTACTGCATAGACCAGGAGACTAACAGACCTGCACAGACCAGGAGACTAACAGACCTGCACAAACCAGGAGACTAACAGACCTGCACAAACCAGGAGACTAACAGACCTGCACAGGCAAGGAGACTACTGCATTGACCAGGAGACTAACAGACCTGCACAGACCAGGAGACTAACAGTCCTACACACATCAGGAGACTACTGCATAGACCAGGAGACTAACAGACCTGCACAATCCAGCAGACGTACACCTGAGTTAGGACCAGTGAACAAATAGACCCGGAGCAAGTGGTGGGTGGACAGACAGACTGCAGCTAGTGGTGGGAGGACAGACATACCTGAGTTAGTGGTTGGTGGACAGACAGACCTGGAGCTAGTGGTGGGTGGACAGACAGACCTGGAGCTAGTGGTTGGTGGACAGACAGACCTGGAGCTAGTGGTGGGTGGACAGACAGACCTGGGAGTTAGTAGTGGTGGGTGGACAGACAGACCTGCAGCTAGACAGACAGACCTGGAGCTAGTGGTTGGTGGACAGACAGACCTGGAGTTAGTGGTGGGTGGACAGACAGACCTAGAGAGTGGTTGGTGGACAGACAGACCTGGTGTGGTGGTGGACAGACAGACCTGGAGCTAGTGGTTGGTGGAGACAGACCTGGAGTGGTGGGTGGACAGACAGACCTGCAGCTAGTGGTTGGTGGACAGACAGACCTGGAGCTAGTGGTTGGTGGACAGACAGACCCGAGTGGTTGGTGGACAGACAGACCTGGAGCTAGTGGTTGGTGGACAGACAGACCTGGAGCTAGTGGTGGTGGACAGACAGACCTGGAGCTAGTGGTGGGTGGACAGACAGACCAGACAGACCTAGAGAGCTAGTGGTGGGTGGACAGACAGACCTGGTGGGGACAGACAGACCTGGACAGACAGACCTGGAGCTAGTGGTAGTGGAGCTAGTGGTTGGTGGACAGACAGACCTGGAGCTAGTGGTGGGTGGACAGACAGACCTGGACAGACAGACCTGGAGTGGGTGGGTGGACAGACAGACCTGAGCTAGTGGTGGGTGGACAGTTGGGTTGGTGGACAGACAGTGGTGGTGGACAGACAGACAGATGACCTGAGTTAGTGGTTGTGGACAGACAGCCTAGTGGTTGGTGGACAGACACCTAGAGCTAGTGGTTGGTGGACAGACAGACCTGGAGCTAGTGGTGGGTGGACAGACAGACCTGAAGCTAGTGGTTGGTGGACAGACAGACCTGAGAGCTAGTGGTTGGTGGACAGACAGACCTGGAGCTAGTGGTTGGTGGACAGACAGACCTGGAGCTAGTGGTGGGTGGACAGACAGACCTGAAGCTAGTGGTTGGTGGACAGACAGACCTGGAGCTAGTGGTTGGTGGACAGACAGACCTGGAGCTAGTGGTGGGTGGACAGACAGACCTGGAGCTAGTGGTGGGAGGACAGACAGACCTGAAGCTAGTGGCTAGTGGTGGGTGGACAGACATGTGGACAGACAGACCTAGAGCTAGTGGTTGATGGACAGACAGATCTGGAGCTAGTGGTGGGTGGACAGACAGACCTGAAGCTAGTGGTGGGTGGACATACAGACCTGGAGCTAGTGGCGGGTAGACAGTCATACAGAATAGGAATTCGGCATGTTGTTTGACGTGAAATAGGTACCATATGTTATATTTGAGATTACACTTTGTCAGCAAAGTACAGATTCTAGTACGTATATGGGGTCAGATTCCAGCCCCTATTGCTGACTTGGCGTATTCATAAGGTAAGTGCATATGTGAAATGAACAGTGTGTTGCTGACACTGCTTCATTGTGTGTCTCCAGAGGACCTCAGTGGAGGATAACAAGAAACTGACCAGTCAGTTGTCCATGCTGGAGGGTCAGGTGAAGGAACTGAAGGAGGAATTGGCCAATCCCAAGTCTCCGCCACCCCGCATACCCACCCCTCCTCCACCATCACCACCTCCACAACCACCTCAGCCTTCAGAAAGCGCCATGGCACGTGAGTATCCGAGTCATGAACATGCATATAGAATGATGGCCATCCATGTAAAGAGCACACATGAGTCAAGGTTTTTGTGTCTAAATCAAGTTGTTGTAGGCATGGTCTCGAAGATTTCAATATATGTGAAAAGCATCTTTTTTCCAGTGGGAGAGAAGACAAAACAACAGCTGGAAAGGCTAGAGAAGGAGATACTGGAGTACAGGGTAAGTACACAGTCAGTGCAGGGGATACCAGGACACTTCCCACAGATACAGGGTCAGTACAGTACACAGGGTGAATACAGGGTCAGTACACAGATACAGGGTCAGTACACAGATCAGTACAGGGTCAGTACATACAGGGTCAGTACACAGATACAGGGTCAGTACACAGATACAGGGTCAGTACACAGATACAGGGTCAGTACACAGATACTGGTCAGTACAGATACAGTACACAGGGGTCAGTACACAGAGTACACAGGGTCAGTACACAGATACACAGGGTCAGTACACAGGGTCAGTACACAGATACAGTACACAGGGTCAGTACACAGATACAGGGTCAGTACACAGGGTCAGTACACACAGGGTCAGTACACAGATACAGGGTCAGTACACAGATACAGGGTCAGTACACAGATACAGGGTCAGTACACAGTACACAGTGATACAGGGTCAGTACAGGGTCAGTACACAGGGTCAGTACACAGATACCTGGTCAGTACACAGATACCGGGTCAGTACACAGGTACCGGGTCAGTACACAGGGTCAGTACACAGATACCGGGTCAGTACACAGATACCGGATCAGTACACAGGGTCAGTACACAGGGTCAGTACACAGATACCGGGTCAGTACACAGGGTCAGTACACAGATACTGGGTCAGTACACAGATACAGGGTCAGTACACAGGGTCAGTACACAGATACAGGGTCAGTACACAGGGTCAGTACACAGATACAGGGTCAGTACACAGGGTCAGTACACAGATACAGGGTCAGTACACAGATACAGGGTCAGTACACAGATACAGGGTCAGTACACAGATACACACAGGGGTCAGTCAGTACACAGGGGGTCAGTACACAGATACAGGGTCAGTACACAGATACAGGGTCAGTACACAGGGTCAGTACACAGATACCTGAGGGTCAGTACACAGATACAGGGTCAGTACACAGGGTCAGTACACAGAGGTCAGTACACAGATACAGGGTCAGTACACAGATACCGGGTCAGTACACAGATACAGGGTCAGTCAGTACACAGATATACAGGGTCAGTACACAGATACACACACAGGGTCAGTACACAGATACACAGAGTACACAGATACAGGTCAGTACACAGATACACAGTACACAGGGGGTCAGTACACAGACAGTACATGGGTCAGTACACAGATACAGGGTCAGTACAGTACACAGATACAGGGGTCAGTACACAGGGTCAGTACACAGATGGGGTCAGTACACAGATACAGGTCAGTACACAGATACAGGGTCAGTACACAGATACAGGGTCAGTACACAGGGTCAGTACACAGGGTCAGTACACAGATACACGGGTCAGTACACAGGGTCAGTACACAGATACAGGGTCAGTACACAGATACAGGGTCAGTACACAGATACAGGGTCAGTACACAGATACAGGGTCAGTACACAGGGTCAGTACACAGATACAGGTCAGTACACAGGGTCACAGATACTGGGTCAGTACACAGGGTCAGTACAGTACACAGATACAGTACACAGAGGGTCAGTACACAGATACAGGGTCAGTACACAGATACAGGGTCAGTACACAGGGTCAGTACACAGGGTCAGTACACAGATACAGGGTCAGTACACAGATACAGGGTCAGTACACAGATACTGGGTCAGTACACAGATACTGGGTCAGTACACAGATACAGGGTCAGTACACAGATACAGGGTCAGTACACAGATACAGGGTCAGTACACAGATACCGGGTCAGTACACAGATACAGGGTCAGTACACAGATACAGGGTCAGTACAGATACAGGGTCAGTACACAGATACAGGGTCAGTACACAGGTGGGTGTACACAGATACAGAGCTATAAGGTCAGTACATCAGGGCACAATCCGGTGTACACAGATACAGGGTCAGTACACAGACACAGGTGTACTCAGGGCACAATCCGGTGTACCGAGAAGGTGTACCAAGGGCACAGGGTCAATGTGTATACTATATACCTAACATTGGATCACTTACTCCAACTAGCAACAGTAGACTTTTCCCAACTCACTGAATCTTTATCTTCATTAACAGTCATGGTAGTTAAGTTATCTCCATTTGATCATAAGAACTTGTTGCTGACACACCTAATCCAGATTCAGTGGAGAATACAAGATCAACATACCGACTACAGTGTTAGTGTGATAGGGTCACAACATACAATAGAGATTCATTACTTTCACTATACATACAAAGGGCAACTAAATAGGTACATGTTCTTTCCGAACTGTTGCTATTAGTACACAGGGTACAGGATGAGTACATCCAGTATGGAATCAGTAGTGTAGATAATACACATTGTAGTCCTATCAACATTTTGTAGGACCAGGTTGAATAGATTGTTCTGTCACTTGGATCAGTATTCAGTTGTTTATGTGTTGATGTTGTGTTTTAGGACTACATGTTCATAAAAACAGTCATGTGTCACTTCCTTGATGGTAAAACGTGATACTCCATTGTAATTTGTCAGATGATAGTCAACAACCTGAGTAGTCGCATCGATGAACTGGAAGAACAGCTGTCTAAGGAAAAGCGTGAGTTGTCCCCAGTCTGCTTCATGGCTCATTGTTCCACTGTCTGCCTCATGTCTCATTGTTCCACTGTCTGCCTCATGGTTCATTGTTCCACTGTCTGCCTCATGGCTCATTGTTCCACTGTCTGCCTCATGGCTCATTGTTCCACTGTCTGCCTCATGTCTCATTGTTCCACTGTCTGCCTCATGGATCATTGTTCCACTGTCTGCTTCATGTCTCATAGTCCATCTCTCTTGTGTCCTGTTGAGTCACTGTCTGCTCTATGTCTGATTGTCTGGTTCATACCTCACTGTCTGCTCTATGTCTGATTGTCCCATTGTCTGGTTCATACCTCACTGTCTGCTCTATGTCCGATTGTCCCATTGTCTGGTTTATACCTCACTGTCTGTTCTTTGTCCGATTGTCTCATTGTCTGGTTCATACCTCACTGTCTGCTCTATGTCCGATTGTACCATTGTCTTGTTCATACTTCACTGTCTGCTCTATGTCTGATTGTCTCATAGTCTGTTTCATACCTCACTGTCTGCTCTGTCTGATTGTCTCATTGTCTGTTTCATACCTCACTGTCTGCTCTATGTCTGATTGTCTGTTTCATACCTCACTGTCTGCTCTATGTCTGATTGTCCCATTGTCTGGTTCATACCTCACTGTCTGCTCTATGTCTGATTGTCCCATTGTCTGGTTCATACCTCACTGTCTGCTCTATGTCCGATTGTCTGCTCTATGTCTCATTGTCCCATTGTCTGGTTCATACCTCACTGTCTGCTCTATGTCTGATTGTCCCATTGTCTGGTTCATACCTCACTGTCTGCTCTATGTCTGATTGTCCCATTGTCTGGTTCATACCTCACTGTCTGCTCTATGTCTGATTGTCCCATTGTCTGGTTCATACCTCACTGTCTGCTCTGTCTCATTGTCTGGTTCATACCTCACTCTCTGCTCTATGTCTCATTGTCCCATTGTCTGGTTCATACCTCACTGTCTGCTCTATGTCTGATTGTCCCATTGTCTGGTTCATACCTCACTGTCTGCTCTATGTCCGATTGTCTGCTCTATGTCTCATTGTCCCATTGTCTGTTTCATACCTCACTGTCTGCTCTATGTCCGATTTTACCTTTGTCTGGTTCATACCTCACTGTCTGTTCTATGTCCGATTGTCTCATTGTCTGGTTCATACCTCACTGTCTGCTCTATGTCTCATTGTCTCATTGTCTGTTTCATACCTCACTGTCTGCTCTGTCTCATTGTCTGTTTCATACCTCACTGTCTGCTCTATGTCTGATTGTCTGTTTCATACCTCACTGTCTGCTCTATGTCTGATTGTCCCATTGTCTGGTTCATACCTCACTGTCTGCTCTATGTCTGATTGTCCCATTGTCTGGTTCATACCTCACTGTCTGCTCTATGTCTGATTGTCCCATTGTCTGGTTCATACCTCACTGTCTGCTCTATGTCTCATTGTCCCGTTGTCTGGTTCATACCTCACTGTCTGCTCTATGTCTGATTGTCCCATTGTCTGGTTTATACCTCACTGTCTGCTCTATGTCCGATTGTCTGCTCTATGTCTGATTGTCCCATTGTCTGGTTCATACCTCACTGTCTGCTCTATGTCTGATTGTCCCATTGTCTGGTTGATACCTCACTGTCTGCTCTATGTCTGATTGTCCCATTGTCTGGTTCATACCTCACTGTCTGTTCTATGTCTGATTGTCCCATTGTCTGTTTCATACCTTACTGTCTGCTCTATGTCTGATTGTCCCATTGTCTGGTTGATACCTCACTGTCTGCTCTATGTCTGATTGTCCCATTGTCTGGTTCATACCTCACTGTCTGCTCTATGTCTGATTGTCCCATTGTCTGGTTCATACCTCACTGTCTGCTCCATGTCAGATTGTCTGCTCTATGTCTGATTGTCCCATTGTCTGGTTCATATCTCACTGTCTGCTCTGTGTCCGATTTACCATTGTCTTGTTCATACCTCACTGTCTGCTCTCTATGTCTGATTGTCCCATTGTCTGTTCATACCTCACTGTCTGTTCTATGTCCGATTTTACCATTGTCTGGTTTATACCTCACTGTCTGCTCTATGTCCGATTGTCTCTGCTCTATGTCTGATTGTCTCATTGTCTGGTTCATACCTCACTTTCTGCTCTATGTCCGATTGTCTGCTCTATATCTCATTGTCCCATTGTCTGGTTCATACCTCACTGTCTGCTTTATGTCCGATTTTTACCATTGTCTGGTTCATACCTCACTGTCTGCTCTATGTCCGATTGTCTCATTGTCTGGTTCATACCTCACTGTCTGCTCTATGTCCGATTGTACCAATGTCTTGTTCATACTTCACTGTCTGCTCTATGTCTGATTGTCTCATTGTCTGTTTCATACCTCACTGTCTGCTCTGTCTCATTGTCTCATTGTCTGTTTCATACCTCACTGTCTGCTCTATGTCTGATTGTCCCATTGTCTGGTTCATACCTCACTGTCTGCTCTATGTCTGATTGTCTCATTGTCTGTTTCATACCTCACTGTCTGCTCTGTCTCATTGTCTCATTGTCTGTTTCATACCTCACTGTCTGCTCTATGTCTGATTGTCCCATTGTCTGGTTCATACCTCACTGTCTGCTCTATGTCTGATTGTCCCATTGTCTGTTTCATACCTCACTGTCTGCTCTATGTCTCATTGTCCCATTGTCCCATTGTCTGGTTTATACCTCACTGTCTGTTCTTTGTCCGATTGTCTCATTGTCTGTTTCATACCTCACTGTCTGCTCTATACCTTTCACTGTCTGCTCTATGTCTGATTGTCTGTTTCATACCTCACTGTTCGTTCTATGTCTGATTGTCCCATTGTCTGGTTCATACCTCACTGTCTGCTCTATGTCTGATTGTCCCATTGTCTGGTTGATACCTCACTGTCTGCTCTCGGCGTCTGATTGTCCCATTGTCTGGTTCATACCTCACTGTCTGCTCTATGTCTCATTGTCCCGCTTGTCTGGTTCATACCTCACTGTCTGCTCTATGTCTGATTGTCCCATTGTCTGGTTTATACCTCACTGTCTGCTCTATGTCCGATTGTTCGCTCTATGTCTGATTGTCCCATTGTCTGGTTCATACCTCACTGTCTGCTCTATGTCTGATTGTCCCATTGTCTGGTTGATACCTCACTGTCTGCTCTATGTCTGATTGTCCCATTGTCTGGTTCATACCTCACTGTCTGTTCTATGTCTGATTGTCCCATTGTCTGTTTCATACCTTACTGTCTGCTCTATGTCTGATTGTCCCATTGTCTGGTTGATACCTCACTGTCTGCTCTATGTCTGATTGTCCCATTGTCTGGTTGATACCTCACTGTCTGCTCTATGTCTGATTGTCCCATTGTCTGGTTCATACCTCACTGTCTGCTCCATGTCAGATTGTCTGCTCTATGTCTGATTGTCCCATTGTCTGGTTCATATCTCACTGTCTGCTCTGTGTCCGATTTTACCATTGTCTTGTTCATACCTCACTGTCTGCTCTATGTCTGATTGTCCCATTGTCTGGTTCATACCTCACTGTCTGCTCTATGTCCGATTTTACCATTGTCTGGTTTATACCTCACTGTCTGCTCTATGTCCGATTGTCTGCTCTATGTCTGATTGTCTCATTGTCTGGTTCATACCTCACTCTCTGCTCTATGTCCGATTGTCTGCTCTATATCTCATTGTCCCATTGTCTGGTTCATACCTCACTGTCTGCTTTATGTCCGATTTTACCATTGTCTGGTTCATACCTCACTGTCTGCTCTATGTCCGATTGTCTCATTGTCTGGTTCATACCTCACTGTCTGCTCTATGTCCGATTGTACCAATGTCTTGTTCATACTTCACTGTCTGCTCTATGTCTGATTGTCTCATTGTCTGTTTCATACCTCACTGTCTGCTCTGTCTCATTGTCTCATTGTCTGTTTCATACCTCACTGTCTGCTCTATGTCTGATTGTCCCATTGTCTGGTTCATACCTCACTGTCTGCTCTATGTCTGATTGTCTCATTGTCTGTTTCATACCTCACTGTCTGCTCTGTCTCATTGTCTCATTGTCTGTTTCATACCTCACTGTCTGCTCTATGTCTGATTGTCCCATTGTCTGGTTCATACCTCACTGTCTGCTCTATGTCTGATTGTCCCATTGTCTGTTTCATACCTCACTGTCTGCTCTATGTCTCATTGTCCCATTGTCCCATTGTCTGGTTCATACCTCACTGTCTGCTCTATGTCTGATTGTCCCATTGTCTGGTTCATACCTCACTGTCTGCTCTATGTCCGATTGTCTGCTCTATGTCTGATTGTCCCATTGTCTGGTTCATACCTCACTGTCTGCTCTATGTCTGATTGTCCCATTGTCTGGTTCATACCTCACTGTCTGCTCTATGTCTGATTGTCCCATTGTCTGGTTCATACCTCACTGTCTGCTCTATGTCTGATTGTCCCATTGTCTGGTTCATACCTCACTGTCTGCTCTATGTCTGATTGTCCCATTGTCTGGTTCATACCTCACTGTCTGCTCTATGTCTGATTGTCCCATTGTCTGGTTCATACCTCACTGTCTGCTCTATGTCTGATTGTCCCATTGTCTGGTTCATACCTCACTGTCTGCTCCATGTCAGATTGTCTGCTCTATGTCTGATTGTCCCATTGTCTGGTTCATACCTCACTGTCTGCTCTGTGTCCGATTTTACCATTGTCTTGTTCATACCTCACTGTCTGCTCTATGTCTCATTGTCCCATTGTCTGGTTCATACCTCACTGTCTGCTCTATGTCCGATTTTACCATTGTCTGGTTCATACCTCACTGTCTGCTCTATGTCCGATTGTCTGCTCTATGTCTGATTGTCTCATTGTCTGGTTCATACCTCACTGTCTGCTCTATGTCCGATTTTACCATTGTCAGGTTCATACCTCACTGTCTGCTCTATGTCTGATTGTCTCATTATCTGGTTCATACCTCACTGTCTGCTCTATGTCTGATTGTCCCATTGTCTGTTTCATACCTCACTGTCTTCTCTATGTCTGATTGTCCCATTGTCCCATTGTCCCAGTGTAAATTGTAAATCAATCATTCATGTCAGCTGACACTGACATTTTAACCTTTCAAAGAATATTTGCCAAATGCAATATGTAGAAAAATATTCAATATATTTTCATGTCAAAATAACTATTTAAAATGTCAGTGTCAGCTGACATGAATGATTGATTTATTTGTGGAATCAAAGATCGGTCTACCAACGCTTATGGTGTATTGAACAGAGCAAGTCAAGCTACTCAAAGAGAGCCTGGAAATCTACTCTCAGCCTGCTGCCGTAGCACCAAGAGGCCCCGAGCCAGTGGTAGAGATGCCCACAGAGGTATGTCAGGGGTAGTGGCCTTAGGTGTGTTTCTTGTCATTGCCAGAATCTGCTGGTTGTAAGTCCTTTGTTTCACCAGTGGTAAATACCAGTGATCTCTGACATGCTCGGCTCTACTAAAAAGCAAAATATGTTATTCAAAGTGAGAGAAAAAAACAAAGTGACACAATTTACACTTAGCCAAATCAATCCACTCATTAAAGAAATGATACTTTGAAGTAAAACATTGTGCTGACAGTTTTGCAGATGTCCTTCAGGTCATGGTAAAGAAGTACAAGATGTATTCTGAAACAGGAATTCTTCTTCATAGAGATCGTCCTTGGGGTACATATTATGCATTTTCCAAGCTGAAAATGTCCTGTGACAGTTGTATCAATGTTTTTTGAATAAAAAGATTGTACAATAAATAAACTCTTTTATTTATTATACAGCCCCCACCTCACGGAGTTACCTCCCGTTGCGCATGCGCACCAACTGGGTAAGCACCTAGGCCCGTATCATCATTCCTTCTGCTGTCACTGCCCCTAACAGACGCATGTGTCGAGCAGAGCTGACCTTTTCAGAATGAAAAAGAATAATGTCTGGAACACCACCTGTATGTATGGTCTTTATTACCTTTGCAAAAGGAACAGTAAAGCTTTGCAGTCGGTTGTTTCATAATTGTGACTTTGTATTAATTATTTTACGCTAACTTTCCCGTGGTTTACGCACATGTTGCTCTGCCATGGCGGGAAGTTTCGAGTGCCACGTGGTTGTAATATTGCGTATTGAACCAACTATTTCTTCCCGTGGTAGCCTTCACGTATTTTTCAATGTTTTCTACGTGTATATATGCTGCTGGTCCGCCGTTAGCTACATGCTTGCGTGTTTGCTTTCAGGCGTTTTCCTCCTGTTCGGTCTGTGGACAAAGTATTCCACGGGCCGACAGGCACGACAAATGTATTGTCTGCCTAGAGAAGACCGGCCATGAGGCCGAAACCTGTGAAATTTGTATGGGGTTTTCCCCCCGGGCTCAGAAGCGGAGGGCTGCCGATACTCTCTTTTATAGAGAGATGCGGGAGGCGGAAGGGGAACTTACCCAGGTCCCCCCGTCTAAGGCTAAAAAGTCTAAAGGGAAAAAATCCCGTAGCCAGTCCCCTGCTCCCGCTCCTGGTAGCGGTTTTGACAGGCAGGAGTTTTTCGCCCACTCTGAGCGTGGGGCGGAGAGTCTTGGGGGGGGATCGCCGAGCCCAGCTCGATCCCTAGGCCTTGAGGCGTCTGTCGACCTGTTGCCTCTGGCTTCGGGTCCGGACGCCTCGGCTGCCCCGGAGAGGGAGGTGCTCCCAGTCCCCCTCGCGGAGTTGGCGCAGGGACCGTTGATGATTCCTGGGGTTCCGATCCCTGCGCCCTCCCGCCCCATGAGAGCGGAGGCACCAGTTCTGCCTGGTATGCCTCCAGCGTCTCGGGACCGGGGTCCGTGCACGCCTGCAGGCACTGACACGGGGCACTCTGTCTGCTCCTCCCTCTCTGTTGTTCCTAGTGCTAGGCAGCCCACCGGGTCGGGGTTCGGGTCCTTTCGCGAGGAGACCCAGCCTCAGACTCGGGCTCGGGCGCCGAGTCGATGGATACTGGGGAGGTTGAGGAGCAGGAGGGTGCCTTCCGTTTCTCTTCGGCTCTGCAGGAGGTCAGGCAAAGAATTGCCGAGTACCTACCCCAGGCCGCGGTGCCTGTTAGCAGCTCGGACTCGGCTGAGTTCCACTTGCCAGCCGAGGCGTTTGCCCCTAGGCAGCCTACGCAGACGCAGCTCCGCATTCTGCCCTCGTTAGGACGTGGTGGATCCCCTCTTGTCTGGTTCTCGCCTCCGTTTTGACTTGCCGGAGCTTGTCAGGAGATACCAGCTTGGGGAGGATTCCCTGTTCGTGGTACCTATCGTGGACGAGTGTGTTTTTACTTCAGTCGCCTTGGGGGGAGGCTCGGCTTCCTCCGGAGCAGCTCCGGCTGCTCGGCAAGGGCGTGTTACTCCACCGTTTGCCCTCCCGGGCGCCCCCCTGCAGCATGCGTACCGTACCTATGAGGAGGTTTACAGGAACGCTATGCAGCAGGTCAGGGTGGTGGTCCATGAGGCCTACCTCTCCTCGATACAGAGGTCGACCCTGGAGGCGGAGGGGCATGCTGGTGACGTTTAGCCGCATGTCGTGCTGCTCCGTCAGCTATCTGAAGTACAGGCCCACCTCGCGCGCGACTCTTTGCGGTCCGCTGTGTCGACGGTGATGTGCGCAGTCATGGGGATGCGCAAGCTGTGGTTGTCGACGTCTCGTTACTCGGCAGCGACACAGCAGACCTTGCTGGCCCTCCCCTTCCGTCTGGGAGCGACCCTCTTTCCAGGGGCACAGCAGGTCATACGGGAGGCTGCCGCTGCAGCTACCTCCTTCAAGGACTCTAAGGCCTTGTTGGAGCACCCGCGGGTGTCTCGCCCCCGTGCTCCCGTTCCACCTTCCTCCGCCGGGGTGCAGCCTACACCCGAGTCTGCTGGCTGGCTTCGGCCGCTTGGCAGGGGTAAGCGGAGGCACAGGTCCGCCAAGGGTAAGGGCAAGGAGCAGTCCTCGACTAGCTCCCAGCCTTTTTGCGGGCGCGGGAGGTCTGCCCCGACCTCCCGTTAACCCATCAGGCTGTCGTTCAAGCCGTGTGTCACGCCCAGTCAGCTCCGCTACTCGGGACGACGCATACGCTCTTACCCGACGACCCAGTGGGAGGCCGCCTCTCTCCATTCCTGCCGGAATGGGAGAAGGCTACACAAAACACTTGGGTGCTGTCCACCATCAGTGTAGGCCATTTACCACTGTGGAAGCGAGGTCCGCCTGACTTCACCGGCATCGCGCGACTCCGTGCCCGCCATGTCAGGCAAGGGCGACATATTGCGCGGCGACGTTCAGGCTCTGCTGGACAAGTCCGCAATCGAAGCGATTCCAACGGGAGAGGAACAGGCGGGATTTTACTCCACGCTTCCTCTCCCGAAGAAAGACGGCGGGTTCCGTCCCATTCTCAACCTCAAGGGGTTGAACCGCATGCTAGAAGTACCATCCTTCAAGATGGAGACACTGCGCTCGGTGATCTCATCTGTTCAGCCCGGCGATTGGCTCACGTCAATCGACCTAAAGGATGCGTATTCTGCATGTGCCCATACATCCATCGTTCAAGCAGTACCTTCGGGTTCTCTTTACGACGGGATGTGTTACCAATTCAGGGTGCTCCCTTCGGCATATCGACTGCCCCAAGGGCGCTCACCAAGCTCATGTTAGTCCCGGCTACCCTCGCCGCCGCAAGGAAGGCGTTGTTACCCTTACCTCGGCGACTGGTTGCTCGGAGCACTAACACAGCCAGCGAGTCTAGATGCTACTCACACAGTGATAGACATTCTAATTCGACTGGGGTGGATCATCAACCTCAAGAAATCCGACCTGGTACCCACCCAGGACTTGGTTTTTCTTGGGGCGCGATTCCAAACAAACAAGGATCTCGTTTCCTTGTCGCCCGACCGGATCACCAGAGTTCGGGAGGTGGTATCTTCGTTCCTCTCCCAGCCCCAGGCACCAGCACGGACTTGGCTCCGTCTACTGGGCCATATGGCGGCGACGATCTCTGTAGTGTGGCGGGCGCGGTTGAGGATGCGCCCTATACAGCAAGCTTTGGCAAGGCTCACAAGGAGGACCTGACACCTCACCTTCAGTGGTGGACCAATGTCGGGAATCTCACCAGGGGGATCCCCTTGGAAATCCCGACGCCAGCTCTCACAGATCAGACCGATGCGTCCCTCACGGGCTGGGGGGGTGTTCTGGGCAGTCTGTCGGTGTCCGGACTCTGGTCCGAAGCAGAAGCCCACCTTCACATCAACGTGTTGGAACTGAGAGCTGTGCGGTTGGTTTTCGAACGCTTCAGAGAGCATGTCCGTGGCCAGGTAGTCCGTCTTCAGTTGGACAACCAGACGGCCATGTCGTACATCCTGAAGCAGGGCGGCACGGTGTCCCGAACGCTTCTTCAGGAGGCGTGGGACTTTCTACTCTGGTACGACCAGTGCGATTGTCAGGTACTCCCTGTTTATCTCCCGGGGCTGGAGAACGTGCGAGCAGACGCGCTCTCTCGCCGGATCCTGGCCCCGCACGAGTGGATGCTCGACAGGCAGATATTCAGAGTTCTCTCCCAGTTGTACGGGTCGTTCAGGTGGATCTGTTTGCGTCCGGCGGGACGAATCAGACACCCGTGTTCTGCTCTCGAATACCGGACCCAGGGCGCTGGCTGCCGGCGCCTTCCTGCTGGATTGGACGGGCAAAGTGCTCTGGATGCTCCCCGCCGCTACCACTCATTCCCGTGTCCTTTCACAGCTGTCCACCCAGCCAGCTCGGCTGCTTGTGCTACTGGCACCGCTTTGGCCGTCACAGAGCTGGTTTCCGGTAATTCTCAGGTTTCTGGCTCAGCCTCCTGTTCTATTACCTTTACGACCGGACATTCTCACTCAGAACGGAGCCCACCCAAATCCACGGATTCAGTGGGTGGCTTGGCCTCTGTCAGGTCTAGCCTCGAGGCACGCTGAATTCCTGCAGCAGTTGCAGACACAATTCTGGCTTCGGTAGGCGGATTCGACAAATGTTCAGTATGAGGATAGGTGGTCCCGCTTATGCGCCGCTGGTGTTCAGATAGGGGATTGCAGATCCCTTTCTCGCGGATTTAGTCCGAGTATTGGAGTTTTGCAAGCTCGTTTGGAAGAAGGCCTAGCGGCTTCACCATTCGTGGCTACTCCACCGCTATTTCCACTTTTCACACCCCTGTCGATGGTGCTCTTCTGGGGCAGCACCCTCTCAGACAGCGCTTTCAGCTGGCTGGCTGAACGGTTCGACCTGCTCTCAGGCGTGCCAGTCCACCTTGGGATTTGTCAATTGTGCTAGATTGGCTGTCCGTCCAACTTTCTCACACCTATCGGCTATTTCCATTCAGTTGTTAACTTGGAAGGCTGTTTTTCTGGTGGCGGTAACATCTGGGCGTAGGGTCGGCGATTTACATGCTATGTCGTCCGACCCGGGCGCTGACTGTGTTTCACACTGATCGTGTCAGTATTATTCCTCCCCGGATACTTGCTACCCGGCCGAAGGTCGATCACGCTTTCCATGTGACAGCTCCTATCGAACTTCCCACTCTTACCCAGCCTTCCACATCGGGACCTCTCCTACGAGCACTCACCCGTTGGATGTCCGTGAAGACACTCAAAGTCTATATCAAACGAACGCGGGGAACTGCACGGGTACCCAGCTGTTCTGTTGTTACGGTGGCGGAAGGCTGGTCTGCCAGCGAGCAAGCAGACTTTGTCTCGCTGGCTTGTTTCGTGTATTTGTGCCGCTTATCAGGCTAAGGGCAAGCCTCCCCCTGAGGGGTTGAAGGCTCACTCGGTCAGGGCAGTAGCCGCATCAAAAGCTTTTGCATCGGCACTCCCCATTGAAGAGATCTGCTCTGCCGCTATTTGGAGCCGGCCAAGCACGTTTATACGGCACTATCAGCTCGATACACATTCCCGTAATCGTGCGAGCTTTGGCCGTTCTGTTCTCTCCAGTGGACAGTGTCCTGCCACCCTGACCAAGTGAGTCTTGGTTCATTGGTTTTGTTTGACGCTACTGTACAATACTGTGTGTTATTGACATGTCTGCTACTGGGAGCTAACTACCCCCTTTCGATTCTCTCAGGAGTAATTAGTCGATTGTGAGCGGTTTTGACATTCCCCCCTACGGTGCTCACTAATCGACACGTGGTGGGTGGGGCTTTGTTGACATTCGTACCATGTGTGATTGCCTATGCTAACATATGGAGGTCGTCTTTGAGCACAAATCCTCCCTGTCAGTTCCCCTCCCATAATGCCTCTCGCGGAAGCTAAACTGGGACATGTGACAGGTGAGTGTTATGGCGTCTGTTAACTTTTTTCCCATTAACGATAGCTATTTGTGTGTGCTTGGACAGAATTCCCTCCTCCCTGGCCTCCGGTCTTTGGGAGTCTGTGTTTATGCATAATATGTACCCCAAGGACGATCTCTATGAAGAAGAATTAACCAAACCTGAAGAGGTTTTAAATTCTTCGAAGAGAGTCGTCCTTGGGGTAGGGCCTCCCGCCTCCCCGCAATTCTGTTCACTGATGTATTCAGCAGAAGGAATGATGATACTTGGCCTAGGTGCTTACCCAGTTGGTGTGCATGCTCAACTGGAGGTAACTCCGTGAGGTGGGGGCCGTATAATAAATAAAAGAGTTTATTTATTGTACAATCTTTTTATTCAAAAAACATTGATACAACTGTCACAGGACATTTTCAGCTTGGAAAATGCATAATATGTACCCCAAGGACGACTCTCTTCGAATAATTTAAAACCTCTTCAGGTTTGGTTAAATTCAGTACAATTTACAAATGATGTATGAAGAGTTATTTGTAGTTGTATTTTTTCTCTTATCTGAGGTAAATTAGTGTTGTGAGCTGACTGATTTCAGGCAGACATTCAGAGACTAGCTTTGGTGATGGAAGATATATCCTACAAACTTGAACTAATTAAGAAACCAAAACATATACATATATATATATTAAACATCAAGGAGGTAAACAGCACTACTATAGATTAGGGACTTGGTTATGAATATATTGATGTCCACATCATCTGCGGTTGTAGCCTGCCCCACCCCAGGACGTCGGTGCAGACCCTTCCTCCAACTACTACAAGACGCTGTTGTCCGGGATGAAGAGGGACTTTGCACTGGAGGTGGACAAACTCAAGGATCATCTGAAGAAGGAGCAGAACAGGTGAGCATCAGGATCTGCGACCATCGGTAAGCTGGGGCACTCATGTCAGAGTGATAAGTTCTGAGCCTGACATAGAACGCATTGCATAATAGTGAATTCTTTGGTTAAGGCTCAGTCCATGAGGTTGACAGGTGCCAAGCAGTTGGGAATTCATTGTGATTAGCCATCAAGTAGGCAATGTCCAACAATTGGATATTGTGCAGTGATAGAGATGAGGCCATCAGAAATGTGATTCTGCTGTTTGATTTGTTTTGTGTGGTACCAGATATTTATTGTTGGTTCAGAACAACATATACCAGTATTAGCCTGAAACAGTTCAGCAAATGGCAGATGATACTTATTTTGGATGCTAAAGTAATTCAAAATGTTTATGTTTGTGTTAGAAATTGTTGAATAAATACACTTAGTCATTCGAGGCCCCCGTCTCCTATTGAGGATTTTCTAGAAGAGGCGTCTGATTCCTACCTTAGTGAGAACTTAAGACAACTGTTGCGACCGCGTGGCCGAAACCTCATCACGTTGGAAGACTCGTCTCCACCTAGGGTTGTGGTGTTAACTACGTCCTCTCCACAGCCTCATCTGTCTACGGTGGTTGTTCCTTCGTCTGGTTCTCATTCGGTGGTTCAGTCGAATGTGTCACTTGATTCTAGACCACCACATTATTCGAGTGCGCCTCTTGCCTCACAAGCGTCGTTTCCTTTAGGCCAGATATCGGTTAGAGCGCCGCTTGTGTCCAATTCGGCGCTTCCTACTAGTACTCCCGGTTCGGCGCTTTCTCCTGGTGTTCCCGGATCGGCGCTTACTACCGGTGTGTACGGTCCAGCGCTTCCTACCGTTGTTCCCGGATCGGTTCTTACAACTGGTGGTTTCGGTTCGGCGCTTACTACTGGTGGTCTCCGTTCGGCGCTTACTACCTGTGTGCCCAGATCGGCACTAACTACTGGTGATCTCGGTTCGGCGCTTACTACCGGATCGACGCTTCCGGATCGGCGCTTCCTCCCGGTGTTCACCGATCGGCGATTACTACTGGTGGTCCCAGATCGGTGCTTACTACTGGTGGTCCTGGTTCGGCGCTTACTACTGGTGCTCCCGGATCGGCGCTTTCTCTCGGTGTTCCCGGATCGGCGCTTCCTCCCGGTATTCCCGGATCGGCGCTTTACTACTGGTGCTCCCTTACTACTGATCGGCGCTTTCTCGTGGTCCTCCCGATCGGGCGCTTCCTCCCGGTATTCCCGGCGCTTTACTACTTGGGTGGTCCCAGATCGGGCGCTTTACTACTGGTGTTCCTGGTTCGGGCGCTTTTACTACTGGTGGTCCCGGATCGGGCGCTTACTACTGGTGTTCCCAGTTCGGCGCTTTTATTACCGTGTTCCCGGATTGGCGCTTCCTCCCAGTGTTCTCGGATCGGCGCTTTACTACTGGGGTTCCCAGATCGGCGCTTACTACTGGTGTTCCCAGTTCGGCGCTTTATTACCGGTGCTCCCAGATCGGCGCTTTACTACCGCTTGCCTGGTTAGACGCTTCCTTTCGGTGTTCCCGGATCGGCGCTTACAACTGGTGGTTTCGATTCGGCGCTTACTACTGGTGGTCTCCGCTCGGGCGCTTTACTACCCGTGTGCCCAGATCGGCGCTTTACTACTGGTGATCTCGGTTCGGGCGCTTTCTCCGGATCGGCGCTTACTACTGGTGGTCCCTGATCGGTGCTTATTACTGGTGGTCCTGGTTCGGCGCTTACTACTGGTGGTCCCAGATCGGCGCTTTTACTACTGGTGCTCCCGGATCGGCGCTTTCTCTCGGTGTTCCCGGATCGGCGCTTCCTCCCGGTATTCCCGGATCGGCGCTTACTACTGGTGGTCCCAGATCGGCGCGTACTACTGGTGGTCCGAAATCGGCGCTTACTACTGGTGTTCCTGGTTCGGCGCTTACTACTGGTGGTCCCGGATCGGCGCTTACTACTGGTGTTCCCAGTTCGGCGCTTATTACCGGTGCTCCCGGATTGGCGCTTCCTCCCAGTGTTCCCGGATCGGCGCTTACTACTGGGGTTCCCAGATCGGCGCTTACTACTGGTGTTCCCAGTTCGGCGCTTATTACCGGTGCTCCCAGATCTGCGCTTACTACCGGCTTGCCTGGTTAGACGCTTCCTTTCGGTGTTCCCGGATCGGCGCTTACAACTGGTGGTTTCGATTCGGCGCTTACTACTGGTGGTCTCCGTTCGGCGCTTACTACCCGTGTGCCCAGATCGGCGCTTACTACTGGTGATCTCGGTTCGGCGCTTACTTCCGGATCGGCGCTTACTACTGGTGGTCCCTGATCGGTGCTTACTACTGGTGGTCCTGGTTCGGCGCTTACGACTGGTGCTCCCGGATCGACGCTTTCTCCCGGTGTTCCCGGATCGGCGCTTCCTCCCGGTGTTCCCGGATTGGCCGTTTGTTCCGTCTCACCACCTGTATGTGGACGCGTCTCTACACGGGTGGGGAGCTCATCTTCTCAATTAACAAGTGGCAGGGCAGTGGTCTCCCGACGATCACACCTGTCACATCAACGTTCTGGAGTTCAGGGCAGTGATGCTTGCAATCAGTCACTGGCAGGATGTCCTCAGAGCAACGTCCCTCATGATCCGATCAGACAACGCAGCGGTGGTTTGGCATATCAACAGGATGGGGTCCACGGGGTCTACTCAACTGCTACGGTGGATCCAACGGTTCTTCGGTCTGGTGAACAGTCTCAACATCATGGTATGAGCCAATCACATTCCGCGGGGGTGAAGAATGTCATCGCCGATTCTCTGTCTCGACCGAGTCGTCCCTCTCCAACGGAATGGAAATTGCATCCTCAGGTGTTCCAGACGTTTTGCCTTCCGTAGACGCCGACAGTAGATCTCTTCGCCACCTGCTTCAACCATCAGCTGCCTCGGTTTGTGTCACCGATTCCGGATCTTCTGGCTTGGGACCTCGATGCTCTAGCCATTCCATGGGACAACCTGAATGCTTACGCGTTCCCGCCAGTGGCCCTTCTTCCTCGCGTATTAGTGAAGCTACGCGCAACTCAGAGGATAACTCTGCTTTTGGTCGCGCCCTATTGGCCGGCCAGAAGTTGGTTCGTAAACCTCCAAGACCTAGCCGAACCAGATCCCGTGCCTCTTCCCGTTCGACCCGATCTACTGGTTCATCCGCACTCCGACCAGCTCCACTGGTCTCCGTTGACGCTCCTACTGCACGTTTGGGGCATCTTCATCGGTCATTAACGGCTAAGGGGCTATTCTAAGCGTGTAGCTACTGCCATTACCACAGCGCATCGTAATTCTACGAGGTCACTGTATGATGACAAATGGAAGAACTTCGACGCGTATTGCAGGAAGAAGGGCATCTTATCCCCCACTACGGCGTCCCCGCAGATGGTGGCAGAGTACATTCAGCATCTCTGAACCTCCAGAAAACTCAAAGGTTCTACGCTATCTACCTATTTGGCGGCTCTTAACACAGTTATTGCAGCGGCCTCGGGTGTGAAGCTGTCCCTGAACTCCAGTCTCTCCTCCGGTCCTACAAACTGGCTGATCAATCTCGGAAGTTCCGGCCTCCAGCTTGGGATCTTTCCGTTGTACTTGCTCATCTCACGTCAGCTGATTATGAACCTTTGGAGGAGAAAGATTCGAACATGTCTCCTTTAAGACCTTCTTTTTATTGGCCTTGGCTACGGCGGCTCGTATTTCTGAGTTGCATGCTCTGGATGTCTCTCGGGTACGGTTTGAAAGGTCTAGACATGCAAAAGTTTTCCTTGGTTTGCGGTGGGATTTCCTTGCCAAGAATTAGGTACCAGGTCAGCCGGATCGCACATTCACGATTCCGCCGCTCTCCACTATTTTGGGCCCAGACGACACTGAGGATCTGTCCTTATGCCCGGTGTGTGCATTAAGGATTTACCTAGTTGCCTCGCAGGATCGCCACAGATTGCGTAAGAGATTGTTCATTCCATTGTCTACTGCCTCCACCTCGGAAGTCTTCCGTACTACCTTGGCGTTTTGGATGAGAACTACGATCCTGTGTGCCTATGCCTTTGCTGAACTGCCTCCACAGTCAACGCCGAAGCCCCATGACACGCGTGCTCTTGCCTCCACCATGGCTCTTCACAGAAATTGTTCCCTGCAGTCCATCATGGAGGGCTGTTTTTGGCGATCAGATACGGTGTTTGCTTCACACTACCTGAGGGACTTCTCAGTTACAGACGTGGAAGGTCTCCATCAGTTCGGCCCCCTGGTCCTGGCGCAGCAGTTGTCATCGGCTCGTGTTCGCAGATGAAGCAATCCTGCTTGGTCGGTTTTGCTCTGTACATAATAAAAGATATCGATGTTATCCATGTCTTAGTACTTTTTTCCGTTGGGTTAAGATTATTCTCTCCTATGGAAGTAGGGTGTGTTTGCACTGTCATTAGTTACGACTTGATAGACTGTGAGGCCAGTCTTGTGCTACATACAGAGATGATCGACACTCCGCTTACTGACCTCTACTCTCTGAGCAATTACGTCAGTGAAGTGTTGATTTCCGATTACCTACATGGTTTTCGAAGCGTTCTGCTCCTGAGTCCTTTCTCACCTTTGGTATGTTAGGGAGATTGGTACTGCACGTTAAACTAGTTGAGCATCCTAACTATTCCTCTTTCACCGCCTTCCAGCGTGTGTCTGTAGGGGTAGTTTAGTTGCAAAAGCAGGGACTGGCCAGATTAAGGTCCTCGACTTTAATTCACTGGGGTCACCTGATAAATCGTGGAAGGCGGGCCCTACTTGCCAAACTGCGTCCTTTTGCTTGTCAAAGTTGCGGCCGAAAAACCACATTAATTCGGGAGCACCAACTCCCTAGAGTTTTAATGCTGTGTAAGCCAAGGGGTGAAGAAACCCATCTCAAGTTGGAGTTTGCATATCGAGTTGGTGCTTTCTCCTGGCCTCCTTGGGTTATCGCGTTTTCCTGGTGGTAGTAACAGGGTAATCAGCGACCGCCTACCAACCGTGGGATTGTGCATACAGTGAGATAGGATAAGTTTAAAAATGTGTAAATTTTATTATAAATTGTATATTTACATACTTATCCTATCTCACGCGATAGGACCCATCCGACCTGCCCCACATCACAGATTACTAGAAGCTCCAAGACGAGAATGACAGGCACAGGTAGTCACATGATCATCTGAGCTTGAGCTCCACGCTTACAGAGATGATTGACCCGGTGTTGATGTTGGAGTGGGGGGCAGAGGTCAGGGCGGGTCAGAGGCCAGCAAGATTTGATTCAACTTAGCCTACAGCAGGTTTCCACACATGGTCGTAGAAGAAGAGAGAGGTGCATACAGTGAGATAGGATAAGTATATAAATATACAATTTATAATAAAATTTACAATTTTGGATTATATTCACCTTCAAGTGAGGCAGCATTGGTGGAAGAGTTTTCAGGAATGTACCCTACTACAAGAATGGACACTGTGCATGATATACAAATTTTGAACCATTTCTAATGGTCAAGAATATATTTCAACATGTTTGCCTCCAGATTTGTTTTGAAAAATTCAACAAATCTTACTTTCAATACTGTCTTTTTTTAACTTGGTGAAAAGTCCATCAGATAAAATTTATTTCATATAATTGTACAGTATGTGATTCTGTAAGTTAGAATAAACTGATAGTTTGAGATGTGAACATCCACAGTAAAATTGATCTTCAGGAACTCAAGCTTGTCGTGAGAAGCAACTTGGCATGTTGGGTTACTGCATGTCATTGTATCCCAGTGGCATAGGTCAGTGTTGATGATGTCAATCACTGGATTGTGTGGTGAGGACTTGATTATTTACAGACCACCATCATATAACTTCTTTAAGTGACATTTAGAAGCTGGTATGATGAAGAGAAACACGTTTGATTGATAGACAATTTCTTTATTGCCATATATACAACGTTTTGGTGTAGATCATACCACCGTTATAAAGCAGATGATCATATAGTTGCAACACTGCTGAAAGTAGCGTTAAACAACATAGCACTGATTGATCAGGCATGTCCTGCTTTAGTGTGCTGAGTGATGAGGCTATCCTGAATGCTGATAATTGTGTCTCTGTTTAGAAATGATGCCACGGTGCGGCGTTTAGAGCAGCTCCACAAGGACCAGATACAGGCCATTATGAAGGACTGCATGCGTGTGCAGCGTGGCATCGTCCACTTCCGTGACCAGGTGGCCAATACACTGGACAAGGAAGGCTTCAGGGACTCTGCAAGCCAACTTCAACAACTTCCCAAGCTGCTACATGACAATGTAACTATAGTAATCATTCATGAAATAATTGTTGTCAGGCTCTACTTACCTGGCAGACTAAACATATCTATTTCCCCTTGTCTCCATCTACCTGTCAGACTAAACATATCTATTTCCCCTTGTCTCCATCTACCTGTCAGACTAAACATATCTATTTCCCCTTGTCTCCATCTACCTGTCAGACTAAACATATCTATTTCCCCTTGTCTCCATCTGCCTGGCAGACTAAACATATCTATTTCCCCTTGTCTCCATCTGCCTGGCAGACTAAACTTGTCTATTTCTCCTCTCTATCTTCTGTCTACTTCTTCACAGGTGAATCAGGACCCCAAGGATGTCCTTTTGTACTTGGCTGCCAACACTGTTGATTGTGAGTTGCATTACTCAGTCTTTGCTTTATGTCATTATTGTCTGCTGTATGTTACCCATATCATAAAGTTTCATTTACAATTTTGACATGCCTTCAGCTCAACTTTCAGGTTCACTCCAAGGGTTTGTTAAGAAAGTCAGACTGGGGAGATGAAAACTCAAAGGATGCTCAGTAGCAAAATAAGTGTTAAACAAGGAACATTCTAAACATGTTAAACCCACTTTACAGGTGTTACCGTCTGGGAATCAGTGGATTTTCTATAGAATATCCCCAGGACAGAGAGATAGTCTGTATAAAGACCTTACTGAGAGTTTCTAGGAAACCCTTAAACCATAAAACAATAAGCTGACGTCAGTAGAGAATCATATAGAATGTGTAAACAGTATGGATAGGGAGATTAGATGATCCCTGTTTGTTTATTTCTAAAATGGTAAAAATGTGAATATTAATCATCTGCGCTGTATTTCCTGTAGTTTTGTTTCTGAGCTAACCATAGTGCATTTATTATGGTGACAGACCTGCACAGTATAGAGGTGGTTCTGAACCACACAATGCTGGCTATCAAGGTGATGCAGAAGGCAGGAACTGTTGGTAGTCAGCCACCTGTGGATCAGAAGAAAGTCTTCCACCAGATGGAGGTGAGTCTCAGAGTAAATACTGTGTATGTATCAAACCTTGACAAGGATGATAGCTGTATCAAACACTGGTGAGGAGGGTGGCTGAACCCCAAACACTGACAAAGAGAGTGCCTCAATCAAACACTGACAAAGAGAGTGCCTCAATCAAACACTGACAAAGAGTGTGCCTCTATCAAACACTGACAAAGAGAGTGCCTCAATCAAACACTGACAAAGAGAGTGCCTCAATCAAACACTGGCAAAGAGAGTGCCTCAATCAAAGACTGACAAAGAGCGTGCCTCAATCAAACACTGACAAAGAGCGTGCCTCAATCAAACACTGACAAAGAGAGTGCCTCAATCAAACACTGACAAAGAGAGTGCCTCAATCAAACACTGGCAAAGAGAGTGCCTCAATCAAACACTGACAAAGAGCGTGCCTCAATCAAACACTGACAAAGAGAGTGCCTCAATCAAACACTGACAAAGAGAGTGCCTCAATCAAACACTGACAAAGAGAGTGCCTCAATCAAAGACTGACAAAGAGCGTGCCTCAATCAAACACTGACAAAGAGCGTGCCTCAATCAAAGACTGACAAAGAGCGTGCCTCATTCAAACACTGACAAAGAGAGTGCCTCAATCAAACACTGGCAAAGAGAGTGCCTCAATCAAACACTGACAAAGAGCGTGCCTCAATCAAACACTGACAAAGAGCGTGCCTCAATCAAACACTGACAAAGAGCGTGCCTCAATCAAACACTGACAAAGAGAGTGCCTCAATCAAACACTGACAAAGAGCGTGCCTCAATCAAACACTGACAAAGAGCGTGCCTCAATCAAACACTGACAAAGAGAGTGCCTCAATCAAACACTGACAAAGAGAGTGCCTCAATCAAACACTGACAAAGAGAGTGCCTCAATCAAACACTGACAAAGAGCGTACCTCAATACTGATAAAGGGAAAGCCTACATCTAACACTGATAAGGAGAAAGCCTACATCTAACACTGGTAAGGGGAAATCCTACATCTAACACTAGTAAGGGGAAAGCCTACATCTAACACTGATAAAGGGAAAGCCTACATCTAACACTAGTAAGGGAAAAGCCTACATCTAACACTAGTAAGGGGAAAGCCTACATCAAACACTAGTAAGGGGAAAGCCTACATCTAACACTAGTAAGGGGAAAGCCTACATCTAACACTGGTAAGGGGAAAGCCTACATCTAACACTAGTAAGGGGAAAGCCTACATCAAACACTAGTAAGGGGAAAGCCTACATCAAACACTAGTAAGGGGAAAGCCTACATCTAACACTAGTAAGGGGAAAGCCTACATCAAACACTAGTAAGGGGAAAGCCTACATCTAACATTAGTAAGGGGAAAGCCTACATCAAACACTGGTAAGGGGAAAACCTACATCAAACACTAGTAAGGGGAAAGCCTACATCTAACACTAGTAAGGGGAAAGTCTACATCAAACACTATTAAGGGGAAAGCCTACATGTAACACTGGTAAGGGGAAAGCCTACATCTAACACTGGTAAGGGGAAAGCCTACATCTAACGCTGATAAGGGGAAACTCACAACAGATACTGATAAAGGGAAAGCCTACATCTAGCACTGGTAAGGGGAAACTCACAACAGATACTGATAAAGGGAAAGCCTACATCTAGCACTGGTACGGGGAAACTCACAACAGATACTGATAAAGAAAGAGCCTACATCAGATACTGGTAAATGGTGCTTACATCAAACACTGGTAAATGGTGCTTACATCAAACACTGGTAAATGGTGCTTACATCAAACACTGGTAAAGGGAAAGATAACATCACACACTGAAGGGAAAACCGACATCAAACACTGGTAAATGGTGCTTACATCAAACAATGGTACAGGAGATGCCTATATCAAACACATTTACATACGAGGGGGTATCAAAAAGTTCCAATTATCACCAAGAAGTTATTCAGCAATCAGGATAAAATTCACGATGGGATGAAATCTGTTTATGGTGATGATAGCACATCTTATGACACTCTTGTGACATCGAAAAGGAATTTCCAAACTGGTCACATGTCCCTCACAGATGAGCCAAGAAGTGGACCCCCCTCACTTACTGATGATTTGGACACCGTGAACAAAGTCGAGGCGCTGGTTCAGGAAGATCGCCGTGCAATAATACACATGGCTATGCATGAGACCGACTTGAGCTATGGCAGTGCATGGAACATCATTCATAACCAACTGCACATGTCCAAAGTGTCAGCGTTGGGTTCCTCGCTTACTGACCTGACAGACTCGACGGGACATGTCACGACAGGCACTGGAGCTTCTGGAGCAGGATGAAGAGGATTTTTTCAGATGTCTTGTAACCATGGACGAATGTTGGGTCTCTTTGTATGATCCTTAGACAAAAGAGATGAGTAAAGAGTGGAAACATGCCACGTCATCACCTCCGAAAAAGGCCAAGGTGCATGAAATCAGGGGCCTTCTATTCAGAGGCCTCTATTCAGGGGCCTTCTGCGCAAGGTCAAGAAACGGTGGCAGAAATGTGTAACTCGGGATGGTGACTATGTAGAGAAATCATAAGGACAAGAAAGCAAAATAAAGTTTGTACCCTGAATAAGTCTTGGTGATAATTAGAACCTTTTGATATCCCCTCGTACATATGCATGTTCTGTACATCATTAAGCTTTCCACAAACATGCAATCCATGGTTGTCCCCCTTTATCACCAGGTGCGTATGGAAGAGATTCGTAAGCCCTCCAAGATCCGTGATGTGATGAAATCGCCAGTGAAGCATGCAAATACTCGAGGTCGAAGAAAGGACAGGCAGCAAATCAGGAAACTGCAGGGGAGGGTTTCTGAGTGTGTGAGTTCAGACTCTGTGAGATACATATGGAGAACCTCAATGTGGAATCACGTTGCTGTAGTATGATAGAGATAAGGCCAATGCCCTCATTATATGTGTGTACAGATGAACAAGTACATGTGTGTTGTGTTGTACAGGAGAACAAATACATGTATGTTGTGTTGTACTGATGAACAAGTACATGTATGTTGTGTTGTACAGATGAACAAGTACATGCGTGTTGTGTTGTACTGATGAACAAGTACATGCGTGTTGTGTTGTACTGATGAACACGTACATGCGTGTTGTGTTGTACTGATGAACAAGTACATGTATGTTGAGTTGTACAGATGAACAAGTACATGCATGTTGAGTTGTACTGATGAACAAGTACATGTATGTTGTGTTGTACTGATGAACAAGTACATGTATGTTGTGTTGTACTGATGAACAAGTACATGTATGTTGTGTTGTGCTGATGAACACGTACATGTATGTTGTGTTGTACTGATGAACACGTACATGCGTGTTGTGTTGTACTGATGAACACATACATGTATGTTGTGTTGTACTGATGAACAAGTACATGTATGTTGTGTTGTACTGATGAACAAGTACATGCGTGTTGTGTTGTACTGATGAACACGTACATGCATGTTGTGTTGTACTGATGAACACGTACATGTATGTTGTGTTGTACTGATGAACACGTACATGCGTGTTGTGTTGTACTGATGAACACGTACATGCGTGTTGTGTTGTACTGATGAACACGTACATGCGTGTTGTGTTGTACTGATGAACAAGTACATGTATGTTGTGTTGTACAGATGAACAAGTACATGTGTGTTGTGTTGTACTGATGAACGAGTACATGCATGTTGTGTTGTACTGATGAACACGTACATGCGTGTTGTGTTGTACTGATGAACAAGTACATGTATGTTGAGTTGTACAGATGAACAAGTACATGTATGTTGTGTTGTACTGATGAACACGTACATGTATGTTGTGTTGTACTGATGAACAAGTACATGTATGTTGAGTTGTACAGATGAACAAGTACATGTATGTTGTGTTGTACTGATGAACACGTACATGCGTGTTGTGTTGTACTGATGAACAAGTACATGTATGTTGTGTTGTACAGATGAATAAGTACATGCGTGTTGTGTTGTACTGATGAACAAGTACATGTATGTTGAGTTGTACAGATGAACAAGTACATGCATGTTGAGTTGTACTGATGAACAAGTACATGTATGTTGTGTTGTACTGATGAACAAGTACATGTATGTTGTGTTGTACTGATGAACAAGTACATGTATGTTGTGTTGTGCTGATGAACACGTACATGTATGTTGTGTTGTACTGATGAACACGTACATGCGTGTTGTGTTGTACTGATGAACACATACATGTATGTTGTGTTGTACTGATGAACAAGTACATGTATGTTGTGTTGTACTGATGAACAAGTACATGCGTGTTGTGTTGTACTGATGAACACGTACATGCATGTTGTGTTGTACTGATGAACACGTACATGTATGTTGTGTTGTACTGATGAACACGTACATGCGTGTTGTGTTGTACTGATGAACACGTACATGCGTGTTGTGTTGTACTGATGAACACGTACATGCGTGTTGTGTTGTACTGATGAACAAGTACATGTATGTTGTGTTGTACAGATGAACAAGTACATGTGTGTTGTGTTGTACTGATGAACGAGTACATGCATGTTGTGTTGTACTGATGAACACGTACATGCGTGTTGTGTTGTACTGATGAACAAGTACATGTATGTTGAGTTGTACAGATGAACAAGTACATGTATGTTGTGTTGTACTGATGAACACGTACATGTATGTTGTGTTGTACTGATGAACAAGTACATGTATGTTGAGTTGTACAGATGAACAAGTACATGTATGTTGTGTTGTACTGATGAACACGTACATGCGTGTTGTGTTGTACTGATGAACAAGTACATGTATGTTGTGTTGTACAGATGAATAAGTACATGCGTGTTGTGTTGTACTGATGAACAAGTACATGCGTGTTGAGTTGTACAGATGAACACGTACATGCGTGTTGTGTTGTACTGATGAACAAGTACATGTATGTTGTGTTGTACAGGTTAACAAGTACATGTATGTTGTGTTGTACAGGTTAACAAGTACATGTATGTAGTGTTGTACAGGAGAGCAAGTACATGTGTGTGGTGTTGTACAGGTTAACAAGTACATGTATGTTGTGTTGTACAGGAGAACAAGTACATGTATGTTGTGTTGTACAGGTGAACAAGTACATGTGTGTTGTGTTGTACAGGTGAACAAGTACATGTATGTTGTGTTGTACAGGTGAACAAGTACATGTATGTTGTGTTGTACAGGAGAACAAGTACATGTATGTAGTGTTGTACAGGAGAGCAAGTACATGTGTGTTGTGTTGTACAGGTGAACAAGTACATGTGTGTTGTGTTGTACAGGAGAACAAGTACATGTATGTTGTGTTGTACAGGAGAGCAAGTACATGTGTGTTGTGTTGTACAGGTTAACAAGTACATGTGTGTTGTGTTGTACAGGAGAACAAGTACATGTGTGTTGTGTTGTACAGGTTAACAAGTACATGTGTGTTGTGTTGTACAGGAGAACAAGTACATGTGTCTACTGGACCGCTATAAGCTGGTTTGGAATATGTACCAGAACCAGCAAAAAGAGATGGACAATATGTAAGTTGTACTTTGAATTCTCAGATTGCTTGAACTTCAGGTATTTATCTATGTTCTGTTGTTCCATAATATCTTCACTAATTGTTACCAGATTTGCCTGTATATTTCCCAATTTACATGACTTACTGTGTACAGCCTAGACTATTGTAGGTCATGTCCGATCTGTACAGCTTGATAGAAGCAGATGTTTGAATAAATGTAGTCTACCTTGATCTGAGCAACAATTTCTTTCATGTTTGCAGGCAAGATGACTTTGTCCGGACTCTTAAGAAGAAGGTCAAGGAGAAAGAAAATACAGTGGTTACAGCAATCAAAACAGAGTTCAAAGAGGTGCACTATTATGCTAAAATTATTAATGTATCATGTAAACCTTTAGAGCCAGTTTGTCGACATAAGGAACCTTAAGAGCATTGACACGTACCTACATAGTGTGACTGAGATTGTCATTTTTATAGAGACGAGCAGTTCAAGAACAGCAGCTTCAGTTGAGCATCGCAGACCAGAAGAAGAACCTGCAGCTCCTTGAAACAGCCTTCAAGGAGAACAGAATCTCCCATGAGCTGCATTCGGTGAGACAAAGCCTTATGCTAGGGTTACACTAAGTTCCTGGTGGCCACAGTAGCCCCGTTTCACCGAAATGTAGTGAAATGGGGGCAAAATGGGATGGACGTGAGACAACATAGGGGGACTGAATGACAAAACGTGAGAGTCTGTGATTGCCGTGGATGCAATGCCAGATTTTGAAACTGTTAAAAAATTTGCCACAGCAGTCACAGTACTAATGAGAAACCTAGTAGGCCGTAGTAATACGGAGGGAACGCAACAATACGTGACAGCACGTAACAGAACTTGTAGACGGTTTGTAGTGGGACGGGAGGCATGTGTATTCCACAGCATCTCACAGTCCTTTCAAGTTTTGTCATGTTCGGCCACATTTGTTTGGCGGTTTGTTACGGTTGTTTCACCCTTGCTGCCCGTTTGTCCAGGTTCTCACAGCAGGCTAGGTTATATGGTAGCTGATTTGTCCCGTTCTATCACGACGCATTACAGGGCCAGCGAGATACGGCACATTGTGTTCTCTGGCATTCCATCTCTGCAGCTGATGCTGGCATTCTTGCTGACACAAGGACTTGATGTATGCCCCCAGCAAACATACAAACACAAAATGTTCTTCATCTTGGGGGTTCATGCTGCTCTTGTGTCTCAGGATACAATGGCTGCTATTCCTTGCGAGGCCTTCTTTTTTTTTATACCGGGGGCACAAACGTGGTCCAAAGCTGGCCGGCATCCTTGTTTCATCCGTAGAAAGTCTTGACAGAACGCACAAAACGTGTCAAAACATTGATCAAAATGTGAAAAACGTTAGGGAGCCCATCAGAACGTGACAGGCTGGGAGGAAAAGTACTGGCATCCATAGTGGACTGCGAGCCGAACCGCTGTCAGCCTTTGAGCTTCTGCGACCCAGCTGCCTCTTGAGAGACAAGAACATTATAGAATGACCTGGTGTATTTTTTTTAGTGATAATTTGTATAGTTAACAAAGCCACTATATTTAAATGGAGATTGCTTTGTTTGGATTAAAACATGAAGATAGTTTTTTTCACGGAGATGTTGAAGGGTTGTGACAGTTGCGGATTGTTTTGTTTAATGCAGATGGCTTCAGGTTTGCTACACCAGGCCCTGGAAATTCCTCGGAAGCGATTCCGTTACCTCATTGAGCGATACATCGCACACTGTGCTGTCAGGGAGGCTGAAAGTAAGTCTAGGTACTAGAAGCTGTCAGTGAGAGATAATGATTGGGTGGCCCTAGTTGGTACTAGTATCTTCACATTTTCTAGTATGGAAACACCTATGTACTGTGCTGATACCCACATAAAATCAGTACATTACATACTAGAGCTGTGACGATATATGGTATCGATAATCGTGATACTTAATCCGACGATAAATATATCGATACTTTTGTTCGTATTGTGATATGTATCGTTGACCTAAAAATTGTTAATGTTCACTAGAAATTGACAGTTATGTAAAAATTACACTGTTACTTGCTATCAAAATATACTTTTTAAAAGAAAATAACTAAAGATAGCATCTCGTGATATGCATCGAATCGAATCGTATCGTTCCAAGATATCACGATACGTGACAGTGACATTTCGGTATCGTCACACCTCTATTACATACAGAGTAAAAGTGTTGGCATATCATATGATACACCTATACTTTTTGGTAAAGTGTATCGGCAAATACAAGTACACTTTCAGCAAAGGAAACCATGGCAACGAGACCTGAAGTGGGGTATAAATAGTGTAAGGTGGTCAGAATGGCATTGGTGTAAGGTAGGTGTAAGGTGTAAAGCTGGTGTAAGGTGCTCTCTATGTTGTAGTATGAGGCGGGGATTGGAGGTGTAACGTTGGGTAATGCACTCTCTGAGGAGGTGAAATCTGTTTTAGGTAAGGTAACAACAGTCCTTGAGGAAGAGATGCTGAGTGTTGACCAGCGGTTGGAGATCAAAGGTCACATGGAGGACATGCAACATCGGCTGCACACCGGGCTGTCGCTTCACCATCCTCTGATGCAGAAACTGGAGACAGAGAGGAGGCACATCTTCAAGCAGATTCTACAAGTGTGAGTATAGAGCCAGTGACGTCTGACTGTCAGTATGGAGCCAGTGACATCTGACTGTCAGTATGGAGCAGTGACATTTGACTATCAGTATGGAGCAGTGACATTTGACTATAAGTATAGAGCCAGTGAAATCTGAATATCGGTATAGAGCCAGTGACATTTGACTGTCAGTATGGAGCCAGTGACATTTGACTGTCAGTATGGAGACAGTGACATATCACTGTGTCGGTGTAGAGCCAGTGACATATCACTGTGTCGGTGTAGAGCCAGTAAAATCTGACTGTGTCGGTGTAGAGCCAGTGACATCTGACTGTGTCGGTGTAGAGCCAGTGACATATCACTGTGTCGGTGTAGAGCCAGTAAAATCTGACTGTGTCGGTGTAGAGCCAGTGACATCTGACTGTGTCGGTGTAGAGCCAGTGACATCTGACTGTGTCGGTGTAGAGCCAGTGACATCTGACTGTGTCGGTGTAGAGACAGGAACATCTGACTGTGTCGGTGTAGAGCCAGTGACATCTTACTGTGTCGGTGTAGAGCCAGTGACATCTGACTGTGTCGGTGTAGAGCCAGTGAAATCTGACTGTGTCGGTGTAGAGCCAGTGAAATCTGACTGTGTCGGTGTAGAGCCAGTGACATCTGACTGTGTCAGTGTAGAGCCAGTGACATCTGACTGTGTCGGTGTAGAGCCAGTGACATATGACTGTGTCGGTGTAGAGCCAGTGACATCTGACTGTGTCGGTGTAGAGACAGAAACACCTGAAGTGTAGTTGGTGTATTGTGGGTATTAGTAATGGAGACATTTCCTGCCATCTGTCACACTGCTCTGTGTTGTAGGTTCAACGAGGTCTTGGTTGATACAGGGGTTCTTCTCATCCATCCAGTTTTTAAGGACAACTCCCGAAAAGTAACCAAGCCGTTACATTCAGTTACTAATCAAAAAAGAATAAAGGCCATCAAAGCACCACCCCGCAAGATGCAAGAGTTGAGCCCTTCCACTGGGATTGTGGGTAACACCATTCCTCTCACCTTCAAGGTTGATCAGCCTATGTGGCAGACTGTAAGTGTAGTTCAACATCATGCAGCCATTTGTGGAGGGATTATAACATCTGGATGCAGGGATGCATTATGTGAATCTAGCCCATTAATGTCCAGATGATGACACACCATTATAGCATCAACGTAAAGTTGAAGAAATGTATATACTTATATAAAAGTATTATAATAGTATTAGTTAATATGACCTCATTGTGCAGTACTAGTCAGCACTGTTACAACCTATAGAGTAAGTCAGGATATTTAAGCAAAAAACTGATGTTTTTGTGGAAACAACACGCTGTACTCCCTTGTAGCACAGATGAATTTAGGTAGAACAGAAACAAAAGACGGTTAAAACGGGTGACCACCCTGAGTGGCGTCAGTCATGTTCACATTCTTACACTTGATTGGAGGCACAGTACAAACTTTGGCTACTCTTTATCCCTTGTGTACTCACATGTATGTTTCAAGTGCAAGCCAAACAATCTGCTGAAACTTCTGAACATATTCTAGGCTTACATGATCTTGAGACCTTTGTATAACTTGTTGTTTAGATATATTTAAAGTAGAACTTCTTTTGCAGGGACCTTCAGAGCTTGTTCAAGAGCCGGTCGTGACCACACCCAAATTCCTCAGTATGGACGTCAACCAACATAGACTATTGGCCAGAAGGTAAGTGGTCTGCATAATCAGATAACATCTGGACTGTCTACACATTCAGACAGTATCTGGACTGTCTACACATTCAGACAACATCTGGACTGTCTACACATTCAGACAACATCTGGACTGTCTACACATTCAGACAGTATCTGGACGGTCTACTCATTCAGACAGCATCTGGACTGTCTACAGATTCAGACAGCATCTGGACTGTCTACACATTCAGACAGCATCTGGACTGTCTACACATTCAGACAGCGTCTGGACTGTCTACACATTCAGACATCTGGACTGTCTATACATTTATACTGCACATTCAAACAAAGTTACTTTGACTGTCTACACACACATTCAGACAAATATCATGATTGTGAAGTTACTATAACCCATGTTCATGTTATTTGTTAACTTTAGAAAGTAATGCTATTTGAATTGTGTAGCCTTTCTCCTGTATAAACACAGGAATGTTTGTAATCTTGGAGGATCATGGGAGTATAGGATGAAACCCTGCTTTCTACCCCCATCAGAACAGGCAAGCGGGCTGATGATTGTCTTGTTTGTGTTGTAGAACCCTCATGTGTACAGAGCGCCAATACTATCCCATCGCACAGAGTCGTAGCTTCACCATCAGCAACAACATTAAGGTGGACTACATCACCACAGCACTGATGTGCCCCTAGAAGAGCCTGAGAGTGTAGGACCAGCAGCAGAACAATCAACAATATGTCCTTATGTTCTCACTGAAACTGATGCATGAGCACCTCTACCTACTTGTATATTACTTGTAGGAGTTACACAAGCAGGCTTGTTTCCCTCTGACTGTGATATTCTGGAGGCCTTGTATGAGTTTTGATAAGCACTTTGAGATGTATAGTTATCAATGTTTTATGGTTTTTAACATATTATTTATGTTTGTTATTCTCATTTATGAGAAATGTTGTTGAAGAGGTGTTACTTGTTTATGTGAACAAGTGTATGCAGGGTACGTAATACTCATTATCTCCATAAGTACTTTTACATTGATTCACCTGTTGGTTTTGAAATACACTTTCTTGATCCAACTGCTTTTGTGTAATGACTCAGTTCACTGATTATAAATACATGTAAACTGCTCCTCCCTACATGAACCGAGCAGAAGTCATCCAACAAGAAGCGAGCAGCAGTTTCTGATCGCATGATCTTTCTGAAAATGTAATTAATTGATCAATCAATGCCAACAACTGCAGTGTCATCTAGTAGTTTGAGATGGATTCACCATTAAATCTCAGGACAGTTTATGAGAGTTTTTCTATCTGTCTTTGTGATATTCTCAGTATTACTATGTTCAACCAGCTCAGGAAGGTTGTCATGTTTTGTATGTTTAAATACTTAGAATAAATTAGGTTTATTTGTTACAGCTCATAAAAACAGTGTTGTTTAATCGGGTGTGTTTCTGTTTTTGTTAAACTATTTACTGTAATAATCTTCTTGTGATACACAAGGAAGAGAAAGCTTTTCAAGGGAAACACTAAAAGTTTCCATGTGTCTGTGGGATGCTTGCAGCTAGGAGCCATCCCTACCCAGGCTGGAACATCAGCCAGAACCATCCCCACCCAGGCAGGAGCAACAGCCAGAACCATCCCCACCCAGGCTGGAACATCAGCCAGAACCATCCCCACCCAGGCAGGAACATCAGCCAGAACCATCCCCACCCAGGCAGGAACATCAGCCAGAACCATCCCCACCCAGGCAGGAACATCAGCCAGAACCATCCCCACCCAGGCAGGAACATCAGCCAGAACCATCCCCACCCAGGCAGGAACATCAGCCAGAACCATCCCCACCCAGGCAGGAGCAACAGCCAGAACCATCCCCACCCAGGCAGGAGCATCAGCCAGAACCATCCCCACCCAGGCAGGAGCAACAGCAGCCAGAAACCATCCCCACCCAGGCAGGAGCAACAGCCAGAACCATCCCCACCCAGGCAGGACATCAGCCAGAACCATCCCCACCCAGGCAGGAGCAACAGCCAGAACCATCCCCACCCAGGCAGGAGCAACAGCCAGAACCATCCCCACCCAGGCAGGACAACAGCCAGAACCATCCCCACCCAGGCAGGAGCAACAGCCAGAACCATCCCCACCCAGGCAACAGGAACAACAGCCAGAACCATCCCCACCCAGGGAGCAGGAGAAACAGTTAGACCCATCCCAGTTAGAACCATCCACCCAGGCAGGAGAAACAGCTAGAACCATCCCCACCCAGGCAGGAGCAACAGCCAGAACCATCCCCACCCAGGCAGGAGCAACAGCCAGAACCATCCCCACCCAGGCAGGAGCAACAGCCAGAACCATCCCCACCCAGGCAGGAGCAACAGCCAGAACCATCCCCACCCAGGCAGGAGCAACAGCCAGAACCATCCCCACCCAGGCAGGAGCAACAGCCAGAACCATCCCCACCCAGGCAGGAGAAACAGTTAGAACCATCCCTACCCAGGCAGGAGAAACAGCTAGAACCATCCCTACCCAGGCAGGAGCAACAGCCAGAACCATATCTACCTAGGCAGGAGAAACAGCCAGAACCATCCCTACCCAGGCTGGAACAACAACTAGAACCATCCCCACCCAGGCAGGAGCAACAGCTAGAACCATCCCTACCCTGGCAGGAACTACAGCTACAACCATCCCAACCCTGACAGGAACAAGAGCTACAACCATCCCAACCCAGGCAGGAACAACAGCTTCAACCATCCCAACCCTGGCAGGAACAGCTGCATCCTTCCTGACCCAACAGGAACAACAGCGGTCATGAGCATATTTGTTTGTCAGACTTTGTGACTGGGTTGATTGAATGTGTTTATTGATCATTATTGTACATTTTTTGGTTCATCATTATTGTACATTTTTTGGTTCTGACTACAGACTACACACAGACATTCTCTCATTAAGACAAGGGGACAAAGAATCTTGTGTAGAAATTTATTTCAAACATACAGCTGAGGCAGAACGTATAAAACATACAGCTGTCATGAAGTTGAGCATTCTGTTAGCTCCCCCAACAGTATTCCTGCATGAACTACAGACATGATTCAGATATGTACAAGAAAGGTTGCTGATGTTGAGGTACGGAAGTAAGTATATGTGGTCCCAATAATGAGAAATCACCGATTATTGGGTAAATTGGTGTACTGGCTAATTCAAGTTCCAGAAGCAAACATACTCCTCATTCACCTTCTTCAGGGCCACTGCTGGCGAGCAGCATGATCCCAGGATAACAAAGATAACAGTCTGGTACGAAGTAAGAAGTGCCCATTTATTTATATAACAGCACTCTCAATCATTGCTCTCTGCAAGTCTGTACATTCATGGTTTAACCAGGAAGAAGTCCTAATGAGGAATATGTGACACATCAAAGAATCCGAACACCACACCAGCAAGCAGAGTTATATAACAGGTCTGGGTTTGTGTGACTGCCTATACGTAGCTGGAAACACTGGCTTCAGCTCTCAACGTCCTGAGACGGATTTCATCTTCAGGATACAGCAATTGCTAACACACAGACAAGAACTGCCATGACTGTAAAGACATTGTACACAAAACATTACTCATGAGGAACTGACCATGATCTCTCAATGAATTACTGGCCTCATGAGGTATTTTTACATTAACTGATAACTGACCATGATTATATTGGCTGTAAATTCTACAACAATCAATCAAACAGGTTGAGTAGCAATACTACACTCCCAATGCCACCTGCCTGGTTGCAAGCTGTACATATGATTACAAACTTACAATGTATTTTAAAGACACAATACATAATAATGCTGATACACAACTGTCTGTTGTGGTCCCAAAAAAGTATCACCTGAGACAAGACAGTAAGTCCTGATTGAGCTATCTATGCACTTCATGTATAAAAAACAAACTGTAACAAAAACAAGGCTATTTCTATATTAACTAACACTACAGACACTCCACCCATGAAGTCTGCCATGGTGCACTTAACACCAGTGTATTAGGACAACATTATGGAAGCTCAGGGAATGTGTGTGCCGTGAAGGAGGCCTTCATTCTGATTCCCAAGCTGGTCCTAGAAGTTCAAGCACTGATGTAGCCAGTTCTATTGTTATACAGAACTTAGGACGCCAAATGTTCACCATAAATCAGACCTAAATTTAAACGGTTAAAGTGTTGATAACGATGAAAAATACTAAACAAATATCACCCCCTCTAAAAAGAATAGAGCATCAGCATCAAGGAGAGTGTACAACCATAACCCTGCACAGCAGAGGATCAGGGGAGGGGGGCATTTTCACTGCCTGCCTGGAAAACAGTGAAAGATGAAACTGTTCATGGAAATGCACCTCCTCTGGCCATCTGACTGATACAGTGGGAAACTGAAATCTGGATTTCAAAAAAGACAAATAATTTTTCAAAATGTATGTTTTGTAGACTGAGTCTTCAAAATAGCCTTCTTGATACTACAGATTATATAATCATGAACCAGTAAGTCAATTAGAGTGTACTTGAAAACTGCTTTGCTTAGCTTTGACCAGGCAACGTGGCCACACCCCATGTGTATAGGTCTGACACCCCCCACCCCACCCCCCAGCCTTCAATAAAACACACTAAACTTCACTTGAGATTCAGATTGGAAATGTCCTGTGTGAAGGACCTCTCTGTGGACTCCGAGACTCACAGCATATGGACCATTGCTCTGCCTTATCAATCAGTGTCTGTTCTGGTACGAAAAGGATTCCTGTCAAGAAGTGTGTGTAATAATCAGCAGAAAATAACATTTATTGGCTAACTCTATCAACTCAACTATTGTCTCCTAATGACGGTTCTAAGACCAGAATAACAAGGAATCAATGCTATAAATACACTTTGTTAAATGTCATGAATCAACAGAAATATATATGTATTTCAATGTATTTAGAAAGTGAACAGCAGTAAACGTTTACACTACTGCGCCTTCATCATCTGTGATCATCACAGAGAGTAATGCCCACAATCACAGACACACCCACTATAAAATTGTTCCATTGTAAATAAATGCAACAGACAATATGCACAACTGAATTGTGAGAAAAAATACATGTAACCAAAAATCAGTGGGTATTTTATTCTGTTAATCAGAAATAAATATCTGTGTCAGTGTCAGAATATAAATACGTTGAAAAATCCACGCATAAACTATGGCTGTCAATATAAATATATTATCTAAAATCCTGTCAAAAGTTGTCTTAAGATCAAAGGAACATGAGGAATCCCTATTCTTCGCACCCCCACTTTTTTTGTTGTTGTTGAGCTAACTGTTTTGCAAACTGAGTTTCAAAGAAGTCTAAACAGTTCTACAGTTAAGATCAGATTATACAATGAGGTGCTGGCCTCTGTTCCTTACAACACAGCTGTACTGAGATTGTTTCACACAACTGATGCAGCACTAGTGATTCTCATAGACAATCATTATCAACTGCCGGATGACAGAATAAGGAATGACATGATACTAGTCTCATTCTATGTATAATACTTGTTTGACCACCATATCCTTAACCAATCAAACTGTCTGCACATGCAAGACTGGGCTCAGGGAACCAGTATTCTGAATTTGTGAAATAAGCATATCACTAACCATCACAAACAAAGACATCTGTCATTTAGATCCCACCATTGTCCAAACATGACATGCTCAGGTCTCAACAGTTTGAAATTTACTTTAGAATTACGGTAGGATTTGAACAGAAGGCCCATCAACAAAACACTAACAAGTTTTCCGTTCATTTAGCACTTAACACATAACCATGGCAACAATGTCAACATAAAACAGTATGGTCATGTATTCAATCAAAATAGGGATCCTCTTGTACAACAGTAAGAACTACATCCCATAAGCACAACAGCTTAACACAACACATGTTATGTTATGGTCCGGTGCACAGATTAACTACATGCTGTCACCTGCGTCTGCTTAATGGATTTGCCCAACAGAAAACAAATAAAACATATACAACATTTTAGCTGCTGCAGTTCAGGTTGGTTTTGATAGTACATGTATATAGTTTGCCTTCACAAAATGTAAATTTGCAGTCTTTAGTTATGATTGAACAAGTTCCACATCGAGGTGTTTGACATTTTGTTACACTGAGTTCTTCTGGGTGAGCTGATGGGCTGTGCTCATTACATGCCATGGTGGTGCCTCTACTTAGATAATTAATCCCTGTAGTTAATTTGGGATGTAGTTCAAATGGGATGTAGTTCTTATGGGAGTAAACCTTTACAACACGGGCCTCTGCCCTCCAACTGATGTGTGATGATGATCCAGCTGTTCAAGGTGGTCTGGTGCGTGATATGGCATCTTATGTCTGGCTTCACCCATGATAGGCATCATACCACAGTTCACCCGATCTCTTGAGGGAGCTGCAACAGATACAAAACATCAACACTCTCCTAACATCAACAACAGACAGGGAGAAGATCAACACTCTCCTAACATCAACTACAGATGGGAAGAAGATCAACATTCTCTATTAACATCAACTACAGATGGGGAGAAGATCAACACTCTCCTAACATCAACTACAGATGGGGAGAAGATCAACACTCTCTATTAACATCAACTACAGATGGGGAGAAGATCAACACTCTCCTAACATCAACTACAGATGGGGAGAAGATCAACACTCTCCTAACATCAACTACAGATGGGGTGAAGATCAACATCAGATGGGGAGAAGATCAACACTCTCCTAACATCAACTACAGATGGGGAGAAGATCAACACTCTCCTAACATCAACTACAGATGGGGTGAAGATCAACACTCTCCTAACATCAACTACAGATGGGGAGAAGATCAACACTCTCCTAACATCAACTACAGATGGGGAGAAGATCAACACTCTCCTAACATCAACTACAGATGGGGAGAAGATCAACACTCTCCTAACATCAACTACAGATGGGGAGAAGATCAACACTCTCCTAACATCAACTACAGATGGGGAGAAGATCAACACTCTCCTAACATCAACTACAGATGGGGTGAAGATCAACACTCTCCTAACATCAACTACAGATGGGGAGAAGATCAACACTCTCCTAACATCAACTACAGATGGGGAGAAGATCAACACTCTCCTAACATCAACTACAGATGGGGAGAAGATCAACACTCTCCTAACATCAACTACAGACAGGGAGAAGATCAACACTCTCCTAACATCAACTACAGATGGGGAGAAGATCAACACTCTCCTAACATCAACTACATACAGGGAGAAGATCAACACTCTCCTAACATCAACTACAGATGGGGAGAAGATCAACACTCTCCTAACATCAACTACAGATGGGGAGAAGATCAACACTCTCAACTACAGATGGGACATCAACTACAGATCAACTACAGAAGATCAACGCTCTCCTAACATCAACTACAGATGGGGAGAAGATCAACACTCTCCTAACATCAACTACAGATGGGGTGAAGATCAACACTCTCCTAACATCAACTACAGACAGGGAGAAGATCAACACTCTCCTAACATCATCTACAGACGGGAGAAGATCAACACTCTCCTAACATCAACTACAGATGGGGAGAAGATCAACACTCTCCTAACATCAACTACAGATGGGAAGAAGATCAACACTCTCTATTAACATCAACTACAGATGGGGAGAAGATCAACACTCTCCTAACATCAACTACAGATGGGGAGAAGATCAACACTTTCCTAACATCAACTACAGATGGGAAGAAGATCAACACTCTCCTAACATCAACTACAGATGGGGAGAAGATCAACACTCTCCTAACATCAACTACAGACAGGGAAAAGATCAACACTCTCCTAACATCAACTACAGATGGGGAGAAGATCAACACTCTCCTAACATCAACTACAGATGGGGAGAAGATCAACACTCTCTATTAACATCAACTACAGATGGGGAGAAGATCAACACTCTCCTAACATCAACTACAGATGGGGAGAAGATCAACACTCTCCTAACATCAACTACAGATGGGGAGAAGATCAACACTCTCCTTAACATCAACTACAGATGGGGAGAAGATCAACACTCTCCTAACATCAACTACAGATGGGGAGAAGATCAACACTCTCCTAACATCAACTACAGATGGGGAGAAGATCAACACTCTCCTAACATCAACTACAGATGGGGAGAAGATCAACACTCTCCTAACATCAACTACAGATGGGGAGAAGATCAACACTCTCCTAACATCAACTACAGATGGGGAGAAGATCAACACTCTCCTAACATCAACTACAGATGGGGAGAAGATCAACACTCTCCTAACATCAACTACAGATGGGGAGAAGATCAACACTCTCCTAACATCAACTACAGATGGGGAGAAGATCAACACTCTCCTAACATCAACTACAGATGGGGAGAAGATCAACACTCTCCTAACATCAACTACAGATGGGAGAAGATCAACACTCTCCTAACATCAACTACAGATAGGGAGAAGATCAACACTCTCCTAACATCAACTACAGATGGGGAGAAGATCAACACTCTCCTAACATCAACTACAGATAGGGAGAAGATCAACACACTTAAGATCACCCTACACAATTGGGATACGATGACATGTGTCAACCAAGCCTGCTAGCGTGAATACCCGATTCCGTTAGTCACCTCTCACGACAAGCATGGTTTACTGAAGATCAATTCTAACCCGGATCTTTACTGATGTATGAGACATTGGTTCCCATGACAAAATCGCACAACTGCCTTTCTGAAAAGCAGACTGGAGGAACTCACCTGTATATATCTGCAAATGATCTATATAGTGTTTTGCATTTGTAAGTGATGCCATGTTTCTTGCATAGTGACTTGACCAGAGGCATCACCTTGGAGTAGTTGTGGCGAGGCATTGTGGGAAATAGACTGAAACAGAACAGATAACGTATCTCAGGTCAGTCTTCACATCCAGTCTCATGAATGGAAAGTTGAACACATACCATATCAAAATTCAAATATTTGAAATTTTAATATAAATTGTATATTTATATACTTATCCTATCTCACGGTATGCACTTCTCTCTCTTGATTCGACACTGAGTGGAACGATGTAAACTTTTTCCCTAGGCCTCTCTTGTCCATCCACCCAAGCACTCCATGCTACCTTCATTATAAGACAGCTTCCTAGCTCTCATGCAAAGCATGCGGCATGCACCACTAGCTGCTGACTATCTCCGAATCATCATTCTCATTCTTGGAGCCACTGGATACTATCCATCTTGGAGAATCTGCATAGCGGAGAGGATGGTCGGGAATCCGTCGCATGAGATAGGAAAAGTATATAAATATACAATTTATATTCAAATTTTCAAATTTTTAAACCCATCCTATCTCACGGTATGCACTTATCCCACGGCGGGACGCAGATACCCTGTGTTTTTTACAGTGCGAACAGCAGGAACTGTGTAGACTGGAAACGACCGTAGATAGCGATGCACAAGGGAGGCCTGTTATTCATGCACACAACTCCTATGCTTGTGCTGAGTTCTCTTGAACTCCTTGGCTTACTAAGCATGTCTCACGTCACTTCGCCACGATTTTCAAGGTACCCCCGTAAATTAAAGTTGGTTGACAATAATCGTGCCAGCCCCTGCTTCGAGAAGACCCCCACAGACGACAACCAGGGCCGGGTGAAAGAGAAGCACAACTCGGGAACTCCAAGTTTCAACATTCAGTTACAGGACAGCATCAAATTGACCCTCACTCCTTTGCATAAGCTTAGTCAAAGTATCTGCCCGGCAACTTCGGAGTCGGAACGCAACGAAATCCACTGGAATTCGGGAGTGTCACACTTCACTGACGTAATTGCTCCGTGGAGTAGAGGACAGTAAGCGTGAATGTCGAACACCTCTGCATCGGCATATTCCGATGCCTTGGTATGGAAGCCAAGTGAAGTAGTTCTTAAACCCATAACTTGAGAACAATGATTGAGATCCTATTCAACTTTGTTCCATATGTAGAAAGAAGCAGTAACTCGCAAGCAGAACTGTCCCTCAACTGCGTTGGTGGGCTGATGTAAGCTGCTGAGGTCCGAACTAGCGTAGTCCCAGGACATCTGTGACAGACAGGTTAATGTTAATGTTAATGTGAAGAGAAGACTATATCTGAATGCCAGAAGCAACTTTCCATGAGAGCGGTCAAGGAGCAGTTGCAATGGAAGGCAATCGTCGAGGCTAATGCAGGAGTCTCATGAGGATTGGCGGCAGCAACCCTGCAAAGTGGAGGCTCACAGGATCGCGCCACGCATTCAGAAAGCCAATGTGGCTCTTGAAGCGGCCGACAAGGGTATGAAGAGGCGCTTTCGTAGCCATTGACGATCCTTGGAGGCAGCAAGGTAAAGGTGCAAAGCCCTAACAGGGCAGAGTGTCAAATCTTCAGTATCATCAGGCCCAAAGATGGACAATGGGGGAATGGTAAACATACGGTCCAGTTGCCCTGGCAGTTGGTTTTTCACGATGAAGTCCCAGTGGAGACCCAGGGAAAAACCTTGCCATGCTTCTTCTGCTCGAACCGCATGCGATTGACAACAAGCGCGTGAAGCTCAGATATACGAGCAGCAGTAGTCCCTGTCTTCTAAAGGTTTGTAGTCTGTAGAATCACATGAAGAAGGACAATGGACCGTTCCCAGGCCAGAAGTCTGAACTTCCTGGACTGGTCGGTGAGTTGTAGAAGTGAAGAAAACTCTGCAATTCTGGAAGAGTGGAGGTCTTCGTACCCGTGTTAGTAGCCAAACCAAGTTGATAGCATCCAGTTAGGTAGCTAACGTAGTAACCTTGAGTTCCCTAGTAGCACGGAGATGATGCAGGAATGCAGAAACGACCTCAGTAGAGGCAGATTGGGAAATGGATTTCCCTAATGTTACAACAGCCTTCAAACTTCTTCCACTATCGTCGTAGAAAGAACGGGTCGAATTACGATGAACTGAAGTGATAGCTGTGGCTACTTGACGAGAGTAGCCTTAGCTATGAGTAATCTCTGGAGATGCACCAAGGTCTGAGAGGACCAGAGGCGTAGTTCCGGTTGAGGGTGAAAAAGCAGGTTGCCCCGGTACTGGGTTTGGCTCTGCCAGGCTTCTTAGGTCAACAAACTAACTTCTTGCTGGTTAGGACTTAGTGCACGACCAAAAGCAGCAGAATCTTGCTGGTGGTCAACAGCTTCTGTATTATGCATGAACACCAGAAATGGGCTTCACACATTATACCAATGTGGGGATTCGAACCCAGGTCTTCGGCGTGACAGGTTCGGGAAGATGAATCAATTCCTTGGGATTGTCGGCCTAAGGGTATGGGCACAAAAAATGCTGTAACGGCCGAAGCTGAACTCTGTATGTTAGGGCTTGATCTGATGTCAGAAAGCCTAGTAGCTCCTGCCACTGAGATAGCACTGGAGCAACACATCGCTAGATCTTCATCCACCTGTCTTGAAGGGCGGAACATCATCCCTTGACTGGTGTCAAACAATGGATCGATGAAGTGGGGTCTCTGGATCGATGTTGTTTCGATTCCACAATGTACAACAGCCATCCTAACTGCCGGAGCAGCAGCATGGTGGTGAATTGCAGTTGGCGAAGAAGTACGAATGAATCCTGTTGTGCCTGGATGGAATCATCAATGTAGCTTCGAAGGTGAAGTAGCACCTAAAGTTGACCTCTGTAAGTGAAGGCTAGTGCTGAGGTAAGGAGACCTAGCAACTCTTGTCACTGATGTAGGGATATCTCTCCTGAGATAGGAACGTTTAAATAGTCAAGCTACCATGGCAGCACTGACCGAGTGCTGAATGTAGTAGAGTCGGGGCATAGAGATTGTCAGTCAATCTACAGGATCGTTCACACTGTGCACGGAGTGATGACGGTCATAAAATCGGTGATCTCAGGAGCATTGGTTCACCAAATGAAGTATTGGTCCGACAGATGGAGTGATAAAGTTAGTAGATTCGACGCATGGAGATCGTCGATCTACCGAAACATTCGTAAAATTGCTGTAATGACGAAGGTAAAAAAGCCCGGCAATGTCAGGGAAGGTTCGTCTGGGAGACGAAGGCAGTAAAATAGGTGCCTGGGGACCATGCGAGCAGAACTGCAGTAACCTCTGAACTGAGGGCTTGGCCTAAAGTTGAAAGCCGAAAGTAACTCTCGGTGAACTGTCTCTCGGCTGGCTGACGAATGCCGACATAATCACTCTTACCGAATGGCACTGTTCATCGTCACTGGCAATAAAAGGCTGGGATTGTTATCCGCTTGTAGGACCTAGACAGATCTGTCAGTGTACTTCATAGTGACTCTAAATATCATAATTCTCCGGTAAACAAGGGTAGTCCGCCATTTGCAAATGGTACCCACAATGCAACAGTGACAAAAATACGGACAACACGGTCTTCAGTGAACCGTGAGAGGCACAACTCCGTAACATCCCAGCAAAGAGATGATAGCTACTTGACAAGACATCAGTACTGGTACCATGCGCAGAAACTTGACCCATCTGTCCAGAAACTAGATTACACCATAACGCTGTTACGAGTAGTTTGTAGTAACAGGACTCAGTGAAGTGACGGAAAAATTCCTGGATAGCAAGCCTGTCTAGTAACACACAGACGAGTGGTTGTGGAGCTGATATCTACGCCGAAGGGTAGATTCCTAAACCAAATCATTCATCAAGGTGAAGATCGGAAGGTAGATAAATCCGGAATGATATGAGCTCTGGTCACGTAGTCTAAGTCTGGGAGATCGGGGATCGTCAGAGCGTCAAGTGCCGGCATAATCTAGATGTCTGCGATACTGACATAGCTACTTCATCTGTTCAATCAGCAGAAAGGGGGTACCAGGTGGGATAAGTCATGTGACTAAAATCTTCTAGCGCCTCACATGCCATAGGGTAATCCGGGAGAGCCAAGTCGAATGGTCATGCTAAGAGCATGCCACTCCGTGATGAGGAATTCGGCATATCACAAATGCCCTGAATATTAACATCGTGTTGAAAGCTGGTAGAGTTTAATTAACAGATGGCATAATTGACCGTATCTGGATGCAAGGTCATGATCCTCGATGAGCATGTAAAAAAACTGTGTTGACAAGTTCCGATCGTCAAGTTGAATGTAGTAAGTAGATCATCTGGTATCTTGCTCAAGATAGCTGTAGATGAGTGAGTGAGTATGGTCATACGCCGGATAGCTGTAGCTGTAACCAAGTGACCATGTGTGTCGACTGAACCAACATTATTGCTGTAACTTAAAGGCGGAATGGTTTGGCAATGCTGGCAGTTCGGTGAATACTGATGGTTCGGCGAACGCTGTTGGATCTGCGATGTGGAACGGTTCGATGACCAGGTTCGGTTAAGTGATCTGGCTCGGCAAGGTAAGATCTGAAACGGTACTGTGATCCGGTTCTGGTGCGGCGACTCAGTTTGACCCAACAAACTAGTTCGGTGATGAGCAGATCGATCTGGTTCAACGACCTCCGGTTGGAGGAAAGTTGAGGTGAGGTGAATTTTGGTTCAGTTGAATGCCAATTAATTAGATGGTTTGTTGACAAATGCTAGTTCGTTGAATGTGCATTCATTCCCTGTCAAGGGAGCAGACTGTTGCTGATTCCAAGCAGTAGTAAATAGCACTCAACATCGCAGCCAGATCTGGGGGAGGAGTAGTTTCCAGCGCAGGAGTCCTGGAATCTGGTACAATCTGAGTAGACTAGAGACACGCGAGGAGGCAGGACCCCCGTCAGAAGTCGTAACATGCTGAGATCTATAATCGGAGCCCCGTTGAGTAGATCTCCTATCTGTAGAACCATATTGATGTCTGGAGGGGGACGAACCGGAAGAAGACGCACATATGGAGACCCGATGAGGAGATCGGGAACAAGGAAGGGAAGTATCATAACGAGAATGATCCCTCGATCTTGAACAATAGGCAGCAGTCGATCATGTAGGAGACCTAGGTTGACGGGTCGAGTGCGTAGAAGAGGAAGTCCCATGCTGATGAGAAGACGAAGTCCGAGGTGACTTCGATCGAAGAACCGATCTCAATGAAGTAGATGAGGCGTTGCTTAGTTGAATGCAAAAGAGTCGAAGAGTGGCGTCTCGGCGGTGAAGTAGACCTACCAGGTCTATCCGGTGAACAAATACGAAGAATAATAGGAGCCTGGTCCAAACGACTCGGTGAAAGCCGTGTCCGTGCTGAGGAGACATGGCTGTAGGATCCAACAGAGTTCGGGGAAATACACAGATGATCCGGAGAAGGGTGTTCCGTTGAATACCGCTTGGAAGAAAGCCGTATCAGCGAAAGTCGGCTCATCACATGCTGTTTCAGTGAAGTCTTCCATTTCGGCGAACGTTGATTCGGTTCGATTAGGTGAAGTCTGTTTAGAAGACGATCGATCCGGAAAATGCCGAAGCATAGACTGGCCTTTCGATGAAGACCGGTTGGGTGAAAGCTGTTTCGTTGAGAGCTGGTCTAATTCTGGGGAAGGTGGACAGTCCGCCAAAAGTCAAGGTGGAGGGGAGCGGACAGGTGAAGCGTGATCCGGCAAACTGTGATTTGATCTGGCAGGCTTCAGTGAACCAGAAGATCGAGGTAGCTGGACGCAAGAAACACTTCTTTTCGCCGAATGGGAAGGAGATGACGAAGTAACCACTGACAGGCGTTGAGGCAAGGTAGACTGGTTCCTCTCGCTACTGGATGAAAGACGAGAGTGAGAACGGCTTCTGCACATGCGTTCTGCACAGTCAGGCGTAGAGATCAGCTGATTCTTGTTCGAAAACAGATAAGCCAGGTTGCCAAGATAACTGGTCTGGAGAACGAGAGACAGAGAGCGTAGTTCGAACGTCATGCTGTGTAGAGGTATCCTGAGGGGTGGTAGTAGTCTCGACAACCACTACCCGGGATGTGGTCGAAGACGAAGGGCTTGGGCTGGAATGTTGAGAGCCCAACAAATGCTGTATGTCTTCCAATAAGAAAGAATCTGACGCCGCTCTCATGAAATCCTCTTCATTCGAGTGAGGGGACTGTGACCGCCGAGCAGACAAAGTAGGACGCTTAAACTTTCCTTTCTTGGAGGGACTGGGTCTGTCAAGTGAAGCGGCATAACGAGCCCTGTCAGCAACACGATGAGCGCAAGCCCGAGTGTAGTCGCCAAACGCCTCGAAAATAAAATCCTTGCATTTATCGCAACAAGAGTCCCAATTACACTGTCCCATACAGTCAACACAATACCCATGTGGAACACTCACGGAGAACACTTTATTGCACCTGGAGGATTTTTCCCTCTTTTTTGGCTGGTCAACTTCCCCATGTTGTAGACTAAGTTGAAAACGTTGAGCAAAGCAAAATACATCCACACTCATGTGCGACAAGAAAGAGAATGATGATTCGGAGATAGTTACGTGGGCAGCTAGTGGTTCATGCCGCATGCTTTGCATGAGAGCTGGGAAGCTGTCTTATAATGAGGGTAGCATGGAGTGCTTGGGCGGATGGACAAGATAGGCCTAGGGAAAAAAAGTTTACATCGTTCCATCGTCGAATCAAGAGAGAGAAGTGCATACCGTGAGATAGGATAAGTTTAAAATATGATACAATACAGCCAGTATAAAGCTAATGAATACCAGGGATCCAGATAAGGGCTGTATTGGCGTATGTACAGCTAAAAGATATGCATGATATGGAAGGAAATAATTCAGGAAAAAAGCAGATACGCACCACAGCAATGGTGTACGGTCTTAGAATCATTTACAGACATATTTATCTGAAAAAGTATTGTTTTATTGTTTATTGAACTGTTTACACAAGACTAGCAATGTTGTGATGCATATATGAAACGAAACACAAGATTACTGATACACCATTAAATTCCATTCAATACTCTAAATGTACTTTTAAGTTTTTCCAGTACTCCTACATTGAAAAAAATAAGGAGTACATACTCCTGATGTTGAAAAATTATCTGGAGCCCTGATTACTAACAGTATTGTTTGGGTTCATATATAAGATATATCTGCAAATAACAAAGGTCAAGTGGGTATTTTTTCAGTGTTTACACAAAAACATACTGTCAATCTGATCTGCCAGATAACATTAGTGTTTAACAAGCCCAGGTCATTCACAGGTGTCAGCAATTCTCAAAGCATAAACTGAAGTGCAATGTTAACTACAACACTAGCAGGATCAGTGCCAAGTTTCTATGTCTATGCTTGCATTCCTCTGTGGTTTGGTGTCTTTTCAGATGGATCAGCCAAAATATTGTTTTATCCATAAATGAAAAAAGTAAGTGTACGGCCGAATACAAACAACTGCTGCAATGATTGTGATATGAGAAGCTACTCACTGGTGCTCTATCTGGTAGTTAAGATGGCCAGTGAACCAGTCATTGAAGGTACTTGGCTCAGCATTACTTGTTGTGGCCAGTTGCAGGTTGACCCAGTCCAGCTGCTTGTCGTGCTCCACCTCGTTGGGTATATGACTCATCTGTGTGACCCACACAAACCAGTGGCTCTCCACCACCCTGTCAACACAGCCACATGTTACCAGTACATGGTACTTGGACAAACAAGCAGTGGTAGGTGTTGCTAACAACTACGTTTTACTTCCTGCTAATTGACCATTACTCATCTTTTGCCATATGTATGGGGTAGTGTTGTCCCAGGCACTTTGATATTACCAAGTGGTTACCAAATATTTAAGCAGAAGTACAAACTGTGATATATGACTTGGTTGATGCTGTACTCTGATGGTGTGGGTCATCGCTTGTCACGCTCAAAATGTCCCCGCGATGGGGTCCTAATCGCGGCAAACATAGACCACAGACAACTAATTAACTTTGGTCCACATTATTCAAAGAATTCACTGTCATATATATTGTGTCTTGTATTGTTTGTTTGTTTTATTGTCGAACTCAGCATTAATCTAGAAGGATATACCCTGATTTTAACTGAGTCTGGACCCGACAATATTGGACATTTTGAGCGTGACAAGCGATGACCCACACCATCAGAGTACAGCATCAACCAAGTCATATATCCCATAATCACTTAGTTGCCTCTTCTATTCTGTCTTTTGTCTTGTATTGTTTGTTTGTTTTATTGTCGAACTCAGCATTAATCTAGAAGGATATACCCTGATTATAACTGAGTCTGGACCCGACAATATTGGACATTTTGAGCGTGACAAGCGATGACCCACACCATCAGAGTACAGCATCAACCAAGTCATATATCCCATAATCACTTAGTTGCCTCTTCTATTCTGTCTTTTGTTCAAACCATTACAATATTTATGGGGCGTATTCTAAACTGGAATTCACCCAGGACAGTCAAATGTTACTGAACACTGGATGCATTATCAGACCATACCTGACCAGCATGTAGAACCAGAAGGCCCCCCAGTGTCCCAGCAGGGGAGAGTACACCAACGACAGTTTCGTGAAGAACAGCGTGGTCCACATCAAGTCCTGCACAACAACATCCATGGTCAGTGAGCACAATCTCCAAGTAAACAACCAGTGAACACAATCTCCAAATTCACTGTCAGTGAACACAACCACCATGACCACAGTCAGTAGACACTATCACCATGTCCCCAGTCCAAGAACACAATACCATGTCCCCAGTCCAAGAACACAATACCATGTCCCCACTCCCAGAACACAATACCATGTCCCCAGTCCCAGAACACAATACACTGTCAGTGAACACAATACCATGTCCCCAGTCAGTGAACACAATACCATGTCCCTGAACACAATCACCACTTCCCCAGTCCCTGAACACAATACCCTGTCCCCAATCCCAGAACACAATACCATGTCCCCAGTCAGCGAACACAATCACCCTGTCCCCAGTCCCTGAACACAATCACAACATCCCCAGTCCCTGAACACAATCACCATGGCCCCAGTCTGTGAACACAATACCATGTTCTCAGTCAGTGAACACAATACCATGTTCTCAGTCAGTGAACACAATACCATGTTCCCTGTCAGTGAACACAATACCATGTCCCTGAACACAATCACCACGTCCACAGTCCCTGAACACAATCACCACGTCCACAGTTCCTGAACACAACACCACTAATTAATAACTTACCGTATATGACCGTCTATAAGATGACCCCATTGATAAGACGACCCCCAAACTTGACCCTTAAAATCAGTGTCAAAATGGTATGTTTCGTGCATAAGTCGATCCCCCGCGATGGGGTCCTAATCGCGGCAAACACAGACCACAGACAACTAATTAACTTTGGTCCACATTATTCAAAGAATTCACTGTCATATATATTGTGTCTACTCACGGTTCGAAACGAAGTGTAGTTGACAGAAAATGCATAATATATTTTGCTTCTCTAAATACCATATTTATTGTAGCAACAAACTGGCTTGCTTATTTTACCCCATTCAACAATCACGAACTGATTACTGCCTCGTTTTCCATTGACTGCTAGTTTACAGTAACATCGGTAAAAATGTGTGAATTTAAATGGCGTCCGTATTTTACCCCATTCCATGTGCTTACCATGTTCATGAGGGTCCGTATAACCTTAGTGTTGATTATATATATTTTACATAAAAACTGTAAATAAAATTACACAATGCTAGGATATATTTCTTTGGGTTAAATAATAGTATTCTGTATTATATTTTACTGACGACTGCGTCAGAATTCATCCCGCTATATTATTGTGTATGTTTGAACTTGTTCGCCGGGAAACGTGTGCACAGCTGATTGCTATTTCCGGCTTTGTGTACGAGACAAATACGCACGGTAATCTTAATCCCTGCAAATAATACAATGCCCAGCAAAAACAACTTATACTAGTAACTTAAAAGGTAAATAATCTTGTCTAGTGATGTTTAATTGCAAATTTGATGTCTCTACTGACAAAGTCGTCTTCTGTTGTTTGTTCACGCGAAGTGATACGATGTTGTTTTTTTACCCCTGGAAAAAAGTTTGACGAAAGCGTAACCCATGGATAAGACGACCCCCTTCTACAGACTGCTTTTTTTGGTCCTCAAAATTCGGCTTATAGACGGTCATATACGGTAATGAAACATTTCCTTAAATGTCGGCGGTTTTATTTTAACCTCTAGAGACCTCGACATGTGAAGGTCACCCAAATATCCAAGTGAAACAGCGATTAAGACCCAGCACAAAACATGAACTAGCTGTTTTTCTGCCTTACACTTGCAAGTTTTGGGATATACATGATATGGCTAAAAGAAATGAAAATTCATTAAAAAATTCCGTTGAATTCAAAATTCATGAAATATTAATTTAAGTCTTGCATTGAAAAAAACCCATCAAATTTCTGGGCATGAAAGCTTACCAAAGCAATAGAGTCTCTCTACAATACACAGTGTGGTCACAATCACCTTGCTTTCTTCTTAATGTAATCAAATATACAACCGTCGCCATATAGCTGTAATATTGCTGAGAGCAGCATAAAACTTAACTCACTCACTTAAATGTACAGTATGTCAACTTACCCACCAGTCTTTTCTTTTAAATACAAAATAAAAGTTTTCCACATGAAAATATATTGGTAATAGAAGAGGGGGACCCACTGAAATATAAACAAAAAAGGTTAGCCAGTACTTCATTTATGTTTGGTTGTTCAAGGCCACAGACAGCTATCACTGTCTTTCAATAAAACAATCTGGACAAGACAATACAATTATCAACATTATAAGCAATGATATACATGGTTTTGCTCAATCAACCAAGACACATAGTCTGAACAGTGCATCTAGCTGCATCTTACAAGAATCATAATGGGGACATTTAGCATATGTTATTAGGTAAAAATACCAACTAGATTGTGATACTTTGCAACAGATAGTACTTATAAATACCCCCTTATCATAAACAAAGTCATATGAGATATACTGACAAAGATTGTTCGGGACTCACACAGAAAGAAGTAGTTATGCTGGAAGTTGTAGGGCATGACCCCCTTCTTCTTCTTCCCCCAGGAGACAGGCAGGTAGTCCCCCAGGAGGAACAGGTAGGTGATCTCAATGTCAGGGTCCTTCTTCAATGTGTTAGGCTTGCAGTGGTGTTGGTTGTGGCGGAAGTTCCACCAATGTGATGAGGCACCCTGCAACATTGATTAGACAAAGGAACATAAATAATACAACAAAATGATGAATCATTGACAATAGGCTTCACCATAGTAAGTTTTAAAACAAAATGATGAATCATTGACAATAGGCTTCACCATAGTGAAACAAATTATAAAATGATTATCACTCCTATAACAACATAATGAGTCTGTGACCTTGAGTCTCACCTTAATGAATCTTATAACTACATGATGAGTCAGTGACCTTGAGTCTCACCTTAATGAATCCTATAACAACATAATGAGTCCGTGACCTTGAGTCTCACCTTAATGAATCTTATAACTATATGATGAGTCAGTGACCTTGAGTCTCACCTTAATGAATCCTATAACTAAATGATGAGTCAGTGGCCTTCAGTCTCACCTTAATGAATCCTATAACTAAATGATGAGTCCGTGACCTTCAGTCTCACCTTAATGAATCCTATAACTAAATGATGAGTCAGTGGCCTTGAGTCTCACCTTAATGAATCCTATAACTATATGATGAGTCAGTGACCTTGAGTCTCACCTTAATGAATCCTATAACTAAATGATGAGTCCGTGGCCTTGAGTCTCACCTTAATGAATCCTATAACTAAATGATGAGTCCGTGACCTTCAGTCTCACCTTAATGAATCCTATAACTAAATGATGAGTCCGTGACCTTCAGTCTCACCTTAATGAATCCTATAACTAAATGATGAGCCCAGTGGTTGAGTTTACTACTGCTGAAGACAGAAAGATGGCCATAGTCATGTTGTGTCCAGCCTGCCTGGGCCTGAAAGAAGACAAACACATATGACTGTAGGGTGTGTCAGGGTGTACATTTATACACGGCAGAGATGGACTGATGGCAATAAGGGTAGTCAGTATTGGGAATAACTGCACGGCCTCTAATCCTGACACATCATCTCATACATACTTCACCTCAAACATTTTCACATAACACAGGTTCGAAACAAGAAGACGTGATCATCAATATCCCCCGCCACAGTGTTCTGTTCCTATTTTGACAACTATTCATTCTTCCTACAAATAGCGATACATAAACTGTTAACACATTGACTGCCACCCGACTATACTCGTAGTATCAATGTCTGGCCGAATTTGCCACTACAAGTTATCTCATAGCTACATGAATGGTATTTTGAAACAAGTTTCATATGTTGGCAAAAAGAGCAGAAGAAGCAATCGTCTCCTGGTGGTAACAAAGAACACCAGGAGATATTTGTTTCTTGTGCCTATTTTGCCAACATGTGAAACTTGTTTCAAAATACCATTTTGCCACTACCAGATACCTTGTAGTGGCAAATTCAACCAGAATTGATACTATGAGCATACTCATGAAAGGCAGTCAACGTGTTATCAAGAAAAGCATGACAAGGGCCATAACAGTAAAGAATCGTAACACGGTTTCCATTTTTAAACTCCATCAAGGCATTCATGTCCTGAAAACACATACCAAATTTGGTTTCCCTATCTATAACAATGTTTGAGAAAATCTGTCCCCATTGGGGATACCGTGCACTAAGTCAACAAACGCAGGACAAGGCCATAACTCTGTAGCAAATTGTAACACGGTTTCCGTTTTCGAACTCCATCAGGAATTCATGTCCTGAAAACACAAATTTCCCTACGGTTTTTGAGAAAATCTGTCCCCATTATCTCAGACAGAGGGAGCTCCTATATCCCCCTCCAACTTTGTGGTGGGGGATAATAATCTAAAAGTTCCCTTTCATGGAAAAAACCTTGGAGACTGAACTAATGAAATCCACTAATAGATAGTATTGTACATAGCTAAAGTGCATGAATACTGCATGATTCAACAGACAGACAACAGCAAACTCATACAAGGCTAAGCAATTAAGTGATTACAAAACAAGACATTATGATGCTATCATCATAAGGCAGACTTAGTATTGCGCCAAATGGATCTCAGAAGCGACATAAATAAAAGTATCATTTACACAATACATCCTTCCATTACCAATTTTAAAAACATTTAAGATTACACAACTCATATTTTCAAAACTGAATCAAAACTTCATATTTTGGCATACCGGTAAATGGTGTCTCCAACAAAACAATATTGCTATATTCCAACAGAAAACATCTTCATTAAAAGGGGTGATCATTGCCTCATCCGCAAACTTGAGTAAATCACCTGTGTGTGTACTTTAGTGGGGTTTACATGGTCTGTCTACTGTGTTCTTGTCTACAGTTCTCAACATAATTCTTGTGACTCGAGATTAAATTACAAAAGTAATTGAAAGTTAAAACCCCAATTACAAAACATAAATGATTGTGTTCACACTATTTCACTCTTCATTTTCAACATGGTATGAGTACCAAAATTCTGACTGTTTTTGTTCTTTGTTTTTCAACTGCACCCTCAGCAATATCCAAGCTCTGTGACAGTGTCCATAAATCTGCAAGCCTGACAATCCAAATCTGTTACTGGCCTTTTGCAAGCATTTGTTGCTGAGCAACATAATAGATACCACAGAGTATCTGATAACACTTTATAGACAGATAATTAACTCTTGTCTGACTGTTTACCTGACATGTAGCATATAACAGCACTGCAACCATATATGGCAGCCAGTCTGTGCCGTAGTAGTACATCGTTGCTGCTGCTGCCACCTCCATGGCAACCAGGCTGAGAAACTGGCATACGAAAAACACCGGGGTTCATCTTCATCCATCCTGAATTCTCCACTGTCTTGCGTAGTTCTCGGAAATCTTTTATCACAGGACTCTAGAAGGCAGAATAGAAAATGACAGAAATGAAAATCAAAAAGGATGTATATAGTAATTGTGCTTATTAACACCAATGAATGATATGTACAAATCCAACAAGGAATTAGTCTGCCTGCATGTTAGAACAAAGATATAACACCCTTCACTGTTTTGGACACTAAATAGACTGTGCATCAATCATTGAAATTTACACACCTTGGGATGATATGGTCTTGATAGATAGCCTTTTATTTTTCATATCAACATCTTGTGACATCATCAGAGGTTGCTTCTGTGATATCGACCTAGGGCGATATGACATGATGGTAAGAATATCCAAAAATGTATAACTAACTGCGGTATTAGCAAATTGCAAGGAGTATTCGAACTATGTTTGATACTATGTTTGAACGCCAGAACACACCCGCGGTGTTGACACGCTGCTGTCACCGCAGGATATGCATGTGAAATTGTTGACGTCTGTTGTAGTGAAATTGACATAACCCTGGCTGCTTCTGCTTTCATGCACATATTCAGATTTGATGTATTTCCAACGAGCAAATATAGTAAAAGCAATCAAATTGTTTTTAGAGAGGTCTAGTCAGTTGTTAACTGTGGTGTGAATGTCAAATAGCAACTAATGCCGCGATTAATATGTAAAAGAACACCCATGCTCCGCTGGGGTGTTCATTTTACATATTAACCTGTTACTACATGTCATATATATATACTACATGTCATATATATATACAGTGTGCAAACAAACAAGTTTTCAACATATAAAGCAAATACTTTTCTAGAAATGATTGAAACGCTCCCCTAATTAACTTCATTACAAAGTTCCTAATGAGGTAAACAGGCATAGCAATCACTGTTCAGTGCTTATTGACAGTCGATCAACCAACAGTGACAGATATCAATGACTAATCTGTAAGCCATTGTAACTCCAAACTAAGGACACTGTCCTACACTTCTAAGCAACAATATGGCCAGTACCAATAAAGGCCACTACCTTCTGTTGTACTCTAATCAGTGGACTATAGATATTCAGCAACTGTGTCATGTTGACTTGGTGGACTGTAGGCTGTTGTTTAACACAGTCACCATTAGTACGGCATTATCACTGTAGCTTGTCAACCAAGCAGGCAAACATGAAAAGTAATAAACACATTACCGGGTTCTGATGACACATAATTAAACACATCTACCACAACCATCACTTCACTTGGCCCAACTTGTACAAGCATAAGATACCTGTGATGTACACTTACCTTGAGTAATTAAGCCATTGTACCCTGTATTTGTTCATGAGCTACCTATTGTATCTGGGATTGGTTCCAAAGCTACCGATTACACCCTGTATTTGTTCATGAGCTATATATTGTATCTGGAATTGGTTCCCAAGCTACCGATTACACCCTGTATTTGTTCATGAGCTACCTATTCCTGCTGGGATTGGTTCCCAAGCTACCCATTACACCCGGTATTTGTTCATGAGCTACCTATTGTATCTGGGATTGGTTCCCAAGCTACCGATTACACCCTGTATTTGTTCATGAGCTATATATTGTATCTGGAATTGGTTCCCAAGCTACCGATTACACCCTGTATTTGTTCATGAGCTACCTATTCCTGCTGGGATTGGTTCCCAAGCTACCCATTACATCATGTATTTGTTCATGAGCTACCTATTGTTTCTGGGATTGGTTCCCAAGCTACCCATTACACCCTGTATTTGTTCATGAGCTTCCTATTGTATCTGGGATTGGTTCCCAAGCTACCGATTGCACCCTGTATTTGTTCATGAGCTACCTATTGTATCTGGGATTGGTTCCCAAGCTACCCATTACACCCTGTATTTGTTCATGAGCTACCTATTGTATCTGGAATTGGTTCCCAAGCTACCCATTACACCCTGTATTTGTTCATGAGCTACCTATTGTATCTGGGATTGGTTCCCAAGCTACCCATTACACCCTGTATTTGTTCATGAGCTACCTACAGTGTCTAATTTACTCTTCAGATAAAGTGGGCCCTGGGCCCATGATTAATTAAAGTTGTGGGACATTTGCCATTGTTGAAGTAAAACCAAGTTCTATGGATAGTCAACTTCACTTGCTTGATAACGGTCACACCGAAACGTCACACCTATTGCAATAAAGAAGTTGACTGTCCATAGAACTTGGTTTTCCTTCATCTATCCAACTTCTAAAATGCCCCTCAAAGAAATTTGCCATTGTTGGTGGGTCATCAGAAAAAACAAGGGAGACAATGCATTCACTCTGCAATTTTAATGACTTTGTAATTCAAATAGCTGTTCAGTTGTATCAATTAAAGTGTTAATTTATACACTGTTGATTTGGCCATAAAAGTTATTATCTTCTAACTCTGTTTTAATTTTGAGTTAGTAAAAATGGAAAACAGTCACAGTCACTTTGGTAATACTGGGCACTAGGTATATTTGTTCACATCTTTTGAAACAATTTTCTCACTGACCGCCATTCATTAAGACTGTCCTCAAAATTGAAATCCTGAATTCTGGAACCTTCAACAGCTATGAGTAGTAGTTCATCAAGTTTCACATCTGAAAGTTGATTTCTCAGTGATGTTTTCACCAAATTTTGGGAACTAAAACCTCTCTCACAGTCTGATGTGTGGATGGGTGCTGTGAGTGCAACTGAAGCAAGAATCAGTAGATTAGGAAAGTCTTGAGAGTGGTAGCTGTGTATCAAACTCCACAGATTCTGCATGTTATCTCTTGGATAACCTGAGTTAACAACTAGCTTCTTCAGTTTCCCCCATTCCACCCGGGCATCAGCAGCATCAATGATTGCTTTCGCATGTACTTCAGTCCCATTAACAACCCGTGATTTATCACTCCCAAAGTGTTCCAATAGCTTCTCTAATTTCAAATTTCCCCACATTTCAAGTTCATCACTGGTGAGAAATGAAACTGGACGTATACCAAGCACACCAAAGGCATATATGGTGCTGTTGTTTGGAAACCTTGTCTCAAGCTTTTTTATTACAGCTTGAATAAAGTTATTTCTGATATTTTCAATGTCATTTCTATCTTTCAGGAGATGATTGGATTGCACTGAGCTTTTCCTGATTCATTAAGTGTCACATCAATTTGAAGCTGATCCATGTAGTTAGGTTTTCTGTGTTCCTTTCACCACAAAGTTCCTTCAGAGATGAAATGGAATTTTCTACTGATACTTGCACAAGACAAATATCAAGATTTCTCTTCTGAAACACTAGTGACTGTTCAGAGAGAATAGACAATACACTCATCAAAAGATAAGTGCAACCAACAAAGTTTTGCTCAGAAATTTTCTTTGCAAATCCCTGACCCTTTGCATCCTTCTGATTGATGAAAAATGTCATTAGGGGATCTAAACACATGTACACAGTTTCAACTGCTTTATAGATTGCCAACCATTGTACAGAATGAACTTCTGTCGTTCTAAGTGTAGGCTCTTCCAAAACAATCTGTATCTCTCTCAAGGACTCATTTCTGTTGGCAGAATGCTTGACATAATAAAACATGGAGGTTAATGTCTCACTATAGTCCTTCACTGCTGGACTATTTTCTGCAGGTTGAGAAGAAACCAATGCTAGATGGTGCGCTATGCAATGGTAATTTACCATCATGGGATTTTTGTTCAACAACTGTCCAGTAACTCCTTTCCCCAAACCTGTCATGACAGATGCCCCGTCACTTCCAAAACCCATACATTTAACTATGGGTACATTCTTTTCATCAAGGATATTTGTAAGTGTCTCTGCTATTGCAGATCCTGTTCCCTGTTGAAGTTTGGCATTAGTTATGAAATGTGTAGATGCTGTAAATGTCTCTGGCTCAATCACGGTTGCAAACACTGTTAACTTTTTGTGAACGGTGATGTCCGTACTTTCATCAGTCAATATGCTTACAATCGGGGAATGGAAGAGCATATCGTCCAAGTCTCTCCTCGTAACCAATGCCAGCGCCGACACCATTTCGTTAACTGTTGGAATGCTGATGTATGTTGTATATCCTGACCCACAGCCTTCCCCAAACTTTAAATTCTCAATGAAAGGACAACACAGTTCTTTCAAAAGATTCATCAAACTGGGATACTTTTGCATGGGCAAGGCTTCCTTTACCATCCAAACATACATTGAATTGCTGCCTTTTCTTTTTCACTATGCACATTTTTCACTGCCATTTTCATTTGTGCCTTCAACAATTCAGGTTGCACGGCAAGTTTATGGTCGGCACTATCAGCGTGTCTCTTAAGCGTGGAAGTACGGAAATTTTCAGTTCCATCAGTGAAAACATTATGTTTTCCATTTTTCAGACAAATTGCACAAGTTATTTTGTATTTACACTCATTATACAGAACCCACGGATACAAACCTTGCTATTTCGTTTGGAACGAACGGATCGATGTTTTGCTCTCAGTCTCAGTTTCAGCATCGGTCGGCGTGTCATTGGCTATTGATGGTTCCGTTTCAATTACTGAATTAGAACTGTCATCACTTGACTTCGCAACGGTTTCAGCATTTTCTCTATCAGTTTTTGTTCTTTTTGTTTCAAAAAACGAATGTATTCGAGCCTGCCGCTTCACAGCAGCAGACGACTTTTCACCCGACATTTTGTTTCGATAACTGCACACTGTCTTTTCAACTTCAGTTACAGCCCTTTGATATAGACCTAGGAACTACACCAGTAAAGGGCGTAACTCTTAATGTATAACGAAACAGCATGACTTCAATAAGCTACGTATTCTAAGCTCCATGCATTGAAAGCATGCACAGCACTGCGGGGAATATGAATGCCGATTGATCGCTCGAAATTGTGAAAATAAGTTGTACATATTAAGGAGTTTGGAGAGGTATGATTTTACATAATTGATACGAGGCAAATTATTTTTATAGTGCGTCAATCAGACCCACCAGGTTAAGGAATAGTGCGTCATTTTTAACTATCATGAGCCAATGGCGCAACAGGGCGGTCTGATTTAGACTCTGTACCTATTATATCTGGGCTTGGTTCCCAAGCTACCGATTACACCCTGTATTTGTTCATGAGCTACCTATTATATCTGGGCTTGGTTCCCAAGCTACCCATTACACCCTGTATTTGTTCATGAGCTACCTATTATATCTGGGCTTGGTTCCCAAGCTACCGATTACACCCTGTATTTGTTCATGAGCTATATATTGTATCTGGAATTGGTTCCCAAGCTACCGACTACACCCTGTATTTGTTCATGAGCTACCTATTGTATCTGGGATTGGTTCCCAAGCTACTGATTACACCCTGTATTTGTTCATGAGCTACCTATTGTATCTGGGATTGGTTCCCAAGCTACCGATTACACCCTGTATTTGTTCATGAGCTACCTATTATATCTGGGCTTGGTTCCCAAGCTACCGATTACACCCTGTATTTGTTCATGAGCTACCTATTATATCTGGGCTTGGTTCCCAAGCTACCCATTACACCCTGTATTTGTTCATGAGCTACCTATTATATCTGGGCTTGGTTCCCAAGCTACCGATTACACCCTGTATTTGTTCATGAGCTACCTATTGTATCTGGGATTGGTTCCCAAGCTACCCATTACACCCTGTATTTGTTCATGAGCTACCTATCGTATCTGGAATTGGTTCCCAAGCTACCGATAACACCCTGTATTTGTTCATGAGCTATATATTGTATCTGGGATTGGTTTCCAAGCTACTGATTACACCCTGTATTTGTTCATGAGCTACCTATTGTATCTGGAATTGGTTCCCAAGCTACCGATTACACCCTATATTTGTTCATGAGCTACCTATTGTATCTGGAATTGGTTCCTAAGCTACCGATTACACCCTGTATTTGTTCATGAGCTACCTATTGTATCTGGAATTGGTTCCCAAGCTACCGATTACACCCTGTATTTGTTCATGAGCTACCTATTGTATCTGGAATTGGTTCCCAAGCTACCGATTACACCCTGTATTTGTTCATGAGACCTAGTACTATATATATATATATATTACAGGCAATCTGTAAAACCAGACATTTGGTCGAATTACTAAAAGGATCAGTCATTTGGGCAAATGACTAAAAAATTAGAGTTTCTAGTTAAACTGACTGCAGAACAGTATTAGTTAATCCATCAAATGCAAGGTATTTGTTGTGAATGTTGTCTCAACAAAGGGGTTTCTCTTAAACAAACACTCTGTACTGATATATAATACGTAGCTCATTATATAATAGGTAACTCATGAACCACATGTGTCACTTCAGGGATGCAGCCAGAGACTACTTGAATACTGACATAGTGAACTCACTGGTTTGTATTCTTTGACGACTCCAATCTGCAAGGCCTTCATATACTTCTCCACAGATTCCTTGTCTTTGTGAAAGGCCACCCAGGCATCCTGTCAAGTCAAATCAATAAATACACTTATCACAATGTTAATGCAAATAGAATCTCATGGATTATAACAATAAACAATCAATGGTTGCACAATTAATTATTAATTAAGATCTGACTTTCACCTTGAGTTCATTGGAACATGACACATCTTATAGCGAGGGTCCAACTGTATCACTGTCAGACCTTATAACAACCCAAAACAGGTCCTTGAGATTGGCACGAGTGAAAGGCAAACAAAGATTTATCAGAAAAAGTAAATCTGAGGTTTGTTGATTTAGTGCTAAGGCAAGGTAAGATAAGATAAGATAATGAGAATTCCAGGTACATATTCTCAAATTACCTACAATTCAAACATCACCTCTACCAAAACGGTCATTTTGTTCTCAATTTCTCAAGTTATGACGAGATATCACAAGATCAAAGAAACCAACTTGTCTTGAAGAACCTTTGGTATGGCTTATGCTAAATGCTTCATTCTTGATTGAAAATGAAATGAAGAACAGTTCTGAACGTTATAAGTTGTTTACTGGTCACGAGAGGGACATGGGTTGATGTACTCTCTATGTAAACAAACATAGAGGGTGCATCAACCCGTGGGCCCCGAGGGACCAGTGAACAACGTATTTATCTTACCGAACACCTCAATATCATTTTTTGAACTGTTTGAAGCACGGGTATCGGATCATAATAAGGAGTACCAGAGTTAGGCAATTAGCCAATAATAGATTTTCAGATGACATTGAATCTAGCAGATGACAAGAAAAAAGAATTTGGAGCAATCTCCCTTCCAATGATTTGCATTCGCAAAACATCGGCAATTTTCGTACATCATAAGTGACTCAATTATTCAAGATAAAGAAGTACTAACACAAAGTACCAAATGAATTCCCACAGTTCGGCATTCCCAGCAAGTAACATAGAAAATGTTACTCGCTTGTAAGCAAGGTACACTGAAAATAATAGAAGAGCGCTCAGGCAATCAGAAAACGACATTTATGTGTGAGGTAAAAATACTGACTGCCATTTTGGTCAAATGTAACACGTTATATTTGGGATTACTCTTTCTCAGTAAAGTCCAGATTCTAGTACTTTTGTTAGGTTGAATCCCATCAGGGCTTCAAACCCACACTCTCAGAGTCAGGCACCTAATTGCAATTCACACAAAGACTCTGAGGGTATGGGTTGGAATCCAGGATTGTTAGATTTCAGCCATGGAAGTTGTGCCAGCCTTCCTTCAGAAGGTGGGGTATTTCTCTCTGTGACCACAGTGCCTTTCATAAGTCCAATTTTCAACAAGCAAGAGGCAGAAAGTGTAGTTCCCAAGGAAACATCGGACAATGTCAGCTGATGTAAAGATTAGGCATCAGATGATCAGCAACTGCATCCACTGGCTAAGAAAAGCAAGACATGCCTTTGGGTCTCTTGCTGCAGGAGTAAGCACTGAGCTACATTCTTCTAAAGGTTGCAATACATGCACAGACAGACATAGACTCTAACTCAGACATTACTGAAGAAGATAAAGTGTGCCACAAATACTACTTATTTAAATCTGTACAGGTCAAGAATTGAATGTCAGTAACATTTGTTTTGTGGTCCACTGTACACACATCCAACAAGTCAACACTGGGTCCATTGGCAGTGCTTGTGGGCCTGCACAACAGCTTGTTAGAAACTGGATTCTGATTTCCATGTCATGGCGAAGAAGGTGTAATGACCAGTGAGCAGTGAATCAATAATGAGAGGTGTACATATATTCAGTCTGGACAGATACTCATACTTAGTCAGTTATACTTTATGAGGAATAATAATCATGATAATAAGAAGTAAAATTTTTTACAATTTGTGTAAACACAGGTTTATCATGGTCATACTCACAGGGACTTGTAACGCAAACTACTTGCATAAATCATTAAATGTACTTATTTAAATAATATAGTTCATATTATATTTTAGCATTATATATCCTTTTTATAGTTCTAAGATCCTGTTGTTAGTGGCAATAAATGATGTGTAACATGCCCTGTCCATTAGATAGTAATAATAATGCTAATATTCTTGCGCCTAGAATCCAACACAATGCTGCTCTCTGGCATTACATTATTACCCTGACGGAATTGTACTTTCAAAGCCGCTACTAAGCATTTTGCGCGACCGTATTGGTCCGTACATCCGCTTCTCAGGTACCCATTTTGAACAGCTGGGTGGACTGAGTGTAATGTGACAAATTTTGGTTTCTCCACCGGGATTCGAAACCGGGCCTTTGGCGTGAGAGGCCAGCATGCTAACCACTACACCACCATGCTCCACAAACAGTTCTATGAATAGCCAGTGACAATATATAGCTTGATGCCAGGTTTTTGTGTAACATGCCCTGTCCATTAGACAGTGCTATAAATAGCCAGTGACAATATATAGCTTGATGCCAGGTTTTTGTGTAACATGCCCTGTCCATTAGATAGTGCTATGAATAGCCAGTGACAATATATAGCTTGATGCCAGGTTTTTGTGTAACATGCCCTGTCCATTAGATAGTGCTATGAATAGCCAGTGACAATATATAGCTTGATGCCAGGTTTTTGTGTAACATGCCCTGTCCATTAGATAGTGCTATGAATAGCCAGTGACAATATATGGCTTGATGTCAGGTTTTTGTGTAACATGCCCTGTCCATTAGATAGTGCTATGAATAGCCAGTGACAACATATAGCTTGATGCCAGGTTTTTGTGTAACATGCCCTGTCCATTAGTTAAATTACATTTGTCACGTCATTCCATTGTCTGTTCGCTCCATTACTTTTCAGGAATGGAGTGATGTGTACCAGTTTCAAAATAAAACCTTCATTTTGTCATTTTGACATTTAATTTTGATAACAGCAATATTCCCAATGCTTCGAATGTAATTTAAGTAGGGTAATAACCTCGTAACTCTCCATTCCTTAAAAATAATGTGCCTCGGCCCCAGAGGGGCCTCGGCTCCATTATTTTTAAGGAATGGAGAGCATTACCCTCCACATAATAGATAGTGCTGTGAATAGCCAGTGACAATATATAGCTTGATGCCAGGTTTTTGTGTAACATGCCCTGTCCATTAGATAGTGATATGAATAGCCAGTGACAATATATAGCTTGATGCCAGATTTTTGTGTAACATGCCCTGTCCATTAGATAATAGATAGTGCTGTGAATAGCCAGTGACAATATATAGCTTGATGCCAGGTTTTTGTGTAACATGCCCTGTCCATTAGATAATAGATAGTGCTGTGAATAGCCAGTGACAATATATAGCTTGATGCCAGGTTTTTGTGTAACATGCCCTGTCCATTAGATAATAGATAGTCCTGTGAATAGCCAGTGACAATATATAGCTTGATGCCAGGTTTTTGTGTAACATGCCCTGTCCATTAGATAATAAATAGTGCTATGAATAGCCAGTGACAATACATAGCTTAATGCCAGATTTTTGTGTTGCAAGGCTAGGTTGCCAACACTGGTAATGGTATTGCAGTAATTGATTTTGCAGGTTAATGGATAGCTAAGCCTAAAGATTAAGACATGTTATATTTATGTGTAGAAAAATTGCACTAATATCCGCATTTAAATCCCACTTAGGTAAACACGACTACACATGTCCACAATAAATTCTCACAAAACTGGTTGCTTGCCATAATGGCATGTCACCAACAGCATGAGAAGTTGTGTTGCTGAAATCTACAGGTGCTACATGAACTAATGGTCAATAAAAGTGAGATACCGGCAAGCTTCAGGTATTACGTAGTTCGAGAACTCACCGTTGCATCTTCGCCTGCATAATGGCTGATCACTTTAGCACCACCAGGGTGTTTCTTGGCCCATGTTGTTATGTCGTAAATATTTCCGTTAATAATCAACCATTTGTCATCCACCTTGTTGTGGCTTGTTACTTCCTCAACACTGAAAACACCCAGTTTCCTGGTGCCGTTCTCTGCCTTCCCACCTCTTCCCATCTCGTCACAATATTTTGTCTGGTCTTGTGGCTGCTATTCTGAATTAGTGCTCACAAAACCTCATTTTTGCTGTTCAACGGGGTAGAGAAAAAACACGCACCGCTCACATAAGCTCCTGCCCCCTGCCGTTTCCGTTAATGTCAAGGTCGATGATCGTATACTCCTCCAACTAGTTCAATGAAGATAAATTATCGTCCTTCAAACTGATTTTACTTGCAATTAGTAACGGGTACTTTGGCAGACTGGAAATAGAAAGTTCATCTTACTATCCTGTGATAGCATTAGGCTATGTCAAATTGTCTGTATATTTGCTCCCAACAATTACTTTAGAGGTATTTCATTCAACCAACATGCGTAAGCTTGCCAGTAGTATCCCTGCGCACCGGCTGTTTATGGGTGTCCATAGTGATAGATACCGGTTGGAAACGGTTCATTTACTGTTTGCGTTCACAACGCTTACCTTACGTAAACATTGTTTTATCGGACATTTTCATCAAATCTGCCTGAGATTGTGCCACTTGAATGGGCGTTATATGCCGTTAAGAAGTCAAAATGAAATCCGAATTAAAACAGTACAAAGCGAGCCCACTGTGTGTTTTATGTAACATTTTGTATTAAAAGAGTTCTAAAGTACTCACGGAACGTGAAATAAAATGGTTTTGGGCGTTTATATATTTGTTTATTACTTAATTAAAATAGGTGATTTTAACAAATATTAAAATAACTATGTATTTCCCAACTAGATCTAGGCCTTTCAATTTGGCCCCAAATCATCATCCAAAATGCCATTTTCCAGGTAAAAATAACAAACATTTGCATATTATCAACAAATTTAGAAACATGTTATGACTTACGTCACAATCAACAATGAGTGCACGCGGTAACAACTACCTGCAGCACTGTTTAGACGGGAAGATGCATTTGCACGTGCGTTGTCATAGCGATTGTGCAATTGACAATCAAAGCTATGATTGAACTCGTGAAAAAGTAAACTTTCAACAAGAGTACATGCATGTAAATGTGCTGAGAAAATCCCTAAATCAATTATTTTGTATATCAATTAGGATCAAAGAAATAAAGGATGAATAGCATATAACGTTTTTCATAAAATATATTATTTACGCGAACCTATGGAGAGTACATCTCATTTGCATACAATAGCTTACATCAGAAACGTGCATTTTGACTTTGATGAAATTTCAAAATGACACGATTTGCTCTCCTGAAAACTCATCTATTTCGGATGATTTTACAAAAAGTGTTAAAACAAAAGTTGGGGAAAAACGATAGTCGTAGAATATCATACCATATTATTTCTATTTCCGTGAGTACTTTAGTACTTCGTAGTCTGTGTAAAACAGACACTGTTCAGATAAAACCATCCTATATTGTTGGATACACATTAACTGTGAGTCGAAGTCGAAGGATGCGTGGTTACATTTGTTGTTTTACGGGAACGAAGGTCCAGTATATGCAGATCTATCTATCAATGACTTTCTCTCTCTGACAGTTACACAGGTTTGGAAACGAGATATTCTTGAATACATTTTGAGCCATATAACAAATTAGACTACATATAGTTTTAGCAATGAACACAAATAAATACTTACATCTGCTCTGTGGTTGTAATATTGTTAATATAAATGTTATACTAGGTTATAATGACTATGTCAAATGTAAAGCCAGGTTATAAATAAAGCACCCGCTACTAGTCACGTACAGCATAAACAGTGCATGTGCTATAAGTCACGTATAAATATAAAGAACGAGTGTGCTTCAAGTCACGTGCGTCATGAAAATATCAACAGAACATATACACCTGTACTGACGGATATGTTTAGTATATGTAACAGTACTGGTGAACAAGAACTGCCTTATTGTCAAGTTCCGCCCTTTTGTTAGTCATACTTTTATAACAAGTTTGTCCCATGAGGTACGTGAGGTATCTCAGTAACCACTGAACGCGGCAAGTCGGGACACTCAGCAATGTACGTACCTCACCTGTCTACACCCGTGGGTGTAGGGCTGTAACCCAGTGGTAAAGCGTTTTCTACCTCACCTGTCTACACCCGTGGGTGTAGGGCTGTAACCCAGTGGTAAAGCGTTTTCTACCTCACCTGTCTACCCGTGGGTGTAGGGCTGTAACCCAGTGGTAAAGCGTTTTCTACCTCACCTGTCTACCCGTGGGTGTAGGGCTGTAACCCAGTGGTAAAGCGTTTTCTACCTCACCTGTCTACCCGTGGGTGTAGGGCTGTAACCCAGTGGTAAAGCGTTTTCTACCTCACCTGTCTACTACACCCGTGGGTGTAGGGCTGTAACCCAGTGGTAAAGCGTTTTCTACCTCACCTGTCTACCCGTGGGTGTAGGGCTGTAACCCAGTGGTAAAGCGTTTTCTACCTCACCTGTCTACTACACCCGTGGGTGTAGAGCTGTAACCCAGTGGTAAAGCGTTTTCTACCTCACCTGTCTACTACACCCGTGGGTGTAGGGCTGTAACCCAGTGGTAAAGCGTTTTCTACCTCACCTGTCTACCCGTGGGTGTAGGGCTGTAACCCAGTGGTAAAGCGTTTTCTACCTCACCTGTCACCTGTCTGTAACCCAGTGGTAAAGCGTTTTCACCTCACCCCCGTGGGTGTAGGGCTGTAACCCAGCTGCGTTTTCACCACCCTACCCGTGGGTGTAGGGCTGTAACCCAGCGGTAAAGCGTTTTCTACCTCACCTGTCTACTACACCCGTGGGTGTAGGGCTGTAACCCAGTGGTAAAGCGTTTTCTACCCGTGGGTGTAGGGCTGTAACCCAGTGGTAAAGCGTGTACTACACCCGTGGGTGTAGGCTGTAACCCAGTGGTAAAGCGTTTTCACTCACCTGTCTACTACACCCGTGGGTGTAGGGCTGTAACCCAGTGGTAAAGCGTTTTCACCTCACCTGTCTACCCGTGGGTGTAGGGCTGTAACCCAGTGGTAAAGCGTTTTCTACCTCACCTGTCTACACCCGTGGGTGTAGGGCTGTAACCCAGTGGTAAAGCGTTTTCTACCTCACCTGTCTACCCGTGGGTGTAGAGCTGTAACCCAGTGGTAAAGCGTTTTCTACCTCACCTACCTACAACACCCGTGGGTGTAGAGCTGTAACCCAGTGGTAAAGCGTTTTCTACCTCACCTGTCTACTACACCCGTGGGTGTAGGGCTGTATGTAACCCAGTGGTAAAGCGTTTTCTACCTCACCTGTCTACTACACCCGTGGGCGTAGGGCTGTAACCCAGTGGTAAAGCGTTTTCAACCTCACCTGTCTACTACACCCGTGGGTGTAGGGCTGTAACCCAGTGGTAAAGCGTTTTCTACCTCACCTGTCTACTACACCCGTGGGTGTAGGGCTGTAACCCAGTGGTAAAGCGTTTTCTCGGCTCGCTGAAGACATGAGCTCGGTTCCCCGTATTGGTACAATAATTCACAATGATATCGACTGATTATTGTTAAATGCCGCCCCAGCTCATCCCCACTCATTGTACCACAGTTGCACGTCATCTGCGATACAGTATAATCATATTCCGAAATGATGGGAGCTCACATAGAAACCTACTGACTAAGAAGTAAGACTGGTTTGTTGAGTTTAATGTGTGATCAGTAAATCATGATCTCACAGGTACTGTTTTTCCCTGTATATAACATCTGACTTTTTTATTTTAAACACTGATTATGATGCCTTCTAACTCTCATGGATAAGATGTAGGTAGTCTGTCGTACAGACCCTGAAGCAAATATATCCAAGAAAGCCCACGCAAGTCTAGAAAATGTGGCAAGTCTAGATTTCCTCAGCTTCAGGGTCTGTACCAATCTGCTGAATTCACAAGCCAGAATATGGCTTGTAATTATCAGTTGATCGCTAGCTGTCACTAGTGTTTAATATTAACTCATGGGGAGCCTCCCCAACCTCTCCCCAAGACCCCCACGTTGAGCCAAGACCTCCTGCTTCTGCACTCCAGACAGACAACATGTGTGATTACACTAGAGACCTGATGACTTATAAAATCTGAGTATTTTCTTTAACTGTTTCATTTTACACTGGCGAGGAGAGGGATCATTTCGAGACTCAGGGTAAACATGAATGAACTTTGATGAGGATGAAAGCAAATATATAATTTGTCCAATCAGAATGATTGAAAAGTACTTTTCTTTATTGTTCTCCATCCACTGTTTCATTTCCCTACACTGGCGAGGAGAGGGAAGAGACAAACAGAGAAATATAAATCATTAGGCATTTCGAAAAGTTTTCCATCTCAGGGTAAACAAATGAAAGAGCGTCCACGTTAATCCTGTTTTCTTTGTAATTTGTCAGAGCTTCCGAGCGAGGAGCACCATGTTCATTCAGCCGTAACATTGCATTGCGATTCTACTGTTAATCAACTAACGTATTTCTATGATTTCATTGCCGGTGCAGTAGATAAAGGAACAGAAATAAGAGCAGTATTTTGTGATGTAAGAAAAGCATTCGACAGGGTTTGGCACACGGGTATCATTTATAAATTAAAAAGATATGGTATAAAGGGTAATTTGTTAAAATGGTTTGAGAGTTATCTTGAAAATAGAGAACAACGTGTCGTAATTAATGGATTTAGATCTGATACCAGAGACCATATAATCTATTATATGGTCTCTGCTGATACTAAAGCTGTATTTGCTGGAGTACCCCAGGGTTCAGTATTGGGGCCGCTCTTGTTTATTGTTTATATAAATGATATAGTTGAAGGTATAAATAGTAATATTCGCCTTTTTGCGGATGATACTTCTTTATATGCGATCATTGATGATCCTGGGGTAACTGCTATTGTAATGAACGATGATTTACAGCGAATTGCCGAACGGGCAGAAAAATGGCAAGTATCTTTTAATCCCAATAAGAAAGAGTCAATACCCTTTATTCGTACAAATTGCAACCAACTCCAATGCCGAACCTAACCATGAATGGTAATGTCATTAATTCCTCATTAAACAGTGGTATCCTGAAACAGGCCATACAGGTTGACGATCGTCCCCACCACTGGAACATTCCATAGATCGTCCCCCAACATTGGAACATTCCATAGATCGTCCCCCAACATTGGAACATTCCATAGATAGTCCCTGATCCTGGAACATTCCATAGATCGTCCCCCAACATTGGAACATTCCATAGATCGTCCCTGATCCTGGAACATTCCATAGATCGTCCCTGATCCTGGAACATTCTTCAAAAAGTCTCCGGAACATTCCAGAGATCGCCCTTCCTCACAGGACATTCTACAGAAAGTCCCTCGTCCCAGTGATTTATCTTGCATGAACTTATCCATGTAGCATACATTACAATGCTAACTTACGGGAATGTGCAGACTGATGTAAAAGTAAACGACAAATGTTTTGAAAGGGATCGAACTTGTAGCCTTTCAAGTTCACAAGTTGCCGCGTCAGAGAACCACTACTCCACAGAGACAATCCACGTGCACAGATCCAAGCACTCTGAAGAATCGCCTTTTCAAGCACATTACGCCAGCATGATATATTTTACGTCCGTTTCCTGAACTTTGAACATGTGTGTTGGAAAGATCTTTGTTTCGGATTGCACATAAACACTGTCCGTTGTATTTCTTTAAAATGTAAACAATTGTCGGTGATGAATGTGTGGTCATTTGTCTACATGTTGCACGTAGTCACGCTGTCGGTGTCGTCGTTTCGTACGTTACGTTGTTGTTTCAGCATAACGAAGTTTGATGTCCGGGTCTTTCCTGGATTTAGACAACATAGCGAATATGAGACTTCAGTCGCAGATAACATTTTCACATCAAACCTTGGAGTCCTTGTTATCCTTCATATAGTCTCAGAAAATACATATGTTCCAGACCAGGGGAATATATTTTTACATAGAAATTCGGCACCTAAATATTGTTTACTCTTCACAAAAATGCAACTTGAAAGTCATAATACTAAAAAGCATAAACAATCTTCTTACTGATCATATACAATTGTCAGTTGCTCTTAACCCACGCTTCATTCGTCATTCCATCGCCCTTTGGTTCTACCGCATCACCCATTCGTTCCGTCGTACATTGCACAGTCAATCATTCCACCGCACTGTTTCATGGCATAGCCAATCATTCCCCTGCATCTTTACTTGGCACAATGGTTAAAGCATTCGCTTGTCACGCCGAAGACCCGAGTCCGATTCCCCACATGGGTACAGTGTGTGGAGCCCATTTCTTGTGTCCCCCGCAGTGATATTGCTGGAATATCGCTAAAAGCAGAGTAAAACCATAGTCACTCACTACATGGCACAATCATTCCACCGCGTTACATTGCATATTCTGTCATTCCCCCTCACCGTTACGTGGTACAGTCAATCATCCCCTTCACCGTTATGTGGTACAGTCAATCATTCCCCGTCACCGTTACGTGGTACAGTCAATCATTCCACCGCGTTACATTGCATATTCTGTCATTCACCCTCACCGTTACGTGGTACAGTCAATCATTCCACCGCGTTACATTGCATATTCTGTCATTCACCCTCACCGTTACGTGGTACAGTCAATCATTCCGCCGCGTTACATTGCATATTCTGTCATTCACCCTCACCGTTACGTGGTACAGTCAATCATTCCGCCGCGTTACATTGCATATTCTGTCATTCACCCTCACCGTTACGTGGTACAGTCAATCATTCCGCCGCGTTACATTGCATATTCTGTCATTCACCCTCACCGTTACGTGGTACAGTCAATCATTCCGCCGCGTTACATTGCACATTCTGTCATTCCCCCTCACCGTTACGTGGTACAGTCAATCATTCCACCGCGTTACATTGCACATTCTGTCATTCCCCCTCACCGTTACGTGGTACAGTCAATCATTCCACCGCGTTACATTGCACATTCTGTCATTCCCCCTCACCGTTACGTGGTACAGTCAATCATTCCACCGCGTTACATTGCACATTCTGTCATTCCACCACACCGTTACGTGGTACAGTCAATCATTCCACCGCGTTACATTGCACATTCTGTCATTCCACCACACCGTTACGTGGTACAGTCAATCACCCCCCTCACCGTTACGTGGTAAGTCAATCATTCCACCGCACCGTTACGTGATACAGTCAATCATCCCCTTCACCGTTACGTGGTACAGTCAATCATCCCCCTCACCGTTACGTGGTACAGTCAATCATCCCCCGCACCGTTACGTGGTACAGTCCATCATCCCCCGCACCGTTACGTGGTACAGTCAATCATTCCCCGCACCGTTACGTGGTACAGTCAATCATTCCCCCGCACCGTTACGTGGTACAGTCAATCATTCCCCCACACCGTAACGTGGTAGAGTCAATCATTCCCTCGCATCGTTACGTGGTACAGTCAATCATTCCCTCGGATCGTTACGTGGTACAGTCAATCATTCCCTCGCATCGTTACGTGGTACAGTCAATCATTCCCTCGCACCGTTACGTGGTACAGTCAATCATTCCCCCGCACCGTTACGTGGTACAGTCAATCATTCCCTCGCATCGTTACGTGGTACAGTCAATCTAGACTAATGCTTAGTCTCTGAATAGATATAATTTTGATAGTAACAAACAAACCTATTATAAATCGAAAAGGAACCCCAGGGTGTCCAGAGATTCAGAACCTTGGGAAATCTTGACTTGCTTCATTTAGGGCTTTAGCACTGCAGAGAAAGCTAGGCTGTAGGGAAAATAATGTGCTTTGGGGACTGTGAGACAGACTACAGTCAATCATTCCCCCGCACCGTTACGTGGTAAGTCAATCATTCCCCTCACCGTTACGTGGTACAGTCAGTCATTCCCCCGCACCGTTACGTAGTACAGTAAATCATTCCCCCACACCGTTACGTGGTACAGTCAATCATTCCCCTGCACCGTTACGTAGTAAGTCAATCAATCCCCCACACCGTTATGTGGTACAGTCAATCATTTCTCTGCATCATTACGTGGTACAGTCAATCATTCCCCGCACCGTTACGTGGTACAGTCAATCATTCCCCCGCACCGTTATGTGGTACAGTCCTTCTTTCCACCACACCGTTACGTGGTACAGTCAATCTTTCCACCACACCGTTACTTGGTACAATCAATTATTCCACCGCCTCTTTACATGACACAATCAATCATTTCACCACATCATTACACCCATATTCCGGGCCATTATATATATTTGATATCATACCAAGGAAATATCTTCTGTAGGCCTCTCCGGGCTTAATAAAGAAACGAATATTGATGAATGCGGCGTATGTAAGGTAATAAATAAACACACATGGTAGTTTAACCTTAACACCATCAAGTCCAGGTGAAAGATAACGTTTTAAGCCAGATAGTTTACATGTACTTCTAACGCCAAGTTCGAGGTCCCACAGGGATACAATATCTGCAACACAGTAGTTAGTTTGGTCAGCCATCAACGTTAGCATCACCAAACTGTACAAGCCCTGAGTCAGGAATGTTTCGGAATGCGTAAATCATGAATACACACAACTGTATGTGTATAATTTGTACAGACACCTACCCCTGACTAACCACACAGGTCACATGATAGTTACATGGCCAGGTTTCAGGAATACGGTGTTTATAATGTGTTGTCGTGTCTCGTTTTGTAATGTGAACGTTAAAATTAACAACTGAAGGTCAAAATATTAATCTTAATATAAATCTTTATTGATTTTTTTTCAAGGTGTAACAGCCATGTATATATTTATCGCCCATAGTACGAGTGATACGAGTAGACCATGTTTCTGGCTGCCCCGCACAGCCTGCATGACGCTCTACAGTTCTGGTGCATGTAGGGGCGGTTACGGGAACACTCGCCAATCCTGGCCCAGTAGGAGCAGCTGCCGTTGGTGTCCCTGCACGTCACGTTGCTTGACGTCCTTGACGATGACGTCGCCGTGTTGGCTGAAACGTTCACAGTGCTATGCTTATCATATGAAATACAGAACATTATTCCAGAATTGGCACCACTTGAATCTGTCAGAATTCAGCACTTTAGGGTGTATTGTTCAAGTTTCTTGACGACCACTTAGATGAGACAGAATGCTGTTTTTACGTGAAAGTACAGAGAACATTTGGAGGTTACGATACACATGCAGTTCATTTGATATTTTGCAAACATACATCCAGACACTGTAACTAACTCGATTTCAGGCTGTCCTTTGACTGTCACTATGTTACTCTCAGTTCCGTGTGAAGCTTAATCCTGAATTTGATTAAACAACACCGACGGATAGGGCCATGGCTCCTACAGATGTAGACAAAGCGCACAGTGCACGCTGGAAGTTTTAGTGGTCAACGGAAAACAACTGCAAATTGTTTCTTTTACACATGTAACAACAAAACATATTTTGTTTTGTGTTAGAACATTACATTCTGTATTTCGAGAAATATATGTTCCAGTTATTTAAAGGCCACGTATCGCAAAAAGGGACAATACACATAGGACATCCTGTACCTGTAGAATGCATCAGTTCCTATTGCAGAAGCACCACGGGGTATTACTGACCACAAGTCTTTGTGAACGGTTACACGTAGAACTATAGTGTATGATGTAATACCACTATAATATTGACTGATGTAATGTGTAAACCTACTTCTAGATGAGCACAAGTTGCAGGACGCCCTGCAGTTGGTGGCCATGTAGGTGCGGTAGCTGTAGCTGTTGCAGTGGCCGATTCTTGACCAGTAGTTGCAGTACCGGCTCAGGTCGCGACATGACGTGGGTCCTAAACAGTCAATGTGCATCTATTTGAGAATCAGTCGTACAGGAGAAACATTTCAATGTTGAAATATCAAGTCTTCAGTTAAAAAGTTATGGTTGGAAAAAGTGGATAAACACATAATCATCGCTAACTATGTCTTGCAATACAAATGCAGCTGACATCTGCTTTCCACGTAACGATTTAAGCCGCCTGTAAATCAACACCTGTCCTCGGCAGACAGACAGTCAAGCGCACACGCACACACACGCGCGCGTACACACACACAGACGCACACACATCCTAGTATCGATATGTAGGCAGGCATACATAGTGATTCCTATTGTAAACCCACACTTACCTCCACCACCACGGCCGCAGCGGTTGCAGGATCGCTTGCAGTAGACCAGCATGTAGGCGGGGTTGTTTCGGCACTCCCCCAAGGCGGGCCCACCCCGCACACTGGTTGTTTCTGTCTCGACAAGATCCTGAAACCAAGCAGAATCCATCTCAGTACGTCTGCAAACATCCCTTTGTTGGAATGTTCAAAATGCAAACTTGGGGACTTGAAAGCATGTCATCTGCTATCGCTTAAGCTGACGACAGTCCGCCCGAAGAACATGTATCTCCGTGGCAAGTATATTAAGATGCCACTTCCCCTTGCCGCCGGGAATGATGCACTACACCGACAATTCCCCCCATAATGTCAATATACCTGATTCGATGTCACTATAATGTACATACACCTGAGTGAATGTCACGATAATGTCAATATGCCATTCCTGTTAGCACCTGTACTTGATGCAATAAACCGTCAGTGTCACGATAATATTTGGACGATAACATCAATGCACACGAGTCAATGTTACTATAATGCCAGCAGACCCGAGTCAATACCACCTCTACCATGGAAATCCCACACCCCGATAGCAATAAATCGTAGGTTCCTAAACATATCATTACTACTAAATCTTCAAATCTAGTTCACTTGATATGACACTTTGAATCGTCAGTATAACTAAGAAGCGATATGTACCTCTAGTTCCAGTTCCTGTGCCTGTTCCAGTACCGGTTCCAGTTCCTGTGCCAGTACCGGTTCCAGTTCCTGTACCCGTACCAGTACCAGTACCAGTTCCGGTTCCGGTTCCCGTACCAGTTCCGGTTCCAGTCCCCGTGCCAGTTCCGGTTCCAGTCCCTGTGCCAGTTCCGGTTCCAGTACCTCTCCACTACATACCCTATAGGGAGATCCGGGACACCAGCACTGGCAATCCTTACCTACGAATCCACTCCCAGGACACTCGCTGTCTCGCTTGTTACATTGACCTGTTAACATACGAACACAACTACATACACTGTAGACAGATTGAAGAGATGTACTGATACCCAAGGGAACGGGTTCCATAGATTGCTGTGGCTGGAACCCCGAATGGGAGACACAACAAAGGTGGTGTGCAGAGGTGTTCCGAAAGTGTAAAGTGTCTCACCTCCACAGCTGTACATCTTATTCGCCAGCTTGATGTCATTAAAGCTGAGGCCTTGTTGTCTGCCGATGACATTCTGATATTTGCTCTGCTTCGTGATGATAGTGTATCCACCATTCCTCGAAAAAAGCCTGCAAAACACACAAACAAAACCGGATGCTGTATCCCAACTGTTACGTCAGCTTCTAGTTTAGAAAGTTAAATCAATATTTTGTTAGATGACGTTTCTCGAGTGCGTTTTTATGCGCTTTGAATTGAATCCTGATGACATCAGGAAATGACATCAGGAAAGAAAGGAACATTAGTGGATGACCTGGGATTTTTCTCGACAAAAAGAAATGTTGCCCTAAAATACTCGAAAAACAAAGTATGCTTCATACTCTTTCACAAAGATTATGACCGCCTCCGTGGTGTAGTGGTTAGAGCGTCCGCCCGGCGAGCGGAAGGTCGCGGGTTCGATCCCCGACCGAGTCATACCAAAAGACGTTAAAATATGGTACTTGTTGGTCCCTGCCTGGGGCTCGGCATTAATGGGTACAACAAGGACTGGTCGGCTCGGAGTCATTATGATGTGTCTGTGTGGGGTATTCATGCTTCACTGCGGCATGGTATCTCAGTATATGAGCGAAATATTCTCCAGTACGACGTTAAACCCAATTTCACCTCACCTCACAAAGATTATTTAATTTTGATTGTTTTTATTTAAGCTCATACATTGTATATTAAACCATTTGGTTTTGCAGCTGTACCTATGTAATGTACCTACTCTCCATGTACAATCCCAGGCCCTGACTAAACCAATAACCAAGCCGTTACATAACCGCTCGGCATCTGGAACCAGACATGTTACATAACACTTCCCAGCTGAGTCTAATGTAATGTGGATGGAACAGTATTACCTACATCAATGTCAGCACAGCATGCGACATGTTGCTGGAGTATATCCTAACACTGGAATCGGCATGCTCGACAGGGACGTGTTGTTCAAAATGCTGACAAATTGACACATTGTAGAAAAACTCAAACGTGTTTTATACCGTAGTCTAAACTAGTGCATTGTTTTCAAATTAGTCAAGATTTACTCTGGCCCTTCCTCATAATTAGGAGTGGACGTGTCTGGAGGCGTCCTTTGGAAGGCCACACCGCATAATGAGGGGTTTCACCATGACTACCAGGACGCCACTACATATTGTCCATGAATGCGTCCTTAGTTCTTTGTTCACAACATCAGTCGCGGTACTGTCTGGCACATGCTGGAATGTTGCTGGTCGTCAAATAATAATCAAACAAACATAGCAATGCAAATGTAAAACAACAACCACGCAAAAACATCAATACATCTAAGGTGGTCCACGCACAGAGATGTCCAAAAGTTTTCCAACCCCCTTTTTAAAATGGTTATGTTGATGGGGGTATTTGTTTCTGCGGTACAAGAGAATGTCCCAAGTGTCTGTCCTGCAAGATAATGTCCCAAGTGTCTCGTACAAGAGAATGTGGCAAGTGCCTGTCGTACAAGACAATGTCCCAAGTGTCTGACCTACAAGACAATGTCCCAAGTATCTGTCGTACAAGAGAATGTGACAAGTGCCTGTCGTACAAGACAATGTCCCAAGTGTCTGACCTACAAGACAATGTCCCAAGTATCTGTCGTACAAGAGAATGTGGCAAGTGCCTGTCGTACAAAACAATATCTCAAGTGTCTGTCCTACAAGACAATGTCCCAAGTGTCTGTCGTACAAGAGAATGTGGCAAGTGCCTGTCGTACAAGACAATGTCCCAAGTGTCTGTCCTACAAGAAAATGCCTGAAGTGTCTCAACGTATATGCTCTTATCCAGGTCAGGGTCGACGTACCTTGCCACCGTAGTGCATGATGCTGTAGTAGTCATACGGCACCCCGCGGTCGTTGATGACGTTGGTTGTGTAACGCTGGAAATTGTATTTGACCCCACTGGGGATGTTGGCGTAGTTGATGGTCACGTACTGGTCACGGTCGGGGCGGGTCTGCTCATGGTGGAACCCAACCGCATGACCCACTTCATGGATGATAATACTTTTCTGGAATGAAGACATCAATGGCATGGTGACCACTCTTGGTAACCCTACACATGACCATGACAAATATATCCTACATACGATCGTGACAAAGACCACCTACATACGATCGTGACAAATACTCCCTACAAACGATGGTGACAAATACCCCCTACATGCGATGGTGACAAATACCCCCTACATACGATGATGACAAATACCCCCTACATACGATGGTGACAAATACCCCTACATATGATCGTGACAAATACCCCCTATATACGATCGTGACAAATAAAAACTACATACGATCGTGACAAACAAACACTACATATGATTGTGACAGACACACTCCACATAAGCACGTGCCCACTTGGCTTCGAACCAAGATCAGCGGATCCTGGAACGTCTGGTCATTAGTAACCATGGCTACTCAGCGTGTGTATGTTAATGTTAAGGTCGTACATACATAACTGTCCCGTTTGTACCCTCATCTTCCTGTGTACCTCGACTGGGGGTAACAAGACTAATATCAGCCATGTTCTTGGACTTGGCAACTAGCCCCAGACTGAGAGAAGACTAAAAGGTGTGAGCAGTGTGGGCAGCTGCATCATGTGATCCCCTACACCAACCTACCACTCTGCAGCTCCAAGCGAGGCCCACTGTCTGAGTTCCACCGACCATGCCCACGTTGGAAAAACAACTGCAACCAAAATTTTGCATACGTCCGTATCTTGCTTGCAAGCAGGGAAGAAAACATTTTAATATACTTGAAAAAACTTCCATTTTAATGAACAGATAGCAATCGTAAGTAAGTATAATACAAAATAGTTATCTAAGTTTACATGCATTGCCACATGAAACTACTATGCATTAAAAATCCCTTGGGTTTCTAAGGACGGGTCATTTCTGTTGCTTGTCACTTCATTTGGTGAAAGTTTTCCAAGAAAGAGTAATGATAAGCTAGCATGGTTGTTTACGCCAAATGATGACCCTATGAACTGAACGTCTCTTTAATAACAAACGAAATAAGGGATTGCATTAGTAATAGATCAGTTTTTCACAATCACATCTGTGTAAAATTCTATCTACCCGCCACCGTTCTGGAAGCGGATCCTGTTGTTGTCCCTGATGGTGGCCGGTCGGAAGGTGAGGCAGGTGTATCTCATCCAGTCCTGGAGGGCCGCCATGATCTCCCCTCGCTGTCCACTGTCTGCAAGAGAGATCAGTCTCATACACAACCAGACAGACATGTGGGTTGTCTCACATATACCACCAGACACGTGGGTTGTCTCACACACCACCAGACACGTACGTTGTCTCACACACCACCAAATACGTGGGTTGTCTCACACACTACCAGACAAGTACGTTGTCTCACACACCACCAGACACGTAGGTTGCCTCACATACCACCAGACATGTGGGTTGTCTCACACACCACCAGACACGTACGTTGTCTCACACACCACCAGACACGTAGGTTGCCTCACACACCACCAAATACGTAGGTTGCCTCACACACCACCAGACACGTAGGTTGCCTCACATACCACCAGACATGTGGGTTGTCTCACACACCACCAGACACGTACGTTGTCTCACACACCACCAGACACGTAGGATGTCTCACATACCACCAGACACGTGGGTTGTCTCACATACCACCAGACACGTGGGTTGTCTCACACACCACCAGACACGTGGATTGTCTCACACACCACCAGACACGTGGGTTGTCTCACACACTACCAGACACGTGGGTTGTCTCACACACCACCAGACACGTGGGTTCTCTAACACACTACCAGACACATGGGTTGTCTCACATACAACCAGAAACGTGAGTTGTCTCACACACCACCAGACACGTGGGTTCTCTAACACACTACCAGACACATGGGTTGTCTCAAACACAACCAGATACGTGGGTTGTCTCACACACTACCAGACACGTGGGTCGTCTACCACACTACCAGACACGTGGATTGTCTCACACTACCAGGCACGTGGGTTGTCTCACATACCACCAGACACGTGGGTAGTCTCACACTTTCTCGCGACAAGCACTTGTTTCAATGGGAGCTGTGTCCCGGGTACTCACTGAATGTGCCTGATGCGATCTCATAAGGGACTGTGTAACGGGTACTCACTGAAAGTGCCTGATGCGATCTCATAAGGGACTGTGTCCCGGGTACTCACTGAATGTACCTGATGCGATCTCATAAGGGACTGTGTCCCGGGTACTCACTGAAAGTGCCTGATGCGATCTCATAAGGGACTGTGTCCCGGGTACTCACTGAATGTGCCTGATGCGATCTCATAAGGGACTGTGTCCCAGGTACTCACTGAAAGTGCCTGATGCGATCTCATAAGGGACTGTGTTACGGGTACTCACTGATGCGATCTCATAAGGGACTGTGTCCCAGGTACTCACTGAAAGTGCCTGATGCGATCTCATAAGGGACTGTGTTAAGGGACCTGATGCGATGGGACTGTGTTACGGGTACTCACTGAATGTGCCTGATGCGATCTCATAAGGGACTGTGTTACTGTGGTACTCACTGAATGGCCTGACTCTCACTGAACTCACTGCCTGATGCGATCTCATAAGGGACTGTGTCCCGGGTACTCACTGAATGTGCCTGATGCGATCTCATAAGGGACTGTGTTACGGGTACTCACTGAATGTGCCTGATGCGATCTCATAAGGGACTGTGTTACGGGTACTCACTGAAAGTGCCTGATGCGATCTCATAAGGGACTGTGTTACGGGTACTCACTGAATGTGCCTGATGCGATCTCATAAGGGACTGTGTTACGGGTACTCACTGAATGTGCCTGATGCGATCTCATAAGGGACTGTGTTACGGGTACTCACTGAATGTGCCTGATGCGATCTCATAAGGGACTGTGTTACGGGTACTCACTGAATGTGCCTGATGCGATCTCATAAGGGACTGTGTTACGGGTCCACTTGTTCCCACCACGGCCAAACCGGATGCCCTTTCTCTTGTGCCTGGTACCAGGTCCAGACGTAGAGGAGTTTCTGGAGCAGGCAGAGGGAGGATGATGTAAGTATACTTAACTACTCACACCTCGGTGCTCATACTTCCATCTACACACACAATACTGTACAGTCTTCAGTAATTCTTTTAATGTATCTGCATGATAAATGTACGTGTATAAGCCACTACCACGTTGTCTCTGTGGGAGGTACACATCTTCATTAACACCTACCTATATGCATGGCTTGGTATAACACTCTACATACTTTAACATGAGAGTACAAAGATTCAACACTGATGGTGTGGACGGGGCACTGACAGTACTGTCCAGTATAGTTTTCGAATCGATTGATAGTTGAGACGACGGAATATACACAGCTGTACTATCCAACAGGGTATTGTCAGGACTTGTCTATACTCACAGCTGTACTATCCAACAGGGTATTGTCAGGACTTGTCTATACTCACAGCTGCACTATCCAACAGGGTATTGTCAGGACTTGTCTATACTCACAGCTGCACTATCCAACAGGGTATTGTCAGGACTTGTCTATACTCACAGCTGCACTATCCAACAGGGTATTGTCAGGACTTGTCTATACTCACAGCTGTACTATCCAACAGGGTATTGTCAGGACTTGTCTATACTCACAGCTGTACTATCCAACAGGGTATTGTCAGGACTTGTCTATACTCACAGCTGCACTATCCAACAGGGTATTGTCAGGACTTGTCTATACTCACAGCTGTACTATCCAACAGGGTATTGTCAGGACTTGTCTATACTCACAGCTGTACTATCCAACAGGGTATTGTCAGGACTTGTCTATACTCACAGCTGCACTATCCAACAGGGTATTGTCAGGACTTGTCTATACTCACAGCTGCACTATCCAACAGGGTATTGTCAGGACTTGTCTATACTCACAGCTGCACTATCCAACAGGGTATTGTCAGGACTTGTCTATACTCACAGCTGTACTATCCAACAGGGTATTGTCAGGACTTGTCTATACTCACAGCTGTACTATCCAACAGGGTATTGTCAGGACTTGTCTATACTCACAGCTGTACTATCCAACAGGGTATTGTCAGGACTTGTCTATACTCACAGCTGTACTATCCAACAGGGTATTGTCAGGACTTGTCTATACTCACAGCTGTACTATCCAACAGGGTATTGTCAGGACTTGTCTATACTCACAGCTGTACTATCCAACAGGGTATTGTCAGGACTTGTCTATACTCACAGCTGCACTATCCAACAGGGTATTGTCAGGACTTGTCTATACTCACAGCTGCACTATCCAACAGGGTATTGTCAGGACTTGTCTATACTCACAGCTGTACTATCCAACAGGGTATTGTCAGGACTTGTCTATACTCACAGCTGCACTATCCAACAGGGTATTGTCAGGACTTGTCTATACTCACAGCTGCACTATCTCCGCCCACTGCCTTAGGGGGAACACCATGTCAAGCTCCATGGTGATGGTTGTACTGTTCTCGTGCAGCATAAAGTCAAACTGGTGACCTGTTGACAAACACCAGACATGTGGTAAAGTACAAGATATATTCTTTTACGTGTTTACTATAAAATATGAGAGTGAGTGAGTATGGTTTTACGCCGCTTTTAGCAATATTCCAGCAATATCACGGCGGGGTACACCAGAAACAGGCTTCACACATTGTATAAAATATGAGAGATAAATGTGTTTATTCTAAATTTCAAAGTATGGATACTAGATCTGGTCATGTCTGGCGACAGACAGATGGGGACGAGACACAGTGTGGTGCAGAGTTTGCCCGGAGGATAAACAATTGCAATCAGCAGGACTGGTATGATATGCATTTAGGAGGGAAAGTAATGTATGAATAATAATAATCGCTGTTAACAGTAGAGAATCATTCAGCAACACTTACATGTCGAGAATAGAGATTATATATATATTGTGGATCAAGAGAAGGAGAATTGCCTGGTAAACGAAAGCAGACTATATAGTGAGTGAGTGAGTGAGTTTAGTTTTACGCCGCTTTAGACTATATAGTATTGGGAAAGCTGACTGGCATGTAAGTTGCATTTTGCAGAAGGGGAATAGCCCTTTTTGGTATTGTGTTATTGCTTCAGCGTACTGAGACAACTATTCATACCGCAACATTATGTGAAACATCCAGCTGTTCCGACATACAACGTATGATACCAGGGTTAAGGGTAAGATATTTAAGATGAGTATACTATACTTACCTTGCAGCATGTGTTAGAAGTAATGGAAACTACTCCTATATGTTTGATTGTTCTAATGGTCTAAAACAAGGCTGTATTATGAGTCCCATTATGTTCTTGTTATATACTAATCAACTAGCAGAAAATACTGAAACATCAGATTGCTTCGGTATTCAGATGTTCCCCGATATCATAAATCTTTATCTACTACTTCTTGCTGATGATATTGTCCTTATCTCTGATATATTAAAGGCCTACAAAACAATTAAACCTTCTGTCAAAATTCTCATTAGAATATGGGCTAACGGTTAATATGGATAAATATAAGATTATGGTTTTTAGGAAAGGGGGCCGATTGCTAAAAAGGAGAAATGGTTTTATAACGGAAAAGAACTGGAGATAGTGCCGAAATATAAATATCTTGGAGTTATGTTTACCCCTCAGTGACCATGGAGAACAAGAAGAAATCAAAGGGCATTATATGCAAAGAAGACGTTAGGTAGTGTAGTTAAATCTTTTATATCCATAAAAAGTAATATCAATATTGATTATAAGGTGGTTTTTTTTAAAATGTTCGATACAGAAGTGTTACCAATTCTATGTTATGGTTGTGAAACTTGGGGTCACAGAAAATATGAGAATACTGAAAGAATACATATTCAAGCATGTAAGAGATTTATGCAGGTTCCTGATAAAACGCCAAATTATGCAGTATTAGGGGAGTGCGGGCAATACCCCGTAGTATTATACATCTAAAGAAAGTAAAAAATTGGTTAAAAGTTTTGAGAATGCCTAAGTACAGATATGTTAAAAATGATATAATATGCTGAGGGTTTACGACAACTCTGGTAAGGTAAATTGGGTATCTGCAGTAAGAATTCTTTTGTGTTGTAACGGCTTTGTGGTTGTATGGTTGAATGGAGGAGTTGAGAACAGAGAATGTTTCTTGTTTGTATTTGTACAAAGGATGAGAGATGTTTTTATTACAGAATGGCATGTCGGTGTAGAAACTTCGTCAAAATTATGTACATTTAGGCGTTTTAAGACAATATTTGAACCAGAACGATATCTAAATGTTGTAAAGATACAGAAGTATAGAAGATTATTAGCAAGTTTAAGGTGTGGAGTTTTACAATTAGAAATAGAAACCGGGAGGGCTAAAGGGTATTACCAGGGAGGAAAGATATCGTCAGCTTTGTAAATACGGTAAAATAGAAGATGAAATGCACTTTATGTTAGAATGTAAATCTGTTAATATTAGGCAGAAATACATACCAGAAACATTTCTTAAACTACCAGTAAGACATAATTGTATATCACTAATGACCTCTAATAACGATGAAATAATTAAGAATGTAGCCTATTATATATATATGTTACAGTCAGATTGTGAAATCAGTCATTTTCGTGAAATGACTAAAAATTTCAGTCATTTCCTGAAATGACCAAGAGGATCAGCCATTTCGCTATTGGCTATAAATAGGTTTGGACATTTCCATCAAATTTGAAGTAAATGTGCTTGATAAGGATTGCCAGTGTTCGTAGTGCACGAAACAAATCGCCAAAACGCATTTTGTGGCCCCGACTCTCAGAAACACGAAACACATGTCTTCGTCGGATACATGGGAAAGATCGTGCGAAAAATCAGTATAAATGGCCTGTCCAACACTGCAATATCACCGCACATAAAGTCACACAGAGAGAATGCCAAGGTTAACCCAGGAAGAAATTTAGAGAACGAGCAGTAGGGATAGTTGAATGGCTGACCCTCTTAGATATTTCACGAAATGACGGATTTCACAATCTGACTGTAACATATATACTGAACATCATTGAAAACGCACCACCTGTAAATTTGAAATATGGAAATAGGATTGTTTTGAGAGTGAAAATGAACGTTGGAAATGTTGTTAATAACACAAAAGACAATAAATAATGCTGTACTGTAAAGAACGGATTGCCCAAACACATCATGGAATACATCACATGACAACAACAAAATCCATGCACAACACACACGAAAAGCACAAATTGCATGCGTAAAACATGCTGATTAGGGGTATAAATGATCGTCGACAAAAAACCGTTCTCATTTTAGCTGTACCTCCGCAAGTAAGTTTATTTTGCAATGCCAACATTGTCACCAGAGGAACGAGAACGGGCGTTGGGCATGTTGCAGGTTGGCACATCAAGCAGGATTATTGCCAGACGATTTGGTTGCCATCATTCCACCATCATAAGACTTGCCAACAGGTACCAACAAACAGGAGCCATCAGGAACCGCCAACGTCCTGGCCAGGCACGTGTTACCACCCCTCGCCAAGATCGAGACATTGTTCGGCGGCATATTCGGGATCGTACGTTGCCAGCTGTCCAAGGCCGACGTGGTTTGATCAGTGCTTCCACCGTCCGACGCCGTCTCCGTGCGGCAGGATTACGGTGACGACGCCCTTATGTTGGACCCATCCTGACTGATAGACATCGCCGTGAACGCCGACGAGGGGCTGAACAGCATCGTTTGTGGTTGTTACGACGTTGGCATGGTGTTGTGTTCTCCGACAAGTCACGTTTTCACTTGCGAAATGCTGACGGGCGTCTCCGGGTATGGCGTCGACGGGGAGAACGTTACCATCAGGACTGTGTTGTGCAAACAGATCGGTGGGGTGGACGCAGCATTATGGTGTGTGTGTGTGTGTGGGATCAGTTATCATCACAAAACCGCTCTGGTAGTTTGTCGTGGCAGAGTGAATGCCCTTTACTACCGTTACACCATTCTTCAGAACAACGTCGTTCCCTTCTTTAACCAACATCAAGAACTGCACACATTCCAGCAGGACAATGCTCGAGCGCACACTGCACGTGTTGCAGCACAGTTTCTGGCAAACAACAACATTCCTCTACTTCCATGGCCTGCATTGTCACCAGATTTGTCTTCCTTTGAACCCTTGTGGGATTACATCGGCCAACGCCTCTCACGTCGCCCACAGATCAACAACCTTGGGGAACTTGAGAATGCCTTGCAACAAGAGTGGAATGCATTGCCTCAAAACATTATTCAGAGACTTATCAGTTCAATGAGGAGACGTTGCACAGCTTGTGTTGCTGCTAACGGTGGTCATACACGTTACTGACGTTCCAATTTGACTCCATCTTTCTTTCATGGTCAGCTGAATTAAAACTTCACTGTTTTGCTGGATTGGTTTTTGTTTCTTTTCTTTACCAATCATTGGACTACAGAAGTATGTAAAATTTACACCGATTGCTCATTTATGCTCTTGGAAATCCAAACTAATACAGGTGGTGCGTTTTCAATGATTTTCAGTATATATGATGCAACTGTATTAAGGAAATCTGTATTATGTTAACGCTTATGCGCATCATGTGATTTATTATCTATGTAAATATTACTGAACAACTTTTGTTATAGGCCGGTGGCCTTAAAACAAATAAACTATTGATTGACTGACTGTATCATACCAACAACACAATGTCCACACTAACTCTTGTAAATACATTTATGGTGACAATATCTTGAAAATATTACACCCTCTTGTAGAAGGCATCAGTCAGATTCCGTCACGTTCATATAATTATTAAATGACATTTGTTTTAAGTGGGCCAATGCATTTCTACTGATATAGAAATTGGTCTGGTATTTGTTGTTAACCTGGCACAGGCTGTGATCGGTCAACTCAAGGTCAGTATAGTGTGTTAGAGGAGTATCCATGTTACACCGCTCAACTCAAGGTCAGTATAGTGTGTCAGATTCCTTATTTGGCCTCAATTCCTTTTTTGACATGTCAAGTCATCGTTGCAAATGCCAAAATGTCGCCAAAAGGCATACAATTCAACAATTCAAAACCATTTTCAAGACCTAAGGGCATAAATGTAAATAATGTAACTATTTCATTTAGGATGTACAATACCTTGAAGTGGACACGGTGCGATGTAAATATCTCCTATGTTTAACATAGCTTCACAATAGTCTTACTGTTAGTACCGCTGTAGGAAGGTGAGTTCGAGTGGCTTTACGTCCATATACCATCATTGTGACTGATATAAATAACGCCCTTACTTGAGTTGGCAGATTCGGCGATGATCTCGTCAATAGATCTTGTGTCCGTCTGTGCCTGACTGTTGGTGCCGCAGACAAACTGAATGCAATGGAGAACAAATGACTGTCAAAGCATGACCAAGAAAGTTAAGTACTTCGTATCCCTTTACAAGCTTTAGAGTTAGAGTTCTTGTCACTAATATGACCTGTAAAAATCCACATACACTATGTTCTTACATTCGTAACAGCCGTGAAATAAAAAATATCAGTTTGTTTAGGCGGAAAAGAACATCGTTTTAAGCATATTCTTGTCTTTTCTAGTCTTAGGCGATTAATCATAAAGACATTTGCAATCTTGGGGTCATAGCTACTGTAGATGCTGAGGTCATCCACAATATACAGTTTAATACAATACCCCACCTACACTCTGTACCTACCACCCGACAGATAATACCCTACAATAGGTCAATACCCCACAAATCCTGCACTACCTGCACAATCTACAGGACACCCCACACATCCTTCACAATACCCTACATCTAATAGGACAATACCAACCATCTTGATTATACACTACAAATACTAGGACAATAACAACCGATAATACCCGACAAATATCCTACATCTAATAGGAATACAATACCCCACCCAATAACTATATCTATAGGACAATACCCACACATCCTGACAATACCCTACATCTAATAGGACAATACCCACCAGATAATACCCTATATCTAATAGGACAATACCCCACACATCCTGCACCCCACCCAGACAATACCCTATATCTAATAGGACAATACCCCACACATCCTGCACCCCACCCAACAATATCCTACATCTAATAGGTCAATACCCCACACATCCTGCACCCCACCCGACAATACCCTACATCTAATAGGACAATACCCCACACATCCTGCACCCCACCCGACAGTACCCTATATCTAATAGGACAATACCCCACACATCCTGCACCCCACCCGACAATACCCTACATCTAATAGGACAATACCCACCTATATCTATTAGGACAATACCCCACACATCCTGCACACCTACTCTATCTAATAGGACAATCACTGCAACCCACCCTATATCAATAGGACAATACCCCACACATCTACCCCACCCGGACAATCTAACAATACCCCACATCCTGCACCCCACACATCCTAATACCCTATATCTAATAGGACAATACCCCCACACATCCTGCACTCCCCCACCCGACAATACCCTACATCTAATAGGACAATACCCACACATCCTGCACCCCACCCAACAATACCCTATATCTAATAGGACAATACCCCACACACATCCTGCACCCCACCCGACATACCCCCACATCCTGCACCCTACCCAACATATATCTAATCTAATAGGACAATAACATCCTGCACCCCACCCGACAATACCCTACATCTAATGATGCACTATCCCATACGTCTTACACCCCAGCAGATAATACCCTACAGCTTATAGGACTCTACACCACACACCCTGAACCCCACCATATTTAGAGAACAAACTACTTTGGGAAGGCCATACTGAACAGCTGATGAAAGCTAATCATTGGCTAACCAAAGAAGATTCGACTTGAACATACTCGTGTGTAAACAATACTTCGGTGAACATTTGTTAAACCGTGAAAGAACCCACAAATATCATGAATAAATAACACAATGCAACACATTTAAGTTATAAAATTATATATTAATATAGAAGTAAATATTTGATGTGGGGTAATGTCCATGAGGGATATTGACAGTGTGGAAACTGACCTTGCTGGGTACAGTTCTACATCCATAAAAATACATTACAGACAGTACCCCATCATGCGTCCTTTGACAAAAGCCCCAGTATAAACAGGAAGCATGTTGAGCACAACATAGGGTGTATTTCCCAATTATTGCATTGCAAGTTTCCGAACAGGGAGACGATGGAATACAGTTATGCATGAACTAAATGTATAAGAAACCAATGCATTTAGTTGAAGTACTTACCAGCACTAGAACAAGCCATACGAGCCCTATCTTCGTGAAAGCCATAGTCAAACTGTACATTCGGCCACAGTGTTTCCACGCTTTGTGTGCTGTTATTTATTTATGAATCGTAATGATACTTAATAGATAATTAGAATATTGTGGGAATATGTGCCCACTTCCGGAGAAAAATGACCTGAGGCCAACAAGTAATTAAGTGGCATCACTGTAACAGCCTTTGTGCACTAAAAGCCTTGCCAGATGTGCCGTGATTACAGTTCTTGCTTAACATACATGTGGGTTTCGTCCGACACCCCACCTCCCACTACCGTTCAACGCGTCGTTAAACCCAACTCACTGTCTGTCTATCTGTCTCCCTTCCCTACGGATTGCTTCTGATTACCACTGGAGATATATGATAATCATCTATGTGATAGGGCATATGGTATAATCCAAATGATATGTTGTGTAGTAAATACGGGGGTTACAATTATGTCTTAGTCACACCTCAATTTTGAATATCGTTAAATAATTGCTATTGATCCTATGTTGACCAGTGAACATCCATGATCTCTGAACCGACCGGTGGAGTTTGTGATGGCCGTAGTGGTACTTGTTTCAATGGTACTTTGATCGACTTAATGTCCCATGACTATATCTATTGTCATGAGCGTGTAATTGACAGGCCAACCTTCACAACTTCCATACTTTATCACGCGGTTGGTGACAAAGTAGGCGGGATTACAATGTGCAATTACAAGTTTAGGTAATTGCTACGTTTACTTTATAATGAAAGCTATAAACACATACCTGAGACATCTGATGAGATAAATGCAGGTTGACGTCATGCCTTGTAACAGCAAGGGTGGCTAAGCCATCTGACACTCGTTTATCATACACCATCTACTGGCATTACTCCGTGCTTGACATTCATCATAAACCAAATACTGGCATTACTCCGTACTGGACGTTCATCATACACCATCTACTGACATTACTCTGTACTGGACATTCATCATACACCATCTACTGGCATTTCTCTGTACTGGACGTTCATCATACACTATCTACTGGCATTTCTCCGTGCTTGACATTATCATAAACCAAATACTGGCATTACTCTGTACTGGACATTCATCATACACCATCTACTGGCATTACTCTGTACTGGACATTCATCATACACTATCTACTGGCATTTCTTCGTGCTTTACATTCATCATAAGCCAAATACTGGCATTACTCTGAACTGGACATTCATCATACACCATCTACTGGCATTACTCTGTACTGGACATTCATCATACACTATCTACTGGCATTTCTTCGTGCTTTACATTCATCATAAGCCAAATACTGGCATTACTCTGAACTGGACATTCATCATACACCATCTACTGGCATTACTCTGTACTGGACATCCATCATACACCATCTACTGACAATACTCTGTACTGAACATCCATCACACACCATCTACTGGTTTTGCTCTGTACTGTACATTCATCATAGAAAATCAACTGATATTACTCTGTACTGGACTTTCATCATACACCGTCTACTGACATTACGCTGTACTGGACGTTCATCATACACCGTCTACTGACATTACTCTGTACTGGACATCCATCATACACCATCTACTGACATTACTCTGTACTGGACTTTCATCATACACCGTCTACTGACATTACGCTGTACTGGACGTTCATCATACACAATCTACTGACACTACTTTCTACTGGACATTCATCATACACCATCTACTGATATTACTCTGTAATGGACATTCATCATACACCATCTACTGACATTACTCTGTATTGGACATTCATCATACACCATCTACTGACATTACTCTGTACTGGACGTTCATCATACAGCAATTACTGACATTACTCTCTTCTGGACGTTCATCATAAACCATCTACTGATATTACTCTGTACCGGACATCCATCATACACCATCTACTGACAATACTCTGTACTGGACCTTCATCATACACCATCTACTGACATTACTCTGTACTGGACATCCATCATACACCATCTACTGACAATACTCTGTACTGGACCTTCATCATACACCATCTACTGACATTACTCTGTACTGGACATCCATCATACACCATCTACTGGTATTGCTCTGTACTGAACATTCATCATAGAAAATCAACTGATATTACTCTGTACTGGACTTTCATCATACGCAATCTACTGACATTACTCTGTACTGGACGTTCATCATACGCAATCTACGGACATTACTCTGTACTGGACGTTCATCATACGCAATCTACTTACATTACTCTCTACTGGACGTTCATCATACACAATCTACTGACATTACTTCAAACTGGACATTCATCATACACCATCTACTGACATTACTCTGTACTGGACATCCATCATACACCATCTACTGACATTACTCTGTACTGGACGTTCATCATACGCAATCTACTTACATTACTCTCTACTGGACATTCATCATACACAATCTACTGACATTACTTCAAACTGGACATTCATCATACACCATCTACTGACATTACTCTGTACTGAACATCCATCACACACCATCTACTGGTATTGCTCTGTACTGAACATTCATCATAGAAAATCAACTGATATTATTCTGTACTGGACTTTCATCATACACCGTCTACTAACATTACACTGTACTGGACGTTCATCATACACCGTTTACTGACATTACTCTGTACTGGAAATCCATCATACACCATCTACTGACATTACTCTGTACTGGACTTTCATCATACACCTTCTACTGACATTACGCTGTACTGGACGTTCATCATGCACCGTCTACTGACATGTCGCTGTACTGGACATCCAACATACACAATCTACTGACACTACTTTCTACTGGACATTCATCATACACCATCTACTTATATTACTCTGTAATGGACATTCATCATACACCATCTACTGACATTATTCTGTATTGGACATTCATCTTACACCATCTACTGACATTACTCTGTACTGGACGTTCATCATACAGCAATTACTGACATTACTCTCTACTGGACATCCATCATACACCATCTACTGACAATACTCTGTACTGGACCTTCATCATACACCATTTACTGACATTAATCTGTACTGGACATCCATCATACACCATCTACTGACAATACTCTGTACTGGAACTTCATCATAAACCATCTACTGACATTACTCTGTACTGGACATCCATCATACACCATCTACTGACATTACTCTGTACTGGACGTTCATCATACGCAATCTACTTACATTACTCTCTACTGGACGTTCATCATACACAATCTACTGACATTACTTCAAACTGGACATTCATCATACACCATCTACTGGCACTACTCTGTAATGGACATTTATTATACACAATCTACTGGCATTACCCTGTGCAGGACGTTCATCATACACAATCTACTTACATTACTCTCTACTGGGCGTTCATCATACACAATCTACTGACATTACTTCAAACTGGACATTCATCATACACCATCTACTGGCACTACTCTGTAATGGACATTCATCATACACAATCTACTGGCATTACCCTGCGAAGGACGTTCATCATACACCATCTACATACATTACTCTCTACTGGACGTTCATTATACACAATCTACTTACATTATTCTGTACTGGACATCCATCATACACCAACTACTTACATTACTCTGTACTGGACATTCATCATACACCAGCTACTGGCACCACTCTGTACTGGACATTCATCATACACTATCTGCTGGCATTGCTATGTACTGGACATTCATCATACACCACCTACGGACATTACGCTGTGCTGGACGTTCATCATACACCATCTACTGGTATTACTCTCTACTGGACATTGATCACACACCATGTACTGGCATTACTCCGTGCTTGACATTCATCATAAACCAAATAATAGCATTACTCCGTACTGGACATTCATCATACACCATCTACTGACATTGCTCTGTACTGGACATTCATCATACACCATCTACTGGCATTTCTCTGTACTGGACGTTCATCATACACTATCTACTGGCATTTCTCCGTGCTTTACATTCATCATAAACCAAATACTGGCATTACTCTGTACTGGACATTCATCATACACCATCTACTGACATTACTCTGCACTGGACATTCATCATACACTATCTACTGGCATTTCTCCGTGCTTTACATTCATCATAAACCAAACACTGGCATTACTCTGAACTGGACATTCATCATACACCATCTACTGACATTACTCTGTACTGAACATCCATCACACACCATCTACTGGTTTTGCTCTGTACTGTACATTCATCATAGAAAATCAACTGATATTGCTCTGTACTGGACTTTCATCATACACCGTCTACTGACATTACACTGTACTGGACGTTCATCATACACCGTCTACTGACATTACTCTCTACTGGACGTTCATCATACACCATCTACTGACATTACTCCGTACTGGACTTTCATCATACACCGTCTACTGACTTTACGCTGTACTGGACGTTCATCATACACCGTCTACTGACATAACGCTGTACTGGACATCCAACATACACAATCTACTGACACTACTTTCTACTGGACATTCATTATACACCATCTACTTATATTACTCTGTAATGGACGTTCATCATACACCATCTACTGACATTACTCTGTATTGGACATTCATCATACACCATCTACTGACATTACTCTGTACTGGACCTTCATCATACACCATTTACTGACATTACTCTGTAGTGGACATCCATCATACACCATCTACTGACAATACTCTGTACTGGACCTTCATCATAATCAATCTACTGACATTACTCTGTACTGGACATCCATCATACACCATCTACTGACATTACTCTGTACTGGACGTTCATCATACGCAATCTACTTACATTACTCTCTACTGGACGTTCATCATACACAATCTACTGGCATTACTTCAAACTGGACATTCATCATACACCATCTACTGGCACTGCTCTGTAATGGACATTTATTATACACAATCTACTGGCATTACCCTGTGAAGGACGTTCATCATACACAATCTACTTACATTACTCTCTACTGGGCGTTCATCATTCACAATCTACTGACATTACTTCAAACTGGACATTCATCATACACCATCTACTGGCACTACTCTGTAATGGACATTCATCATACACAATCTACTGGCATTACCCTG